AAAGCAAAATGCACGTCACTCGAGTGTGTCGAAAAAAGCAAAACACACGTCATTCTCGGGTGGGTTATAGTCCATACTAAGTGGTATAATTGTAGTCTAATTAGACTACAATTATACCATTAATGTTTTATATCTTAATCAATTTGGATGGCAATGATATGGCTCGAACAATGCATGCAAAAATTAGTCCATGGTGAGCACAGAATACTAAAGCAAAGCTTTCAACCATATGTAATTCATTTTGTCAAGCGTAAAATGTACTATTATTCTTCGTGCAAAGCGGTTGATCTTTTCCGTACTATATTAGTCACACGAGATTTCTCAATTTGCAAACTTGTATCATGTGACATAGATATGCATATTCAGGGATCGCCTGCGATATATTAATAAAACGCACGATTAATTAGGCGTCAGGGTTTTGCGTTCAGATCTTTCTATCAACAGCAAAGATCGGCAGCATCTCGATTTGGGAAAAAAGATCAGTTGTCGAGTTTCCTCCTCCTGGTTACTTGGATCTTATATCAATGGACGCAGAAGACGCATCCAATACGCATCCGACTTCTACAGAGTCTCCACAATCACAAAGACCTCGATCTCAGCCTGCTGAGCGAAACCTAACTGTCATTCCACCATCTCAAATTCCTCACCAGCAAGGTGAGGAGAGCACATCAAGCGCATTTCCTTTCAACTCGCAATCAGTTCCCATCAATACGAGCGGATTACGTAGGGCACGGTCATATTATTCGACTTCAATTCCGAACGAAGCAGTGCCTTGGAGCGCATTAAGGCGGTATAATGATGGGTCGTTCGTACAGTCGCCTGGTTTTGGGGATGTGGATGATTATTTTGGGTTTGGCCAGCTGGCACATAGTATGTCGCCCCGTGATGAGAGAGGTGGGTTTGAGAGCATTGCAGATCATTGGATTAGGCAGAGAACAGTATCTGCGACTTCTGATGGTTCGAGTAACAGGTAAGGAATGAGATATTGTAAGAAGACTTTCGTAATTATGATACTACAATATTGTAGACAGAGCAAAACGAATCGGTTCAGTAGTAGCCGTGTGTTCTCCATAGACCTTTGACAATCGTTGACATAACATCCGCATGATCTCCAAGCGCGCCTTCAACGATTCAAATCACATCACCCACTCTCTCTTCATTTTCTTATTTCTTTCATCATCCCCCATCTACTCAAAGATTCAATACCATTACATCATCGGAGCAAGTCTCACTTCTCAATTCGTTAGATTCTGATTCTGACTTCGATTATCGCGACTACGAGTCGTCTTCCACTCGCGAACATCCCAACTTTCTCATCTCTACTTACCACCGCGTTAAGAAATTTTTCATGAAGAAATTATATCTGTCGCTAAGTGAAAAGGATGTAGTGAAATGTGCATTGGCATATTTATTAGCTTCACTATTTACATTTGTACCAGCGTTGAATTCATTGTGCGATTTCGATCGAGATCGTAATTCGTATCTAGTTGCTGCGGTTGCCGTGTTCTTTAACCCTGCAAAGACACTGGGTGGAATATTTGAGGCTGTATTTTTTGCTATCGTTGCTGGACTTTACGGATGTTTGGTCGGAATAGCATCAATGTCCTGTGCAGTCTGGTTTAATAACCATGATTTGCGTACATTGGGTCACGTAGTTAGTGTTTTGTGGTGTGGTGGAAGTATGTTTATCGTCGCTTATGCTAAGGCCAAGATGAACAAGCCTACTTTTAATAGCGCCTGCACCCTGGCAAGCATCATTATATTTATCACTATAGTGCGAGAAGGAAGTGTTCATCTCGGTGTATTTAAGCTGGATAAAATATTTCAAGTTACAAAGATTATTTTGATTGGAGTTGGAATAAGCTTTTTAGTCTCCGTGCTTGTGTGGCCCGTGAGCGCGAGCAAAAAACTCAAGTAAGAAAGAAAGAGCTCATAATTGCAGTCAACGAATGTTTTTTGCAGCTCTCAACTTGGCTGATTTCAATTTTCTTTCCCCATTAGGAAGGATATTGAACAGACATTAGATGGTTTTTGTCTTCTCCTCAAATTGCTCACCAAAGCTTTTCTCATAGACAACGTCAATTACACGGACGAGTCAGTACAAAGAGCCATTGCCTCTCATCGAGCAACATTCACTTCTCTCATTACATCATTAAAGCAGGCCAGGCTGGAAATACACAACAGAGGCATGCAACGTCGATTTGGCTTATATGAAGATGCAGTACAAGTGCTCCAACGCTTAGCTCAACATCTCAGTAGTTTACGAAGTTGCTGTGGTATAGAGTTGGAAATGATCAAAGACATGGATAATCACAATTCCAAGCAAACCGTTCCATTAACCCCAACACGAACAAGTGGAGTGCATTTTGACGATGGCAATCTGCATCGTAGACCAAGTGCTCCTGCAGAGGAAGAGGAGTATGGTGACATAACCATTCTGCTTGAATTCATCCAATACGTTGGACCTCATCTGAAATCTCTTGCGTATACATGTAAGCGAACTATGAAAGATCTTCAAGGCCAATTTTCTGAAACAAGACAAGGCCCGCCTGACTTTCCTCAGCTATATCAAAACCTCGAAGCAGCCCTTGCTCTATTTGAAACATCTCAGAGTCGCGCTGTTACACGACTATACAAACGGAAGACAATTATTGATCATTATGATGGGCGAGCGAATGAAGAGATTTTTTTAATATATTTCTTCGCATTCAATCTTCGAGAATTCACCAAGGAACTGGAAAGGTTGGTTGACGTGTTTGGAAAAATTTCCGACTCGGAGGAACGCGTCAAGGAGACACGAAGAAGGCGTGGGTGGTGGCGCTGGTTATGTTGGTGTTGTTACGGATGTGTCGATGAGCTTCAAGAGCCGAAATATAGATCGAAAACCACCAAGTCTCCCATAGGGTTTCCGGAACACTCTCACAATCTTTTCGACACTATTCAGACGCCCAAACCAAAGACCAAATGGCAACAACTACAATTGAGGGTGTGGAAGAGACTATCATGGTTTAGACAATTTGAAGTGAAGTATGCTACCAAAGCAGCTATTAGTGCTGCGATATTGTCGGCACCAGCATTCATTGATTATACTCGAGAAACTTTCGTGACGTATCGTGGTGAATGGGCTTGCATTTCGGTAGGTAACTGAATAACAGATAAGAAAAACAAGTTAGAATATAATTGCTAATTTACTATGATCACGTCATAATCTAGATGATAGTAGTCATGGCTCCAACAGTAGGAAGTACGAATTTAAATAGTTTTTACCGCGTTTTCGGTACTCTATTTGGTTCCTACCTCGCCTTCATAGTCACCATACTCTTCCCGCCGAACGCTGCAGTTCTCGCTGTCACTGGCTTTCTAATCGCGATTCCGTGTTTTTATATTCTCCTTAATACGAAATATAATCGCATGGGCCAATTCATTCTGCTTACATATAATTTGGTAGCCCTATCATACAAGGAAAAAAATGTCTTGGACATTGCCCGTTACCGTGCAGTTGCAGTGGGTACCGGTGTTCTCTGGGGACTGTTAGTAACTACTTACGTATGGCCTTACGAAGCAAGAGTAGAATTGCGAAAAGGACTGAGTATGCTATTCGTAAATATGTCATGGCTATACAAGAAACTGGAAGCAGTATTTTCTGCATCACCTGAAAAGCCGGCTAATAGGACCGAGACAAGCGTTATGATGAATTCAGATGATGGTGACCATTTGAACGAGTCGGCTAGGGAATTCTTGGATTTGGAGCTGTTCCTACAAGTGTCGTTGCTGAAACTATATGATCTTCTCAACGAGACTTCTAATGAACCACGATTGAAAGGGCCCTTTCCTCAAACGTCATATAGAGAAATCATCAACAGTTGTCAGAATATTTTGGACAAGCTTTTATCTATGCGTATTGCAGTCACTAAAGAAGAATGGTACGGTGCTATTAGGAGAGACTTTATTATTCCTATAAATAAGGAGAGAAGAGAGTTGGTTGGAAATGTGTTGTTATATTATTACACTCTTGCTGCGGCTCTCCAATTGAAGACACCATTACCTCCATACCTGCCTCCAGCTGAACAAGCTCGTCGTCGACTGATTAGGAGAATTCGAGAGTTGCCCGTTGTTAAACGGCGTATTATATATGGTAATGATGTACATTATATAGTATACTATGCGTATGCATTAGTGATGGAAGATGTCATTCGAGAGTTAGAGAAAGTGGGTAATATAATGCAAGAATTGTTTGGATGTATGGGAGGAGAGGAGTTTGACCTGTTCTTTACTACGGATGCAACGTCGAATGACGTTGGAAACGAAATGGGTGATACGCAAGGCGAAGAAGACAATGTCATTCATGCAACCGACCCTGATACCGTGAATATTGGAGCCGACCTCGATCGCGTTCGGAACGAAACGGATAATTAGGCTAACAATCAGACAGTATGCCATTTAATAGTCAAAATTATGTCTATCTTTTTGGAATTTTTTTATTCAGATGTAGATAAACTAGAGGGTTTTCGTTTTTTCATAAGACGCATTTAAAATAAAAATCACATCCCCTCCATATGCAACTACTGTAGTGGTGATCACCACCATTTTAACCTGATCACTGAAATTATCAAATCGGCAATAGTAATAGTAATAGTACGGAGTAACAAAGTGGTTTATGAGTCACGGGGATAATCTGATATTTGATGCATGCTGTTCCACAGCGTGATATGCCGCAGCACGCGCGCTAATTTTAGTTCAGTAATACAGATATTAATTTAGTACAGGCGCAGCAACATGTCGCAAAATAAGTGACAGCACCAACGCTAAATTAATTGCTCTTCATAGTATAGTAATTTGTAGAAACGTGTCGTTTTTTTGCGACGCAAAAGATATATAAGTAGCTCAATTTCCATAGTCAAAAGATCGTGTTGTATGTTACGTGTTGAATACGAATATTATTATTCGAATAAAAGTAATACTACTGATCTTGATAGTATTCTCCTTTATTATCAATATACAGTTTATTTCTATCGTCGAAATAATTGATTATTAGACCTGACACTCCAAATAAACGGCTCCCTCAAGCTGTAACTGTGGTAGCGTTCCCCGGTCGGCGAACACACCTACACGAAAGATAAATCTCTCTCCCAAAATTCCCATTTATTTCCCGACCGTAACGTAAACAAAGTTCAGTGCTATGACAACGGAAAAGTTTTTCAATATTTGGATCTTAATTCTGTGTTGGGAATTTTCTTTAAAAAATGAATGGTTTACAAAAATATAAACATTTTCTCTCAACCTGCTCAGATGGTTGCTAATGGTGCTTTTACCGAATGAAAACTAGAAAAGCAAGCGTTTCTGAAATTACCAAAGAAATTAAATCTTTTTCCATCCTAGTATTAACGCCTCCTCCTTTGAATTATTAAAGACATTAGTCCCAAGCCCAATATTGAATAATTTTTATATTAAATAAAAATTGTTAATTGCTTCTAGTTAAAATTTTTTCTCTTGATCTTAATTCTTATTAAGTTGGTTTTCTAATTCAACCTTGGAGCTTTGTTCCACTTCCGATAATAAGCTTTGGGATCTCTTGGTTTTTCGGCTATTCTTTCATTTTCCATAAAACCCCTCATTTCTCTTTTTCCTTCTCCTCGACTCCGTCGTCTGTCTTGTTCAAAATTTAGACCGTTTTCCCAATAGTTATTAAAATCACATAGTCGTCGCAATTTAGGTTTCGCCAATTATTTTAATGCACTCTTGCATTACTTTACCCATTTGAGCTCAGGTTTCAAGATTTATGTCTTTTGGTAAACGATCTTTTGTTTCAATAACTGTGTAGCCTTTGCTATATCTCCGCGAAGTCTAGAAAACACCTTGCTAGCTTCAACATAAATCCCTTTTGAATTAGCTTTCAGAGTTTTGCTTACCTGTTCTGTTTCTTCGGCGCTTATTTTTGGCCGCTGAGTAGGTACCTTCGTTTATTTTATATTTGGGAACTAACCGACAGTAAAAGTAATTTTTATTTTGAAGGCCAAATTTCCCTACTGGCAATTCAAAAACCAGGAGGGGAATATACCCTATTTATTTTGGCAATATTATCCTTTAAAACAAAGAGCATTCTCTTTGGCTTATTTCCCGAACAACTTTATTATGCTTCTTGGAAACAAGGACGCAATGTCCCTTAGCATTAGGTCTAATTTCGGAGTAAGTAGAAACACTATTTCCTAAGCCAGTTACTAAGGCTTTGAGCAACGATTTTCCATCATCAGCGTTATTATTTAAGACTTTTACGGTATCATACATTACACATGCAGGCTGCGCGTTAGGATCGTGTTGACAATTATAAATCGGGACACCATTCACAATTCGCACAGTAACTACACTTATGGCTCATTCGAAATCGCAATTATTCATAATTAAATGTCACTTTTGAAATTGTTATAGTAACAGTAAAGTAATTTCACAAAATAAAAAAAATAAAAAGATAAAAATAATTTATAATTCTACTCAACAAATGACTGCTGGATTTATGTTTCCGTTTCCTTCTTGGTTCATCATAAGGTGGGGTTAATGCTCGTTTGTTGATTTTATTTTTCGTTCTTCTTGGTAAATTTCATAAGTGATTTTCTGTTTAGATATTTTGGGTATCATTGATTTTAAAAATATATGGAGCAATTTTTGGGTTCCATAGTGGATTTGATGTAAATTAATTTTATATTAATATTTTTATATAGACATAGTCCTGTATTAATCACGTATAGTAATCGAAGTTTGCTACATAAATTTGGGTACAAGTTATTGCTGTGATAATCAAATGCTATTAGTCAGCTTTTAGTCACATCAGCCTCTCATTTATGTCACATAATAAATGTTCACTTTGTCTGGTTTTGTTGCATGCAGTCTACCCCATATACACAGTGAAAGTCGATATAACGAGGTATGACTGCGGCTGTCAGCGCGACAGAACGATAGCAGAAATGACAGCAGAAAACGGCAGCGCTGTCAAGCGACAACAGGGTAATCAAATGCTGTCATAGTAGCAGAACAATAGTATACTGATAAATAGATAATTAGTAAGCGCTGCTAAAATTAGTGAATTCGAAAGATATAAAAGCAGCGCAAGTTTCAGCTAGTGTCGATGTGTTTGATCTTGGTTTTCATGTTATTATCACGAGTATCGCATTTTCTGAATATAATTATTATTCTTATTGATCGGTATAGCGTAGAAATTCGCTAATCTCCATATCGACGAAGGATAATTGTCTCTTGTTCCACAATCCCTCGCTGACAAATTATGAACTTGCTAAAGAATCTGGTATTTGCACTGTCAAGTTGTTCAAATTCTCCAGTAAAGAACATAAATGAGGGTTCTCTTGAGGCTAAGCTAAACAACAAACATCTGATTGTTACTACAATATGCGAGCATGTTCTTTATGAAAAGTTTTTCTCATGCATCGCATCGCATCGCTTCACATTCACAAATCCATACCTGAATGAGCAGTATATACGACGTATCAAAGAATCAAAACAGGAGGAGTCACTCACCGATAAAGAAATCGAGACAAACTCGCGAATGTTAAAAACCAATTTTAAACATATACGCTCGACATTTTAGAAAATATCTGAAGAATAAAACTGCTTCGGATTTATCATGGGATATCCCACTAGTCAGGTAATTTGGAAATGGTTAGCCCGTACAAGACTTCTTTATGGTAAGTAATTTCAGCTGATGTGCGGGCTTGCGCCAAAATATTCTATTACATTGTATTAATTGGAATTATTGTTTTTGAACCAATAGAATCCAGCAGAGCGTATGAAAGTAACAACTCCACCACTCGTTAAGGATGAATTACAGAATTGATAATGCTTTTCCCGTGTCTCTTTCTTATCTATTATTTTCTTTTGCTCGTCTTGTTCTGATTTTCATTCATGAAAGTATGTATATTGTTTTGAGTAAGTAAATGTTCCGAATAGTATAATACTGACCATATTCTACTGTTAGATTCGCTAAAACTATAAAGAAAATTCTAGTGTAGAAATAACGGACAATCTATTTGAAGCAATAAAGACCATTAATGGTTCGTACAATCTCTACAAGTATTTCTTTCGGTGTGAACAAATGACAGATGAGAAAATTGTCAAGTTCGTAAATGGTGAGAACCAGAAAATAACGAAGAGTCAGAATCCTTGGTGAAAGTAAATAACGCCTTGTGTCGAGTCAACAACCGCAACAATTAGTCCGTATCGTATCAACTCTAGACACTTATAGAAAGTAATTTGATTTTAAAGAGCTTGCAATTGTTTAATAAATATTAATCGGAATTAACTCGATGGTTTTTGACTATGGAATTCGACCCGTATTTATATCTTTTCGCGGTCGATAATTTTCTGCATACACGTGAAACTCGATAATAATAAGTCGGCTGGGCATGGCTGTCCGGCTTATCGAGTTATCGAGAGACCAATAGGATTCATCGTAACACGATTTCCTTTCATGTCATAAGTTTTGTATTCACATATCGATATTGGGCAACTAATTTTCTTCTTTTCTTGCTTCCAAATTTACTGAACGTTTCTTCCGCGTTCACAATAATTAAACATTGATATTTATTAAAGAATTCTAAAGGTTGGGAAATTAACCTTTTTTCCGAAATGCATTGTTTCGCAACAATACAAATAATCGTAAAAGGATTTATCATCAATAAATATATAATTTTTTACAAGAACATCCTTTCCAAACTATCAAATGAAATAGTAAAATCATCAATGATATAAACATTTAAGAACGTCTTTCTAAATCGCCAAATGAAATAACAAATGATCGGTGATAACATAACTTTTAGGCTAAATGATAACCCGCTACTAAATTGGTAAAAATATTTATACAAATCACGTGAATCCAACTTAGCGACACTATCTGGCTGGCTTAATATTAACGAGAGTTTATATGTTGTCCGACTTATCGAGTTTCACGGTGTATATCTATCAGAAATTTTCGAATTTAAAATGTTAATACACAGGCAAACTCGATAAGTCGGTCTCTCGATGATTCAATTTTGGCCTAAGAAGGCCAAAACTTCCCAAGCCCTTTTCTCAGTTTTAATATTTAAAATCTCTCGATAAGTCGGTTCTCTCGATAAGTCGGTCCATCATGCATGACCGACTTATCGAGTTTGCCTGTGTATCGGGTGGCACGAATTAGGCTTATTTTCTTGTATTGTGTCACTTAATTCCGAAGTGTTACGGTTCGGATATCACGAAGAAATACGTCATCTTGGTGCAGTAAGGTAAATTTTTGCAAGATTCACCGTTTGTCGTTATCATCTGACGTTGACTTTGCGCAACAGCGATATCTTCGTTATCGTAACAGCATGATAACTGCATAAATAGCCAGTCAGCTATGAAAACAGCGCACAACTGTAAAAAGAACTTTGTTTTATTTAAACGAAACTAAGTCTAACAACTAAGTTCGAAAACGATGCCTACTTTCCAAGTGAATTCTGTCGGTTGGCTTCGTTTTGGCTTGTAATCACTCCACAATTAATTGTTACCCACCCCAACAATAGGAAATGTATCAGCGAACAAATTTACTTGAAACGATGTTGAACATCTGAAACGAAAAAACGAATTGGATCCAAAGTTCTTTTCGTTAAGAAAAATAAAAATAAATAAATACAGAAATACAGAAACGGAGAGGCAGTTCAGCGTTGGCCGTATAAATTTAAGTGATGATAGTGACAATATATTATTAGTGATAGTGACGATAGAGAAAATATGGGTTTCCCCGAACGATCAAAGCTTCTGTGTGAATCTTGTCAATGCTAACAGATGGTTGCACACGGCTTGTTCAAATTAATTGGAAAACTAGAGACTTCCTTTAGTTATGCAATCTGTTGTCTGAAATCGTTATTATCCAAAGGATGGTGGATGGCGCTTATAATCCCCCGAAATTCTTATCGCCATTCACCATTTCTTTCAATATTATCCCTAAACAAGTGTATTTTTCCCCCCTCCACATTCTCTTCACAAATCCTATTACTATTACTATGACAATTTCTAATCATGGTGTCACTGCTTTTATCATTTTGTGTGCAGATGACAAAATAAATATGACGCGTTTGTAACTGTCATGTCGCACCGCACTACTAGGTATTGAACATCCTTCCTAAGCCAACACTATATACCGAAGGTCAAAAACTACTTCTAAATTCGTTTATAAGCAAAGCCCCAGGCTATTCGACTATCCCCTTACATAACTTTTCCTATTGATAAAAGTCGAGAATATCGACGTATCGCTTAGGCATACTTTATTCATATTCCCATACTTGTACTTTATAGGATCTACAGAGGATGTTCTGGAGATTCGGACTTGGTGCTACTTCCGCCATCGATGGTCTACTTGAAAAGGAAGATCGGACGCTTGAAGAATTACTGGACGAAGATGATTTGCTTCAAGAGTGCAAGGCACATAACCAGAAATTAATTGAATAGTATGGATTTTACTAATGTGTGTGTGCCGTGTAAATAGAATGGCCGTCCCTGATCTAATTGTTGCTCTCTTCTCTTGTAAATAAAGCTTGCGAGGGCCAAATGTGCTTTCTCAACTGTTCAATTATATCACTCGTGACGATTTGGATGACAAACAGAATTTTAAGTAAGTAGTCTTCTTTAATCTACGTTGACTACAATTGAATGTACTCTGTGGTGAATTAGAAAGAAATTGGTGATGTGTCTATAATGACTTTTTATTAGTAATACTTGATTTCCCGAATGCCTTTTGTCGCTATTTATATTGCATTTCACTTAATCGGTCATTATATATCTTGTTCCATTGTTCGATATCGACTATCACTTTGATTAGATATCCTTATATTGCTTGTGAAGTATTATGCTGCGAAATCTGGGAAATTTGTGAAGCAATAATCGAAAATATTGATCTGCTTGCATCATTCTGGCAACTGCTGGATCGGCCCCCGTCATTGAATCCGTTGCAAGCGAGTTATTTTATGAAAGTGAATGTGATACTTTTGCAGAGAAAGACAAGTGAGGTCAGTTATATCTATTGTGTTAGAATAAGGTCAAAAAGATTGTTAACCATTCAGCGCTGACTTCCCTCATCTTTCTTGCACTTACGCTGGGCAGATGGTGAAATTCATAGAGTCAATTCCTGGTGTAGTACAGAGTATGCTTTCTCATATGGAAACATCTGCTATTATGGACTTGTTACTAAAACTCATCAGCATGGAGGAATATTCGGAAGGGGCAGGCGTTGTGGACGTAAGTTTATGTGAAAGCAAGACAAGTGCCTTGATCTACTCGGCCTGATTTACTTCACTTTACGATATTGTACTCACTACTCGCTCTCCTCTTCAGTGGTTGAATTCAGAAGGCTTAATTGAATTACTCATTTCCAAGTTAGATCCCAATCTCGACTCAGAGGTACTAATCCTTTATTACAACATCGTACCCTCGTCAAGAATGTAATCAATCGCTTTCACTGTGTCTTACTTATATTTATAGCCCCCTGCCATTGAACTTTTCTAATTTGGCAAATGATTTCAGACACACTCGACAACCGCGCAGGTTCTGATTGATATAATTACGCTGTCGCAGTCGACCAATCCTGAGCAAGGCGGAATTGGACCCAACGCGCTCAGTCAAAAATTAATCAGGTAGACGTGAAAAAACAGAAAGATGACATGATAGCGCTACGAACGAAGCTTGTTGTCCATAACAAATAAGGAGATATTAACACTATTCTGCCCACTTTTTATGTCAGTGAGCAAACAGTCTCTAAACTTGTAGACTATATGCTAGATCCGGAAGCACCAAACTCAACGTCGACACTGACGAATGGTGTAAGCATCTTTCTACAGATCATTCAAAAGAATAATTGGTAATATCGCCTCCATTCCTAAGTATGTCGCTCTTTACGCGCAAGAGCTCTTCAATAATAATTACATACTCATGTTACGCGAAATACTTGTTGTTTTTTTATACATTTTGATTGTAGCGATTATGAAGAGCGTTCACCGTCCTTGGCTCCACATCAGCCACAACCATACCCCGTTGTGGACCTGAGTGATATGTTACGAGTATTTGCTAATCGAATAGGCGATTTCAAGGCTTTGTTGGAGAAACCAAAATCAGTGGTATGTATGTGGTAATAAGCACAAGTAAAAGGAGCTATATGATGTATTGTCATTAAGAATGTTACTGGTAGTGATCCCATATCGCTGATATCGATATTATAGCACCAGCATTACTGATGTTTACAATGTAATGCTATCACTATTTGTCCCTTCCTATCAGACCGCCGAAATTGAAACAACAATAGGCAGAATGATTCCTTTGGGTTCCGAACGTTTTCGAATATGCGAACTCTTCGCTGAGCTTCTGCACTGTTCCAACATGCACCCACTTAATGCTGGTCGAACTAAATTACCTAGGACCAACGGCTATTATGAACTGAAACCCATAGAGGATTACAATGATTACGGTCAATCTTCCATGTCTTTTATTCCTGCGGACCAGCCTGTCCAACCAACTCCATACACTATTCAATCTCAAGAAACAGGCAATACGACCGATGAAACCGCCAAACCTGATTTGAATGAAGGCAAAGATGTAAAAGAAGAACAATTACAAAATGCGGATACTATACCGATTCTTTCAACTGGAAATACTTCTACCCATCAAACACAAGAGCAGGTCAAGGTTGATGTTGTCGTTGTTGAAGATAATGAAGTTAAAGATGTCTTTTCACCAATGGAAATTGTCGAGCAAGAGCAGAAAGAAAATATTGATGTGACGAAGAGTCAGAGTGCTGATGATCTGGCATCGAATGGCTCTATAGATGCTGTTAGCAAATTACCCGTTGGTGATATGTTGAAGGCTAAGTTCATTGAGCACAGGATTATACCGACATGTCTGGTATGGTGTTATTTGTTAGAATTTATTACGAGTTTGCGAATGGTCGCTTAAACGGTCATTCTCTATTGAACGTCATAATGTTTGCCTTATTTACAATCGCTCCTACGCTCTTTATATCAATAGGATCTTTTCTTTAATTTCAAATGGAACAATTTCCTTCATACAGTGGTCTATGATATGATTGCTCAGATATTCAATGGTCGGATGGATGTTGGCTATAACAAAGAATTGGCCATTTCGGTATGTCTGATAATCACTCGTACATGTTGAAAAACTTTGTGAATTACGCTGAAACCACATGCAATTATCGTTCTATAAAGGTCTTTACAGATGGTCAATTGACTAAAAGGATCACAAAAGCTCAGCGATTAAACGATTTTGAAGTGTAAGTGAAACTATCTTCTTTCTTTCGTTAATGAAATATTGGCTTGTGTATTGCCACCCGATTATCATCTAATTGATTTTCTCCCGCAGCGAACAACCTAAAGGCGTTCGACTGGGCTATATGGGACATTTGACGTTTATCTCCGAGGAAGTTAAAAAACTCATTGAAAGATTTGGCATGGAAGTCGGTGATCAAATCAGAGGTAATTCATTGAAGTGAAACCAATCGTAGAAGTCAATGACAGAAATTATGTCAAATTTCATATAGACGACATCAACTTTGTCGGCTTGTTCTACTTATTAATGCACTAACAGTTGATTAATTGATCATTCGACCTTAATTTCTGTTGCTCTCAAATTTCAGAATATTTTGAAGCTGAAGACTGGCAGGAATATGTTGCAAAAACACTTCGGGAAACTTTGGAGCGTGATCGTCAACCACTTGGGGGCCAACGGCCCAGTAATCATGATAGCTTATCTCCTAGTCGAGAAGTAAGCGATGACAGTGATGCTGATGATGATGATTTAATTGAAGCGGTGAATGATGGGCCGCACGAACGGGTAAGTACTATTGGTTGCTTTTGAGAAGGATTCCTGGAACGTCGAAATTACTGGATTGATGGCCGAAAGAGTGATCAAGTGATGCAGAGGGTTTCCTGCTAAGAATTATTATATCTGTCTTGATTATCTTGGGTTTGGCTTTTTTGTCGATAAGTTATTCATAAATGCATTGTTAAATATCGTATTTTCTTTATAGTTTGCTATTTATTTGTGTCAACAGATTACAAGCGAATTACCAGACCAAATTTCTGATGACTCTGAAGATTCTGAGGATGAAGGATGGATGGGGTAAGTATTAATGCTGGATTGAAATTAAGTGTTTGATAAAGATTCAAGCTATATGATACCCGTGTGATTGGGCATTGTTTATCGTCATGAGGTTACAAACGCTTGTATTTTATCAGGAGTGATGAATTTGATAAAGAGGGCGAGGTTGACATAAGAGGCCCATATATAAATCCCGCTTTGGCAGAGGTAAATACTTAAAGTAAGATATATAGTACGTGCTCAGCTGGCAGATCGCTGTATTCCGCATAATTTGATTTGATCAACACACAACCGCAGTCATTTCTGTCAGCTAAGTTTATAATCACACATACTCACTGCTTACAACTCTGGTTCATTACTTAATCTTGTTCATACTCTTTACTCATAATTATCATTCCGTCATACTCACACTCTTTCCATCTATTCCTTTCCCAACAGCATATATTCAAAAATAGACGTAGCTCCCTAAGTTTTGGCGACGAGGACAACGACGATGATCATGATGGCGATGATGATGGCGATGATGATCATGACGACGTCGGTGACGACGGTAATCATCCTGACCAATCATCAGAACCGCGGCAAGCGGCAATCTCGGATAATAAACTTCTCACGGTGGCCGACTATAGTGCCAATTTCCAATCCACTTACTCCATTTCAGACTCGACTCCTCAATCAAACGAGTCTAATACAACCGATATTCCGAAAATAGTGTTAAGCAATGATGAGAGTGGGAAGAATGATGCGGATGATGTGAAGGTGGCAAATGATGTTGAGACAGAGGGGGAGTTTACAGACTTTTCTAGTATTGAGCATAAGGAGAGCCAGATTGAGCAGTTTTCAGTGGATGGGACAAAAGAAAATGTAGATGCTGGAAGTAAGGAGTAGGGGTGTGAAGTGTGAAGGTGATGAGGTGTATGGGCTATTGCTATGTCGTTGATATTTTAACTAGGATGCTATTGTTTACAATTGACTTTGTTGTTGAATTTCTATCTTGTAATTTTGGTGGATCTAATACACTTGCGGTGAATATGATGATTAAATATGAATTCTTTATATTCCTTGTATATTTCTACATAGCTTTTAGCTATCGTTTGTTCATTCGTAAGGGCTGTGTGTATTTAGTGATCATATTCCCATACTTTCTTTTCTTACAAATACAGCCCAATCGTTAAAACACATGATCTTTGTAACGAAATCCTTCATAAAGTGTTTAGAACAGGGTTAAACTGGGTTTCAAAAAGGCAATAATCTTCATGACCAACGAATTACGTATCAAGAAATTAGCTTACGTATACAAAAATATAAAAGGATTAGTTAATGAGATAAGTAATTAGCAGAGATCGTATGTGTGTGTGTAATAGTAATGCAAAATCTACAACTAACAGGAATATTCCTATTACTATTATTAATTCATCGTTTACTATAATTACTAACAGTTTGAATGTTACTTGTACCCGTCCGTCCTTATCATTTGGTATCTCCCACACACTTTTATTCATCTGCTGTCGCCATCTGTACTCTTTCTACTCTTATACCTCAGCCTCAATAATAGTCATGCTATCCCCATAAGCATACTTTGGATTTATTTTATTTTGGTAAAACCGAAACCGAATCTGAACTTCCATCTGTGTACTGCCAAGTCATCGACCTACACTGTGCCCCCCTGGATGATATATATAATTACATATTTTATATCTCCTAAAAAAAGACACCTCTTTCATATACGTATACACAACCAACACGCCCACTTTGGAAGCGGCAAGTGAAGAGTCAGCTACTGACTTACGTGTCCTTATATACATAAGACGACAAGAAAAAACAATAATAAGTATTTCTACTGCAGTCGCTTGTAAAGAACATAACTTTACTGTCATCCTGAAGAGACACTGCACTTTCAAGCGATAGCCCATAAGATTATAATAGAGTTTAGATACATAATAAAAAGAGACAAGCCGTTTATATCTCCTAGTAGTAGTAGCCCATCATACGTGACGACATAGAAGCTATGCATCAATATTCAAACATCTCTAACGACAGTTGTCAGAGTCCCTCAACACCAGTGTCGACCTCTATACCGTTTCCTCACCAACAAAACACAACTTCACTAGTAACTCCACCTCCAGCAGACTCTGCATATAGACTACCCACGGCTGCTACTATCTCGCTAGCACCAACGACAACTACCACCATAGTCACTACTACGACTACTACTACAACTACCTTTCCCCCTCTCTTGTTGAAACCGCCTCCACTGCCCAAAGATCTGGATCCGAAAGAATATCCTTTGGCCGATACACCTACTCCTCCTGCTCTTAAAAGGTTCTGTTTTGATCTCAACGGGCAACCAACGTATTTCCGAGAGGATGAAGAGTCAGAACAGGCTATCGTCAAGGTATGGAATAGACTATGGTTTAGGGATTTCGTAGCATTATGAAAAACTATTCTGTTTAGAGAATGTCTATTATTATTTGTCTAAAGTGTAAAAGATTTCATGGTGTCGATAGTAGCAACGAGTTGCTATACGATATTACGTATCTACTCGGACAGAACGTTAACAACAGTAGTGGTAGCAGCAGTAATAATATAGATGTCAGCTTTAGCATACTTTTTACTCATTGATACCAATCTTTATAATCTTTGTTATATAATTCTGTTTCTCTTTACTCTTGTTGATTGGCGTTATTAACATGCATTCTAATTATAGCTTCAGGAAGCACTGTATAATATGCGAGCAACGGGTCCAACAACAGCGTCGAATAGCCAAACATTTCATACTACTCCAGCTATTGCTTTGCAAATGCATCAATCGCCTCAAAATATCAATACCCAAATACAAAAGCTTGCTTCAACGTCAGAATCTAAACCAACGACTACCACAACTACAACCACTATGACAACGACCACAAGAAAACGGCCGGCGTCGCCAGCAGACATTCTAGATCTCACTTCAGCTAATAAACGACTATCTACATATGAATCACGAATTCCACGCGATCAAACTCTTTCCCCGCCACACAAGAAACCAAGAGCAAAGCAATCTTCCTCCCAAGACATTGACAACGAGCTGGTCTCGGACGATTCATGGCAGGATTTGGCCACGGAATTCAGAAGAAATTCACAATCGTCATCTGCCTCCAACTCAGGAGCAATGTCACCGACTAATGCCCAATTCGATTCTACTTCCGCTCTCATACAGCCAACACCCATGTCATCTTCATCTCGACACTTTACTTCTATCACAACATCAAATCTTGGAATGGACACTCCATCAACAACAAGAAGCACCCACTCATCAGCACTCCCATCTCCATCTTTATCCCCCGTGACTGGTATGTCTGCGTCTGGTAATAACAATCAATTCGATTCACTTTTTGCTCAAGCGGTTCCAAATGAAGTCGACGTAGATGATACCCAAGACTCAACTGATTCAAAGGCGCAATGGCACATGACGAAACCATCAATACCTCATGTTCCATCATTGCTTGACCTTCCGACTATGTTAGCAACGTTCGATGCATTACCGAGCACAATGCAATCTTACATGCTATTTCATTTGCTTCGTCGATGCCCAGCTAACACACTCCAATACGTAAGCAATATCATCCTTCCTGCTTTGCGCAAAGACTTTCTTGGATTACTACCGCTCGAATTAAGTCTTCATATTGTAAGATATCTTGATGCACGTAGTATGTGTCGGGCAGCAATAGTCAGTAAACGGTGGAGGTCAGTCGTTGATGGCGATGGATTTACCTGGAAACGTAGATTGGAAGCCGATGGATACGTATTAGAAGAAAGAGAAGAGGAACGCTGTATTCGAGAGGGTTGGAGTGTTATGTCTCCCATAAGGTCAACAAACTATAGGGGGAAAGCAGTAGACAGGACAAATCAACAAATACAATTAGAAAGTACAATAGGAACAGAAAATGGAAACAACTTATTCGCCACTAAATTGGACGATACTTCTGTCCCAATGGAAAGATATACTTCTAACAATGAGACAGAACTAATGAATGTCGACATGGATAATACAATGCAAGAAAACTTTGATTCTATTTTTGCCTTTCCATCAACATCATCAGCATCAGCGTCAGCATCAGCTACACTTTCCCATAAAGGCAAAGAAAAGTCTGACGCTGACTGGGTCAAAGTCCATATGAAATCGTCTGAAGATGAAAATGATGACAGCGATGTTGATATAATGTCCCAATCATCCATATCTACTCTTCCAACGTCGACTGAGCGACCACGTAGCATTTCCCTTGATGCAGCTTCTTCTAAACTCCCACTCGAACCATCTGCCAGACATCCGTATAAAGCAATTTATAGGAGACATCACTTAATTAGACAGAACTGGCGCCATGGTAGATACAAACATATTTCGTTTCCTGGTCACGGCAACAATGTAGTTACTTGTCTACAGTTCGATTCTGAGAAGATAATCTCCGGGTCGGATGATCAATGTATTAATGTCTATGAAACAGCCACTGGAAAATTAATAAATCGTCTTGAAGGACATGATGGCGGTGTCTGGGCATTACAGTATGTTGGTAATACTTTAGTTTCAGGGTCAACGGACAGAACAGTACGTGTATGGGACATCAAGCGCGGGGTATGCACTCATGTATTTCCCGGGCATACTAGTACTGTAAGATGTTTGCAAATAATCATGCCCCAGGCTACGAGCGATTCTACTATAGTCGAACCTCCCATTCCTCTAATAGTCACTGGCTCTCGCGACTCCACACTTCGTGTCTGGCGTCTACCCGATACTACTAATGATACCCCGTTCGCACCATCCAATCCATCATCTCCTTCTGATAGTATGTCACTTCAGGACAATCCATATTTTATCCGTACACTTCAAGGACATACGCACTCTGTTCGTGCTCTGGCTGGAGTAGGAAATACTTTGGTCAGCGGGAGTTATGATTGCAGTGTGCGAGTGTGGAATATTATGACTGGAGAGTGTTTATGGAGACTTACTGCTCATACACAGAAGGTGTATTCGGTAGTATTAGATGCAAAAAGAAATAGGTGCATGAGCGGCAGTATGGATGGCACAGTGAAAGTATGGAGTTTGGACGACGGAACTTGTGTTTGGTCTTTGGAAGGTTTGTCTTCTATTTTCGGTGTACTGTTAAATTCCTTCATATGTTTTCAGCTCTTATTCTAACTTTTACGGTTCTACACTTAATTTTCCGATTAATAAGGTCACTCGTCTCTTGTCGGCCTTCTTGATTTGTCACATGACTATCTCGTCTCGGCAGCAGCAGACTCCAGTCTGCGCATTTGGAATCCGAATGATGGCACTTGCAAACACGTGTTAACTGCACACACTGGTGCAATCACTTGCTTTCAGCATGACGAGCACAAGGTCATATCTGGGTCTGACGGTACATTAAAAATGTGGGATGTGAAGACAGGGAAATTCGTTCGTGACTTGTTGACTGGGCTCAGTGGAGTTTGGTATGTATTTTGTTATCTAAGGGATACCTATGGCTGTTCTCATCACATAGTTAAGAGTTTTATGTTGTGATACAAAACGGGTGCCAATACGTTCGTTGATAACAAACTAAAGTGATGTATTATTATTAACCACGAATACATTTTATTTGTCTTACAGGCAAGTGAGATTCGGTGAACGCAGGTGTGTGGCAGCTGTACAACGAAATCAAGTCACATTCTTCGAAGTATTGGATTTTGGTGTATATAATGTTGAAGAAGATAATAACATCACCGGAGAGAATGGAGAATGGATTCCCAGAAGAACGACTGTTGGGGTTAACGATGGAGATGCTAGTAGTTGAAAATCCTTGAATCCGGACTTTCGGGAAATTCTTATTGAAAATTTACCTCCTTTATCCCATCCTTATTTTTTTTTTACGATCCTCTAGATTGCGAGGGTTTTTACTTTGTATAGATTCCAACTAATCATATAATATAAACACATACTGATATGACGGACACTTATACCTCTACTTCGATGACTTTTTTTTCTTCTTACCCTTTCTTAGCCCATTCCCGGACAATATATAAGTTTTTCTTGTAAATCAGTTACCTGTTTCCCTCCTAATTTTTAGTAAGTTTTGTTTTCTTTTTCACGGATTCCTGCCAAGAGAAACACGGTTTTATAGTTTGTTCAAGCTGTAAGAGTATTCCCTTCAAAAACTGATGGTACATAAATGTAAATTCTTTTAGAATTTGAACTTATGGTTTATTATAGATTGAGTGAGAATTTTGATAATTACATTCATGTAATCAAGTAAATAATTTGGTGTATTTTGTTTCACGTGACATAGGTTTTCTTTGAATAGTCTGCGTTCGAAAATTGTTGATCGTGACCTTTTGGGGATTAACAATAATATTACACGAGTGCGATATATCAATATCAAGTCTGCAAGGACATTAAGTGGACATTAAATGGAAGGGAACTATCTTGTCTGTCCCTAACTTGGATTAAACGAAACCCTTCTCTGCAGAGAGAAAGTGATGAGTACGTATCATACATATTGTTCTAAAAACGGTTGGAAAGTACGCGGAGAAACGCCTATATGCATCATATGATAAGCTATTTATGCTTGAGAAAATCAATCACTTGTGTTACCAAAGTGCAGGAGCAAATAAGATGCTTATCATGCAGGCCCAAAGAGAAAAAAAAAAATTTTTTTCAATCACGAATTGATACTGCGTATAATCGAAAAAGATGTGGCTTAGATTGTCGTTGGCGAAAGAAACGTGAATCTACTGGAACAGAAAAAACGACATTTTCATATGAAAGCACTCTTATGTTAAAAGTTTCTTTATGTAATCCAGTAGTTAATAATCATCAGACATGCCCTCCACAATTTTGAAGATGTTGCCGGGGTCTCCACGCTGATCAGCCCTAAAAAATCGGTTGGAATTCTATCTAACCTTTGCCGATGCATGTGAATGACTTATCATGCAGATTTATGGGTCACGTGTAATACTGTATTTATTTCAAACTTGATAAGATTTCCATTGTCGATGCGGGTCATTTTATATACTGTCTTTTTTTCTTTCTTTCACAATTAAATGATGGTTAAATCGGCCTAATACTAATCGAGTTTAGATAAAGTTTATTATACTTTGAATTAAAGCTGTCCATTTATTCCATTTTATTATACTGCAAGTAAACACATCTGTCGTACCGTAATAGTAATTGTGTCACCATAAGTTCGTAATACTCAAGCGCACAGTGTTTACTTTTATTTTTCAATAAAATACTCTGAGTTATTTCTGAAACGTACCAAAGCACTGGAAATTTTTAACACCAAAAATTCAATTACGAATACCAAAAAAGAACCCTCAAAAACAACCAAACATATCCATTACTATGAGATTGATAACGAATCAATAAAGAATATCTATCGTTAAACTATAATCACAAAGAGAATTGCTGCTGACTAAGCATTTTTAGTACTTGGTAAAATTTCTAAAGCAGGTCAATGGAAATAGCCAAGCAACAACGTAAAATTTATACAGAATTAAAGAGCGGTATACATGAAACGTGAGGAGAAGTCTAAGTGAGTTAATTTGAATGGAAAACAAATGTTCTGAAACATTTCCCACTCTATAGATAGAACATTGTTCTGAGCAAATTTTGTTGAAACAATTGAGAGACGCCAACCAAATAATCCGAAAAAGAGAAAGAAGTTGTTGCCCTAGTCCATTGGTTACATGAATATCAGGTTGCAATCGTGTGACAAACAATGATTCGTTTGATTTTGTGCGACAAGTGTTCGTGGATTAACATCATCACTGTACAGAAAGTAAGTAATTCTCTAATTGAATAGGTAAATGTACAGAGAGCATTCATATTGGCTTAGCATAAGCGACTATTGTGCATGAGTGGAATAAACACTCTAAAAAAATTATTGAATTGGACTACTCTCTGCAACAGTAGCCACCGATTGATAAATCGTAAACTATTGAAACAACGTATCACTTGATTGCATCGGAACAACGATTACTTCCTTCTCAACAATATTAATGTCGTGAAAATTTTAGGAAACTTGTCAGACGCCAGACCATGTAATCTAAAAAAAGTAAAGTAGTGAGAATAATCTATCACAGTGGAGTAGTGTGAATATAAGCTATCACAGTGGAGTGTGAGAATATAAGCTAGCACAGTGGAGTAGAAGTAGAGAGATTTATAAAAAGTATTTCCTGCACAGTTTTTATCGTGTAATCAACTTTAACAAATTGACTTCTTGGCAAATAAATATTCCATCTATTATTCACAACGGGATGGCAATTCGAGTTACGGACTGTAAGGTTGGCAAGTCCGTTAAATTTTAGAGTTTAAAATATTTGCATGTTCTTTGTCTGTTGAGTCAATCGTGTAATAAAATATATGTTTGAAACTTTTTTTTTTTACCAAACCTCTCCTTCGCTAATGCAATCCCTTCTGTGAGCATGTCGCCCAATTGCTTGCTTGCGAAGCGGCGCACATATTTACTAGTCGGTTTAAGGCCATTCACATATGTTTGACTACGCCACGCAGTCAAACAAGTTTGGGTCAATAAACCATTGCTATGCTTAAGCAGACCGTCTTCGTGATGGAATTCTCTTTACAATAACTATTTGAATTATTGCTGACAAAACTGTTCTTGCACATGCAGGAACCCCTTTTTCTTTCTTTCTTTCTTCGCTCGTTTCGAGAATTTTTTGGCAAAAAAAAAAAAAAAAAACAAAAAAAAAAAAGGAAAAAAAAAAAGAGACAATCCAACGCTTGTATTTAGTACGCAATGACTAGTTGGCAATTTTAAGTCAAAAATGTACAAAGAGACGTAATATAACTTTTGTTTTAAAGTTTGTTTTATCATAGCATGGGAATAATAGCGAAGTTATTGACAAATATTACGGTATACTGACAAAAACAGAGAATGTACGACACATACCAATGGTTAAGCAAGCAAAACCATTACAACCACCATTACCATCACGACCAGCAAAGGACCTCGGTCGCCATGTAATAAAAAAACTACAGGGAAAGAAAGAAAAGAGCATTTCCCCTCTCTCGCTTTTTTCTGAACTCTTTTAACTATTTTTTAATTTTCTCTTGCGGGCATAGATAACCACTCCTGCTAAAAAAGCAACAGCTATCAGAGCAACTCAGTACTCCCAACGGTCGACCACCTTGTCTGGGTAGGTTTAAAATTGATATTTCTTCTGTATGCACTGGTGTAATAGTTATATAGGCCTTGAAGAATGAATATATTGAATTCCTTGTCGTCAGTTACGCTATTGACAAAACATTCAGTCATGAGTTACTCGACATTTTCTATTGTCTTGGGGGAAGAGTAGGGAGAACGTAAAGATGCTCCTATGAAGAACCTGCTCCCTGTTGGGGTGAGAAAAAGAGCACTGACGATTAGAAAAGTATCAATCCTTTTCCAGTAAGTTGTACTTGGCATTATGTAACAAGAATATATGGATTGTGAACAGCCTTCATTAAAAATCCCTGAAAACGAAACTAATAGATTGTGATTATGTAGATAATAATCGTTTTATTAAAAATAATAAATGGAAGTTCTATGGGATCCCAAGCTTTGCTGCAAATGACAATCTAATATAAACATATATGTGTGTATATACAGTATATTAATGACAGATACGATAAATAATCTATTACATGCCGAGTTTTAGCCTGAAAAATAGATAACAAGCTGTTTGTTATTTAATCTAATTCAGGGCAGACAATGTTAAAAACGCACAATTATATCATTGTAAGGATAGCATAACCCTTTCCCCACTCTTTCTTACAAATGAAATTTCATTGTGTTGACGGGATTTCATCCGTATCGTCCTTTTTCTTTTCAGCCCAATTGTTTCCAATTGATCCGATTATTCTCAGTGAAGCGAATGAATAATACTTTGTCTGGGGATTTAATTATCCTGCCATCAAACCTTGATAGTTGGACGTTACTCAATTGCAACCGCCCCTTAACGATGTAAATTAAGTTTTCAGCGGCGACATTTTTGAGCGAATTATTGTAATCTTATCACAAATTAAATTTTCATATAATTACTCCTGCATACAACACACAATATATCATAACAAACCGGGGCCTTTGTTGCGCAGAGAACCGCCTATTATGTACATGATGAAAGTCCATCATTGCTTTAAAAGGCAGAACATGGTCGCTTAATTTAGAAAAACAAGGTACTTTGAATGTAATCAATCGGGCCTAGATTCCAATACCAGAACCAACACTATGAGAAAGCGACATCCAACACAAACAATTTTTGCGATTGACGGCAAATGATGCTATTGTTGTCATCCATAAATCATTTTTATCTTGTAAATGACAATTGATGCTCATTTTGCGGAACACTGATTTTCCGCTTTGCAGTATAGACATAATGATAGTGAATCTGTATTATCATTTATTACATGTCCCAATTTAGTTATCAGTGCAACGAACCCAGAGTCATATAACTAAGGAGGATAATAATTGATAAGAAGAGCATTGTTTACTAATCATTGTTTGCTGTTTCTTGTAACGTTTTTCTACCACAGATAAAAGGCTGTAAAGTTTGAGACATGGATAGCAAGCAGCGGAAGCAATACGTTGATCTGTCAAATTGTCAGGATACTAAGAGTAGCTAAATATATCGCAGTACTGGAATTTTTATCCGGATAACAGCCTTATAGTACAAGTGTTATTTATTGCATACTTAATTAATATAAGCTTATTTTGATAATCGATTCAATAAACCACAGCGTGTGCTCGCAATATCCACCGTTTAGATAACTCGGTTGTCTGCATACGGATTACCGATAGACATATTTACGCGTCTCAAATATGGCTTCAAGAAGTGAAATACATTCTTCCTCTAACTAATTGTCATCGACTTGCAAGCAATTTGTCCGGATTTCTTTCAATTATGACTATGAGATATTGCTTGCCTTATTCTTTCTTCTTTTTGTGTATTAATATGGTCTAGTTTAAACCTTAGTGCACATGAACAAAGGCTTTTTGTTTTCGCAGTGAACAGTCTTCTTAATTCACCCATTACAATAACATATATATGCTCCGGTGTGTAATAACGTCACGTGAACAGAGTTAAAAGAAGAAAAAATTTTGGCTGTGTGACTATGCGGAAAATCCGGCTCTTATTGTTGTCAAGGTGCACAATACGATTATTCTATACATACCCGACTCACTCATTCACTCTCCTATTTCAGTAGGATAAAGGGAAGTCTTTGGAAATAATCGCATAATGCTAACAAAAGTGTTGCAAGACAACATAATATACTACGTATCGAAAAAAGAATATGGTCAAAGTGTGGTTGAGAAGAAAGAAGTAAGGGGGAAAAAAAGCAAGAGATATTGAATGATGACGGGGGACATGGTTTGACTTGACTTGAACGGAGATGGACACAAGGTTTACCCATGATGTTCGCAATCATGCGAATGCAGTCGGTTGTTGCCGTGGCTGAGTTAGCACGCGGTAGAATAACCAGTCTTTGTCAATCAGAGTCTAAACCTAATTGAATGCGTTTGATTGAACAGGGCTTAGAGCATTGGCTGCATTGGCAAAGCAAAATAAAAACGCATATATTCTATAAAAATAAAGTTGTTGGACACAATAGCTGCATCGTTTTTGCAGATCTTGATGAGATTTCTTAAAACTTTTTAGATGTTTAATTGTTGGTCGATATATGGACAAATTACAACCTTATGTGATGTCATAATTGAAGATGAGATATGCAGATGCCTGTCGTATAATCTTTGTCAGCTTAAGTAACGTCCGAAGGACACATGGAAAGTCAAAACATCTATGGGTAAAATTATAAACGAGAAAGATATCGGATGGAATAGGATGATGGTGAATATATCAAGATGTACACTACAGTACAGGACAGGACAGTACAGGACAGGACAGGACAGTATGTATGCGCCTTGCGTCATCCATCGATAAGCAAAGAACATATCGACGACAATGACAATAACGAATACTGGCGACTGTTTTGGTTGTGTGTATTTTTATTTACACAAATGCGGAATGGAATAATAAATAAAGTGGGGGTTTTTTTAAAAAAAATAATAATAATAAAAAAAAGAGTAAAGGGAAAAGACAAAGGGAAATGTCTGGTATCCAATAAGCGCAATATTCGCTGATATCATAAAAGATATTTTTACACAAGACACGTATTTAAACATCACGCGCGAAGAAGTCATGGGAACCCTGCATCAATGCAAGAGGGGTTTCATATGACATAAGATAATTGGGCACTGTCATTTTCTGTGCATGCTTCGGAAAACGGACAATGAAAAATACACAGCATCGCATAGCACAGAAATAGCTGATACGAAGGCAAACATTGATATCAATCAGTTATTTTCATTCATGCGCACGAGAGATAATCCTGCTTCAATGGTATGAACAAAGACTACTTATCAAACAATGGGCGTAAATCTCCGACATCTATCGTTAGAAGTTGAGAAAACTGGAAAAAAAAAATTTTTTTTTCCCTTCTTCTAGAATAGGTATTGAGTCACAAACAAATATTCGCGTTTGAGCGGATTGGATGCTAGTTGGTCGACGAATAGAGCAAAACGCATGTCGAGGTGCTGAGGAAAGTGCTTGCAGACAAAGAAAGCACATATCAGATGATGCTTGCGTCCGCTTTTGTTATATTTCTGATTGATTGAGATTAATATTCACTTATATATTATAGAGTAACAAGAACACAAAATTGTTCGTATGCCTAATGTCTATTTTTATATTGAAATCCTAACTCGTGCGTCTAATCTGCTGTATTCGTTTTAACCCTTTCCCCCACCCATAACTTTGATAGTTACTCGCCCCACACCAATATTACTCCTGTCTAACAATATATCCAAACAATCCTTTTTCTCCTTCAAACATTTTTCCGGCTTCTGGCCAACAAACGATTTTCCACTGTTCTCTCGAAATAAACGTTCAAAACAAATAATTTGTCATACTGCATGAAATGCTTAATGAATCACAGACACTGTTTATACAAATGATGATAAATAAGTCTGCACTTCATGCATCGGAAGAAAACTGATAGGCTCTCAGCTATATGGAGCAACTCATTGACAAGAGTTCTAGGGCAAGGGAGATCCACGATCTAGACCCAGCGAAAATTTTTTCATTATAAATTAGAAAATCCAGTGTTAAATTTAACAAAATAATAGGACGATTATGTAATACGAGCAAGCTAAGGGCTAATGACTCCTACAAACGTAATACGTTAGACGATATTCTTAGCAATAATGACTATCGCCACTAAAGCGCCCAATAATAACGACGTTTTAGATACATCCCAACAGGTGAATTACCAGAACCTTGCACACAATAAGTTGTCATAACAAAAACCGTTCAGGAAAGGAAAAAATCTCAATGCGCAAACAGCGCATCCTACGGAAGAATTAAATCTTTGGTACGTCCATACAGTATACAGACAAATGGCAGGTATCAATCTAACATATACCTGTTTTTCGTTGTATATGTGTATGTATAGGTTGTGTGTTTGTATATACGTTGTGTGTATACGTTGTGTGTGTATGTATATACGTTGTGTGTCTGTATATGCGTTGTGTCTGTATATACGTTGCGTGTACGGTGTGTGATATATTGATTACACAACACATCTATTGGCACAACACTTATTCGTCTGTGTCATAGTTATGCTGTCACATAGTCAAATAATATTAATGATATCATATGTTGCTACTAATGGAGCACATACCCTGATATCGTGACCAAATTTTTCAAATTTCTCATTATTGTCACACGCATTCGTCTTTTTTATCACGCTAAATATTTTTCGTTCGTTGCAATCCACATTATTATATCCTATGAGGATCGCGCGTCCAGATCAATCTCGCGCATATTTCATCCAATGGGAAGATCCATCTATGTGTGAGATTTGATATGTGTGAGAGGGGAGAGGTGGATGGCTGAGTGTGATGCATGGTTGGTGATAATACGAAGGTATATGTAAATATGTGATTTACTTATGAAGAAAAGTGCTCTATTAAATTGAATACATCTCATCTACTTGGCCATAATTAAATAAAATGAATTATTGAATATATATATGTACAAGCGTTGTAATAATATGGGAATCATACACATTGTTTGTCTGAGTAAACGAATCACTATACTTCTTTTTTTCTCTTTCTTTCTATTATTATTATTATTATTATTACTTCTTTCTTTCACTGCTTCGCCAACACTGCGCCTGCCTTGTGGACCAAAGAGGGTTAAATTGCTTACACAAATCAAGCGTGTATATGTGTATTGGTGTATTTTACAGCATAACGATGAATAAGAGTGTTCGGGTTGGTTGTTTGAATGTGTGTGTATATGGCTACGTAGCAGTCAATAAAAGTCTGGCAAATGCTAGGTGGGTGATATTGTTTTAAAGAGGGTGGACAAGAGTGCGGACGAGTGGTCGGACAAGAAGGCGGACAAGTCGGGCGGAGTAGGGAGCATACATAATATGCAAAACGAATATGCAGTCTTCTAAATCAATACAATAACGTTTTGGTTTAGTAATCATAAAAGAATGACAAGTTATTTCATACTATTGAACTATAATAAATTAATCCTTTTACTGTACGTCACTTTTAAACTGATCGGATATATCGGATTAATTTTTTTATGGACCTGCATTGCAGGGACAAAACGGAGGTAAGGAGAAGAGTGTCGAGTACGGGAGGAGGAAAAATGTCAGAGAGTTGCCATGTGTAAGATTACAGATGTCATGAGTAATATTTAAGTATGTGGTGTTACAATTAATATATAGTAAACTTAAGGTTCTCGAATATACTTTTTTTTATTTGGTAATTATTATCATCGTCTATCCGCTTTTGTCTATTCAGTCTTCTCTCAACATTCCTTTTTACGCTATTAAATGTTCAACACGATTTGTATTGGTAACATTTATGTAGTGTGTTCCCCGATATATATTTGATACATTAAACATGTATTCAATTAACTGATTATAATTAATATAAACGGCTTAAATTAAGATTCACAGACATTCAGGGTTTTGACATCTTTAGTCTAATTAATATACTCTGCACAATACATTTACAACAATACCACATTCAACAGTTTTACTTTATGTCTGCATAATTTCGGTCTCTTCAGATAGAATAACAATAACCAACCGAATAAACGCATTTATACTCCCTGAATAATATTCCTTTCAGTATGGAAAATCTGTCTCATGAATTTGGTTTAGTCTTATTTTAAGGTTGCTCGGTCTTTTTTTTTCTCCCCTATAACTGTGCGCAACAAATGATAACTCGCTGGCAGGAAACCTAATTTGCGTTTGATGTAACGTGTCCCAACGTAGGTTGCTCCAGACTATAATGAATGGGGAAATCTTATATTATTTGTGTCTGTGTGCTTTGTTTATCTTGATTAAATATAACATTGATATATGTTTACATATTCGTCTGCTACGACATTTACCTTATGTTTATAGGAGAACCCTGCATTTTACACATTCCTTATGCAAATTAGGTACAACGGCGTGCCAATTACAGCTCGACGATGATAACATTTTATATAACATATTTGCAAAACATGGGTGTTTAAAAAACACATGTTTGCGTCGAACTGCCATTAAATTCCCTGGTTGATCGCTGCTGTCTGATTGGCAAGTAACCCGTACATAAGGAAAAAGGTGAAAGAGCCCTGGATGAGTGACGAGAAAGCCAAGCCTACAATTTTATTCAAGCCCCGCCCACATGTTTCTGGTTTGGCAACCTGTATTATGTATGGTTGCTGTGTATGAGAACGAGTTGGAGACATATACATATACATACTACATATAATATATACGTATATACATATACATATACACATATATATACATACATACATCGGTATATTTTCTACAAAGAGCATGTCAGTCATCACAAAATATATATCATAAATAATATTATTCGTAAACGGCATATGGTGTAATAAATTATTAAAGTAGAAACAAATAATGAATGTATTAATATAAATACATTGTAAACAGTATGGTAGCACTGAACGAGTAAGATGCTGTTAATTTTATTTGTAATTCAACAGTGCGGTCTAGAATATCGACCGACTCTACAAATGCATGTAATAACATGGCTTTTTTTTTCCTACATGACAAAACAAAACAACACATAAAAAACAGTCTATCACCACGCCACGCTAACCTTTACGCTCATCCTTTGCACGTTTTTCTTATCCAATATTCGACCTTGTTGCTACCTATGCTTATCCCCAAATATATGCCATTTAAATCCCCTCATCCAACTACCAATCGATTGTCTTGCGTCATTGTTTGTTTTCTTATAAGGTATATTAACTAACAATTAATTCATTGAACATCTACGGTCTGTGTTACTAGTCAGATAGCAAAATCTTAACCTTAAAGCAGACAACAACAACAACAAACATGTTATCCCGGCAATAATTGTGACATTGGTCCAAATGTCAGATAAGAAGATCATTGGTATTAAGTTTCAGCAAGTAAAAAATATTTGCATGTGTATATGTATGTGTGCGATGTTGTTGACGTGGGAGGGCAATTCTTTTTCTCTCCATTTATCACGCAATTATACAGTACCACCGCAACACATAATGATTGTTCCGTGTTGTGATACTTGGTTTCGACTTACATTTAATTATAAGCATATAAATTATCGTTATATAGAATGTACCCCCCCTGCGATTCCTGTTCGTAATCGTGTTATCACAACAACTCAAAAAAATTCCTTATATCAAGGCTGTCTCCACGACAAATTCTTCCCCCATCAAAAAAAAAACCAACTCTCATCTAGAACACAGGAAATATTCCAACAAGAAAAATTACGTCTAACCAAATATAAACCTAACGCGAGTCATAAACAAACAGGTTAGTGTTTATCTCGTAATAAACCCTCCCTCCTGCCCTCTACTACCCAACCCCCCCCCCCTTTCTCCCTTTCTCTCCTCTCTTATGCACACACATAAGCACACATACACACAAAATACGTAGACCTATTGTTTCTACTGTCAAATCAGATACCTTTCCTGTTCTCTTGTTCAATTATTTCTACCATCCTTCTACTTTACATATTTAACTTCCCGGTTCTACACCTTTAGCAATCACGCAATGGATATCATAGAACTTATTCATATGGAATCCTGTCATAGTGAAAGTCGTCCCTTTCATTGTACATGGGAAGGATGCCATAAAGCATTCTCTCGAAGATCTGACCTTGCAAGGCATAGTCGTATTCACACTAACGAAAGGTATGTGTCAAAAAAAATTGTTTGTGAAGAATGGAACAATGATTGAGCATAGAGCTTTTGTGCCATTTCTTTTTCTTCCTCTAAAATTACTCTTATTATATTCTCCATACATACTTTCGCAATTTCCATTCTGATCGCTTTCTTCCCCTTTTTCTGATATTCCTTATAAAACTAATGCATGAAATCTTATTTCCACTTTTGTATATTAAGACCCTTCGCATGCACCAAACCTGGTTGTGGAAAGAGTTTCATTCAGGTATATATCATAATTTTTTTTCATAATAAAAAAAGACTAGTCACGTGAACAATATCTTGCATATCGGACACATTCTATTACAATAGCTTCTTTGCCGTTTCAACAAAATGCATCAATATCCCTTCCCCTCTCATCCCATGTTACTAACACGACGTCCGATCATCTCCCCCAAAAAAGCGCTCGGCATTAACCGTACACATGCGAACACATTCTGGAGAGCGACCACACGTTTGCGAATACCATGACTGTAAAAAAACATTTAGTGACAGTAGTTCACTAGCCAGACACCGACGTATTCATACGGGGAAGAGACCGTACAAATGCACTATACCTGGGTGTGGAAAGAGGTGAGTGGTGTTTTATTGCAGAGAAAATGGTATTCGGCGCGCAAACAGCAAGACAGCATTCTATTATTCGCTTCTTTCTTGCTTTGCTTCTTCCCAATTTCGTAACTTCAATTTCGTTTGCCCTTATCTTCAACTTGAATCTAACGCCAAGTTTCTGCTTCTCATTCTCTTCATGACGCAGCTTTTGCCGGAAAACAAACCTGACTAGACATCATCGTCGCGAACACATTCTTTCTGTGAAAACCGATCGATCTGTCGTCTGGCGGCAAGTTAAAGCATCAACAATTCCGACACCTCTATCGTCACCATCCTCGTCATCTACTTCATCACTGAGTACGCCAACGACACCGACGCTTGCCTCGGTGAATTTCGCGACGGAAAAGAGAGGAAGAGACGAGAATAACGTTGTCGATATAAATAACGGTTACGCAATCCATCGTCATCACGTGCCAATACGTGACCATTCATACCACACAACTACCGCTAATACTTTGGCTTCGATTACTGCCGACCCATACCCATCATCCTGCGGCTTTAGAAATTGTGCTCTCCTCACATCCGCATCTCCGTCGTGTAATTCACCAGCAGCACTGCATCCGCGCCTCCCACATCCAAAGATGTACTCGCATGAAAACGAGAATAGGATATACTCGAACGTACACGCCAATGTAAATCCAAATGGATATGCAGATTCAATTTCAACTGGGTATTCATATTCTCATACACCCAGAGCATGGCATACAGATAAGATACACGCGACAACAAGAGTCTGTGCGAAACAGTCAGAGTTTGAGGGAATCCATAACAGTCTTCGGTGGACAGGCTATTGATAAAATTATAGGAGACACACGATCACATCTCACATCAAAAAAGAAACATCTGTGGACATTTTGGAGTAGTGTAGAGAAATTCCGAATATTTGGAGTTCTCCTATTTTACTATATGACATTATATTGGGTGGAATGATGGGAATTTCTATAAATATCTTTTTTTTTGTACAAAAAACACTGCGAGAATTCAAAAAAAAAAACTTAACTTTTTTTATATAAGTTATTACATATCAACTTTGTTTATTTTTATATTTAAAAACCTGCCTTGTTGTGAATATAACTTCTTCAATTAAACTTATCAGATGATGATGGCATCGGACACTTTTGTAAGATAAAATCTGTCTATAAATGAACAAATTAAAAAAATGAACTCATACTTTACCGATTATTCATATAACTGACATCAACAACAAAACATGTTAGAATCTGCTGTGTTAGTGATGTTAATATGTAGCGTGTGATGTCTCGTTTATTAGCTGAAAAACCTACTACGAGTAACAAGCACGCACAAACAGACTTCTTTACACAAGTAACAACCTCGAAAATATTATATCAAATTTGCTTTTAATCGTAATCCTTATTAGCACATGGGTCCCGCAAAATGCTTAAAGTTTATGGATATTTTTCTCTTTTTGTTTTGCGAGCAAGGATTATCCTCTTCCATTCCACGACCATGATGATGCGGTGGCACTATGTCATACATGTTGACTTCACGTGACTTTAAAATGATTAAAAATATTAATACTAATACTCGATACTAATACTAATACTAACAAGTATGAATAAATTCTCACATTGTCGGAAGCCGGACTTGGAATTGCGTCTATGTGAGAAGACTTCATCTCTCCACATGAACTCTCGTCCGTCTGCACACAAGTCGGTGCCATATTCTGACCTTCATCCGCAATTGTCAATTCATGCTCCGTACCATCTTTGATCCGTTCATCTCGTCCTTCAAACTCGATAAACCACGCCTCAAACAAATTCTTACATTCACCACTCCTCACAACTTCATATGGCGAAGTACCTCTCTTTCTACCTGACCGCCTCACAATAAATCCCTCCTCGGCCAACATTTTCTGCAACGTGCGTGCAACAAACGGTTTCACCCCGAGGTTGAGCGAGAATTGTTTGCATGTCGATGGAAACCCAGAACACCAGATTTGGTAAAGGGCACGACGGTAGAGAGCTGATATTCCTAACGAACGAATAGCGGAGCAAAGTTTGGAGGAGGTAGGGCAGGATAGCTGTGGAAAGGGAAGTGACGAAACCGATGAATGAAAATAAAGGGGTGGAGAGACACAGCCGACACAGACGTGCAAGTAGGATAAAGGCGTGACTTGGTTTGGTGAAAAGTAGCCATAGCATGGGAAGTGTGAATTGGATCTGCACTTTTTGCAAGTTAGCTTTGCGGGAATGGTAGGAAAAAATTGAATCAATTAAAAGTTGACAAATCATTATGGAAAATAACCGATCTACAGTATTACCATGAGTTGATCTAACGAATTTACGCCACAAATACAGCGGCATTCTCTGCTATCCCACTTATCTCCCGTAATCTGCGTCTTTTCTATCTCACTAGTATCCATATCTATTGATACGATTTTTACGCTTTCCTCTTTTTCATCTTCGTTTTGCTTCTTTTCCGCAATCTTCTTTTCATCATTGACATTCTCCTTGTCCTTTTCGTGTCTCGTACTTTGGCATATGGGTTCTACATGACGTAACGTGGTTTCGCGTGGCGGGGGACGGTTTGACAATGATGACGTTAGTACTGAAGACGAAGGTAATGATGACGTTATTGTTGATGATGACGTCACTGTCTGATTGTAGTGCGTTTTCGTTGGTGTGCTAGCAACAGTTGGAGTTGAACAGGCTCCCAGAAGGTCCAGTTTTTCTTTTCTGTTATTCACTATATTCGTATCTACTGCACGTTCATCACCATCATTATCGAACGCATCAGGCACGGTCTGTATCACCAACCCTATACTACATAAATTGACGTATAAAAAAGTTAATAATATACTGTACGTTATTATAAACAGGCTTCGTTTTAAAAACTCACTCGTGATGTCCAGTTTTGATTTGTCCAACTATAGATTTCTCGAGTCTTGTCTCCATATTGCTTGGATCACTAGCAGGTCGAAAGAATGGGGGTTCGTAATCTCGCGGTGTGATTTGTTCGTAGTAATAAAGTTTTATTGTTAGGTAGCGCTTATCTGCAAAAATTGTTGGTTTAGTTGAATGAGCCAGAAAAAAAAATGAAAGCCGCTGCTGCCTGTTGGGAAGCGAAAATTCCCGTAGGGTTCAGGGAGAAGATAGGCTTACCCGGAAGTGGCTTGATCAACGAAAGAAAGAATAACGTCAGTTAGGTGCAAAGTCTTTAGCATCGTATAGACAGTATGCATTGACTATGCAGTATATCATCTCACAAAACCTCCTCTGCGTGATAATCCTCACCTTTAGCGTCTGTGTCAACAAAATCAATCTCCTCAGCAGTTGTTGTGTACTCTTTTCAACCTCTTCCATACCTGTACCTAATACTCCACAGTCATTTTCTATTCTCAGAAAAGGCTCTCCATTGACATAAGATACCGTGAATGTGTACGATTCTACGAATTTATCAGGTTCATTGGGATCAAGGGATATGCCGAAAATTACTGAACGAAGGTAATGTCTAGAGAGAGCGTCGTAGATTCCTTTTTCCTTTTGGGGTGAGAAGATATGAGTAATATAGCCTGTACATGCATGAATTCCATATAATTCATACCAGCCAATCTAGAAGCGAGTTAGCTTCTCGGTTACAGTCACGTTTTAAGTGTTTCAGCACTAGGCCTTTAATAGAGCACTGTTAGATAGATATGCGTTTATGCTATTTACTAATCTCAATACAATGCTTACTTCCTACTTGATAGTTTTCGTAATTCTCTTCTGGGAAGAGGTCTCTGTCACGGGGAAAAGGTATGTGAGCATTATTGTGTACGTATTGTTACATATTTAGTATGTGGTTGTATTGATATCTGTATCTTTATCTATATTTGGTTGTGTTTACGTTAGTGTTTGTGTTTGTGTTTGTATCTGCGTCCGTGTTTGTGTTTGTGTCTGCGTCCGTGTTTTGCTGTATCTGTATCATGTCTAACCTTTTACGTTACTTGAGTTGTCATATTTCTGTCAATCTACCTTAAATATGTAATAGAACTTAGACCTGTCTTTAGTAATTGATGTACGATGGTCAAACTTTGTGACGCGTTGATTATTTCTGTCTCGAGCGTCTGGAGGAGGATCAAGTTTACAAATGATAATCCATTGAGTTGTTGTCATTATATGCATTAAATATGATTATTATAATCCATTAAATGTACATACTTGAGCGAGGCTTTGAGCCATGATTCAATAATACCAAAATTTCAACATGGCCGCGTCTCCATAGAGTATATATATATCATGCTGATGTGTAATTTATGACCGACATGTCCGATAACCTTGTCGTTATGCACAGACTATTCGCATTCATATGGCGATATTCCTCCCGACCCGACACAGGCAATCATCTCAGCCGCTTGATTTCCCACATTTATCTTGCATATTCTTCGGCATGCTTGCCTCTCCCACGCACGTGACACCAGCCAATACCATCGATATCCATACACTATTCCATATGCAGACCAATGACTGTCAAAATCACTCTGATGTCATTGTGACGCCTATTGGATCTGCATGATGCAATAAGGAGAATTATATATAAAAATACATATTTATAGACAAATTTGAATAATTAAACGAATTAAAAGGCCTTTTTTTTGTTGCATATCCGCTTACAACACACCTTAGAACGTTATTTACTCGTGTGCCGTGTCTATTTTTCTATACAAAATGACTTCTCTTGGCAAGCGAAACGAGGAGAGAACGCATGAAGGTATGACTAAAGATATGAAGAGATAGTAAAGCATAAACAAGGGACTCAAGTCATTAGATATTATTATAAAAAACAGCATGTTTCTAGAGAAATGCTCGTATAATAATTATGACAAAATACATATTACGTCTTTCTACACTTGCATTTTATTCGATTACATAACAGAAAATCAAGAACGAGCTTATATTGCGGCCTCTCATCGTGGCGTATGCTATCCACAATGTCTTTGCTGCGCAAGTTTCATTTGTCTTGTATATTCACCCTATTTGATGCCGACTTGTAGGATCGGAGTCTAGAAGCTCGTATGGAATCCGCTCGTAAGGCATCCGAAATACACAAAAAGCGGACTGGGAAAGCACTCCGTATTACCGAAGATGATGTTCGGAATGAGGAAATGTACCAAGAGATTGATGAACCAGAAGAGACACGTGAATCACGTCGACATGGAGAGACTTCAAAGCGTCAGGGTGGGTCGGCCAAGAAATAAAATGGTTACAAAAAAAAGACGGTGAGCATATTGGAGAGAGAGGGATAATACAAACAACTTGGAGTGATAGTGATGAAAAAGAGAATACATGCCTGATTTTTTTCCCCTTCCTTTTCCTTTTACACATATCGTCATCTATAGACTGGCTTACATGTTACCAATTCGATATTACTTTTCCCAACTACTATTTGACTTGTATTGCAATTAGATGTGATTGTCATCTTATTAATAAAGGTAATGATATATACACATAGACGTGAATTGAAGAGTGTTCGGTTTTTAAAATAGCCGCCAAGTTAGTTGAATAGGACAAGTTTATCAATTAGCATACCCAAAGCAAATTACGGGGGTGGCGACAATTTGTAAATTTTATTAGTTCAGCCTCTGCACTTTTATGCTAATAATAACGTTGAAACCCACTCAAATGACGATATATTATACCAATTGCGAGTATCAATCTGTTATCCCCAAGTGTATAATCTTTTTCATATCTAGAGACTTCTTGGTTATGCCGACTTTAGCAGCTTTTATGTAGAGTTTGATTTACCGACTCGACATCATAGACGTAGTGGGCACTTTATTAAACAACATCATAAATACAAGATTGCAATAAATTAAATCGGGATGGATACTGTGACGTATTCCGTCCGATATGTCTATGTCGATGGTATTTAATATTAATACTAATATAATAAAAACACGTTCACTTGGTAATCGTACCTACAGATAAGATATAAAGCCGGAAACGTTGATCTTTCTATGGTAAGAGTACAACGTCCTCAGCAATGCCGTATATTCTCGTGAATAAGCACCCCTTCGATCATATAAAATGATCGGTAACCGTCACATAAACAACAAGCTTTAGGGGGTTAGTTTACAGTAATCACAGTAACCAGAATTTGAAATAAAAATTTATAATCTCATATTCTTAAGGGGTGCTTATTCACGAGAACTGAAGAGTATGTTTTCATTTTGTGAGTTTGTTGCTTTATGTTCCGCGCTAACAATAATTTCACACTTCGTTCTCTAGGACCTGATTTTCCAACAATATACTTCGGATATAATAACCATTCAACAGATACTCAGAGAAGTACTCACTTTACCTGAGGAATATATTTTCCCCTTGCCATTAACATTATCTTTCAAGAAAGATCAATATATCCTTCGGAAGAAAGAAATATTATATATTGGTTACTATGTGTTACGGTCGGGTGGTCTGGTTTGGGAGAGCGATTAGTCTTTCGTGTAGGGGTGTTCTTCCGACTGGGGATTTAGCTTTGTGCTACCGCCCTTATTACGGTAGTTGTTCAATTAAGACTGAAAGCTAAACATGCGTGCTTCCTAACTCCCAATACGAGTTCCAGTCACTTGTAATCCATAAGGGTACCCACGATAGAATAGCAACAACAATTATTATACCGCAGAATCGAAGGGGAATAAAATTTCATTTAATAATTAAACAGGGCTATCTTCGATTTGGTTTTTCAACTAGTCGGGTTCCGTCACTTGTCTCTAATAAACTAATTGAACAATTTTCGTTTCAATAAATAATTATTGGCTCTTGTTCCTCAATTAAGAGTAATAGATCAGCGGACAAATACGTTTACAGCTTGATTGAGCCATTTATTAGTGTGTCCGGTCCAATAATTAATATTTTAACGATGAAAGAAAGTGAAATTTCGATTTCAAAGGGAATTTATTATTCCGTGGAATGGGAATTATTGTTTTTACTAACCCAAACAACATTCGATAACAACATGAGAATTTGACGATGGGACAAGGGTTGCTTATATACCTTTAGCGTTGCCCAAAAATTGAAACGGAGTTTCTAAGTTGACTACTGATGTGATGCTCAAAAATCGCAACGCTGTACTATCATTATAGAATTAAATGACGGTCATGGGGTTTTTACTTGAAGATTTTACCATATGACTTGCTTATCTGATTCATCGCTGTATAATAATAATTGTCGCAGCTGGTGCTAACCAATGGGGTTAGAGAATAGAATCTAATCAACCAACAGAAAATCAAAGTTTCAGATTTCGGCATCAGCTCACAAATAATTGTTTACAAAGTCGAATTTATTATTCAGTTAACATTTTCGATCTCTGAGAATATAATTGCTTCCATCTGTTTAATTTAGATTTGTTTTGATTCGCTATTTGGATACTCAATTTCGAGTCTTTAATTTTATTACTCAAAATTGGAACATTTTCATATTATATATTAATCTGGGGCATGCTGTAACAAAGCCAGACAAGGTGAACGTTTGATCAAATGACTGGTGTGGCTGAGAAATTGCTAATATAACTGATAATGCTTTTTGGATGGAAGCTTTGTCTTAAAACACAGCTATGACTCACGCCTGAATTCTTAGGCCAATTATTATGCTTGACTAACATTCAAATTGATTAAGATAAAACTGACACAAACTTAAACTTTTGCATATAGGATTATCTCTATAATATGAAATAATTTACAATGAAAACAAAAAATTACAGTTCAATTAGAAGCATTCTAAAAAAAAGCTCAAGGAGAAAAAATCGCCCCTTATGTTTTTAAAATCAATGATACCAAAATTCTCGAGGAATATCTAGATAAAGAAAGCATTACCACCAACCAAGAAAGAAAGGAAAACTAGAAGAAATGTAAAGTTACTTTATGAACCAACCATGATATTATGATTGAAAAAAAGATTGCACTCTTTGTGATGGGGTTAAATTCATCGAGATGGAATACTTAAGTCATGAGTATCAGATCTAGGAAAAAGTATCTTTTCTTATGCTAACATGCAAGCTGATCTGATGAATTCAGATAAGTAAGTCACATGGTAAAATCTTCCCGCAGATCCTATGATCGAAGAGTATTACGGTCGTTTCGCATTTCTGGCAACAGCACAAACGCCACTAGCTAACTTAGAATTTATTGGTTCTTTAAAAAGATTCTACAATGATACCTTCTGTTACGCATTTTGGGTTTCGCTAGAATATAGAGTGTGCATTTAAGTACTAAGTAGAATAGCATGCATTGTGCATTAGGGAGTGTGCATTTAGGGAGAGTCGACTGTAGATTGGACGACTTATCGAGAATTTTTAAATAGTGAAAAGAACAGTAGAAAAGATTTTGGCCGACTTAAGCCAAAACCGACTTATCAAAGTGTACCGACAGAGGCGGTAGAACAAAGGACGTTTATAGTAAAACTTATTTAGTGTATGTAAATTTTGTTATAACGTGTAACGGAAATGCTAGTTGGACAGGCTTAACGTTAATAAAGATCGGGATATATTGACATCTCCGATCCTAATATTTTTGGTTACCGTCTCGTTCGTTTACCTTAAGCACATAGTCATAACCAAGTCTTATCCAATACATTCGATTGACTTTTTTGTCATTTACAAATAATGAGATTAATAAAGCAGAAAAGGTAGGTTACTAACAGAAGAAAACAAACAAATATTGATGGCTTTTTTTAGTTCTTGTAATGATACTTAAATCCAACGGTTGTTTTTTTGTATTAAATTCTATCCAATAAAATCGATGTTTTTTTTATAATGACAATTTGTTGAACATTACTAAACTGTCGTTATAAAAATTAATTTTGGATACATTGACATGCTCGATATAGTGACTTTTTGGGTTAAAATCGAGCGTGTCGTTATATCGGGTTTCACTTGTAATAGTATAACTTGAAAATTTAGCCATTTGTTTGGGTCATATTAATATGGCATACGCCAGACCAATTTAAGCTAAGTTTTAGTATAAAAATTGTTCCCGTGCTCAATATTTTTGGCGGGAAATTTGCCCTAAGCGGAAAATATTCTCTTGTTGGTCGCCCTCGCTGGCTTCAACTGGGAAATCATTACTAAATATGTCAATGATACACTTATAATAAACTCTATTATTATTATTTAAAATTCTCTAAAAATCGTATCAGGAACAGTCCTATGACTCTTATATTTTTTGCCAGCCAAATTCTGCCTGTGGTCCTTTCAATCACTTCCGATAGCAATCCATAAATCGTTTGGACCTGGCTGCATATTTTCGTATCGTCTGCAGAGAAATCGAATCAAATGCAGATGAAGAGTTTTCTTCAAACCATTCCAAGTCTAATTACAATGTTGCCGCGTATGTCTCTTAACAGCGCCCCAATACTGCTCAATAGAATTTAACTCGGCATGAAATTTGGAATAGAAGATAACTTTATGACCCCTGCTCTCAATTACCCATTGTCAAAGAACGAGAAAATTTTGTTTGCAGATCATCTTTTATTCAAGTTTAGTGTAACAAATTATTTCCATTTTGTTAAGGCCTTAATAAATCGGCATGAATGAAGATTAAATTCGCTCAAAAAGGTTGTTTTAAATTTCGGTTAATCATATAAACTAAATATAAATTAACTAAACTTTGAAAAGTTATATCTCAAGCCACAGGTAATCTCTGTCAAATTCGAAAGGTCAATTGTTAATGTTTATCAAGAGAAACAAATTGACGGTTTTAAAATTTGAATTATTAATACAGAAATGCTAGTATTTTTCTTTGAAAAGCATCAATTTTTGTTTGATGCGTACTGTGTCCCCCACCATACAAGTCTGAGAATTCAAGTGGCAAGCGAATATGTGACACCAGGGAGTCAGTTATACATAGAAATATAGATAACCCTGTCAAAATAGTGAAACAGTAGTTAGATATATAAGCAGTCATAATTTCCCTTAGTAAACATAATCTTCAGCATCTTCAGCATGTCTTGAGCGCATCCTCAGCATATTTGGTTCTATTTATCCTTATAATTCTTTTAATTAGAATGGCTCTTTGAATTCTAATAAATCTGTAATTGTGTTTTCGTCCATTTCCTTGTAAGTTTTATCAAATCGCTGATTAATATTAAGGGTGAAACGCTTTCTCGATCGGCGGTTAATAAGTTTGATCTTGTTATCAAACTTATCGAACTTAGGCATAAGGATTGTTATTCAATTGTGTTTGACGCGTTACTATTATTGAAGGCTTCGCCAACCGATAGATTTTTGTCATAATCGAGTGTGTGACTCAGAGGTTGAATAATATCCAGAGCAAGTATATACAGGTAATCGGATATTGTCCGTGAGTATTGATAAATCCTATAAGGTCACTAATTGGTTAGAAATTTAGCGAAGGAACGAGCCTAATAGTTCCGCTGGAAGACGACTAAATTCCAAGGACGCTCTCCCACGTGTGGCAATCCGACAATACCCTCTTTGTGTTTGTCCTGCGACAAACATCCTCACTGTAGCATACTCCTTCCAGTATTTACCAGAAAGCACTACGTCAAGCCAGTTTACTCAGATTTAGGTTCTCTTTGAGAGGCGTTGCATTTTGAAATATCTCTAACCAGTGTGGATTTCGAAAAAGAGATCGTATATTATTTGCAAACGGTTAATTATTCAAAATGGAATGTCGTGAAATATCTGTCAGAGAATTTCGAATTTTCCTGTGAAAATGCAACGGAAATAGAAGATCATCTAACGCAAAAGCTACGAATGATCCCCTCAGTATATTATTTATTATATCAATTATGATCGGATTAGGAAATAATAATAAATCCAGCTCATGTAAACCAATTATCCCAAGAATTTACACAACTCGATTGTTTCCATCATAACAATTGTCATAACAATTTCTGAATTTCTCTGCAAAACGCTCTTTAAGCTGTCCGCAAGAAAGCATTTAAACTTTTTACATCTATCAAGTCAACATTTGAAAGGCGCTCTGAGATCAGCAGATCTTTGAATCGCAAGACCTTAAGCTTTCTGAGGTTGGTATATCTGATGACTTTTTTATGACAGACACTATTACTATTATTCTGGCACATACTAATAAACGAAAGACAATGTACATTTTGTTGCAGCATGCCCCATATCAGCATAAGAAAAGATACTTCTTCCTAGATCTGATTAAGTATTTCATTTAACCCGTCACAAAGAATGCAATCTTTTTTTTCAATCATAATATCATGGTTGGTTCATAAAGTAATTTTACATTTCTTCTAGTTTTCGTTTCTTTCTTGGTTGGTGGTAATGCTCTTTTATTAGTTATGATTTTTCGTTCTTCTTGATAAATTTCATAAGTAATTTTTTTTTATCTATAGATATTTCTCGAGAATTTGGTATCATTGATTTTAAAAACATAAGGGCGATTTTTTTTCGTTGCGCTTTTTTTTAGAATGCTTCTAATTGAGCTATAATTTTTTGGTTCTATTGTAAATTAGTTCATATTATAGTTTTACATAGAGATAATTTTATATCAAACATATTATAATAATAACATCAAGCAAAGTTTGTGTCAGTTTTATCTTAATCAATTTGAATGTTAGTCATGCTTATCATGATATAGTAATTGGTCTAAGAATTCAGGCATGAGTCATAGCTGTGTTTTAAGACAAAGCTTCCAAAAAGCATTATCAGTTATGTTAGCAATTTCTCAGCCACACCAGCCATTTGAGTTCATGTGATCAAATGTCCAAATACTTGCAGACAAGGATTCCACTTCAGACTGTATTTTGGAATTTCAAGAAATTCCAAAAAGTGCAAGGAATTCGTGGCACAGCCTACAATATAATCGGCGGATTTTGAACACTCGGTAAATTTTCGACAGTCGGAAATACGAAGGCGATTACTTAGTAGAAAATGAACAAGCCAATAATTTAGCTTAGAGACACGTTGATCAATTAGTAGCTTTGAAATATAAAAAGCAGTGTAAGAGCCAGCTAGTTTTCGGCGTGTTTCAAAGTCTCAAGATAGTGTGAAGTTCAATATAAATATTCCGATTCCTTTATTTATCTTATTAATAAACGAGTATCATATTTCCTCTGATCATAAACTATTTACATATTTCCCTAAATTAGTCGATATAGGTAGAGCCACTAATCCCTATATCGGAGAAGGATAATCGCTTCTTGTCCTGCGATTATCTGAATAGCGAACTACGATAATTAATTGTTGAGAAATAGACGCGTTAATATTACGGTGTACCCCATATGGCAGACTGTCGAATTAATCCATCGATAGATAGTCGTTCAATATATCTCGAGAGCAGAAGATTGGTGTCGTGATCCGGCAAACAGAAGTACCGTCAGCGTTAAAAGCCTATACAACAGGTCACTAACTGTCAGTTTGGTTAAGCTATTAGTAGGAGGCGCTACGCTCCGTTCGAAGACTGCTAAATCTCTACGAGTCACGTATCATTCAGCTCTCCCGTAACATTTGACTCGACAAAAGGTTTATGGTTGAAAAGTGGAATAATATTCCCAATAGCCTTCTAACTAGTTTAATATGTTCAACAAAACAACACTGTAGGGGACTTGTTGCAAAAAAAAAAAAGTCATCTACTGCTTTCAAGCTTTAACATGTTATATGATATGGTTTAATTGGCTTACTCATTGTAAAATTAGAACAATTTAAACAACTGTAATAAAACATCTAAAACTCTTGAATATCTAGACCAAAATCGGATAAATTTAGCAGAATATTTTAAACCACTACTTATAAATTTTCATTTTCTATTACTATTGCTAACTCTGGTAATTGAAATTTATCTTTTAACACTGTCTTATTATTTTTTTCTGTCATTCTTGTAAAGAGTTAGGAAATTCTCGTTTTCCGTTCCCGTTATTAATTCGCTAATTTGTTCCATACATTGTTTAATTTGATGAATGTGATAAAAACAAAACAAAAGATCCTCTCCTATTCATATGACGATCATTTGCAGATTGCAGATCTACATGCAACGATAAATCAAGGCATGAAAGCGCTATGAACTGGCAGTGAGCGAAAATCCTTATTGACCGATAATAGCTTGTGGAATGGTAAGGACTGCGACAAAACACTCTTTTCTTATCCACCAAAAACCCAATCCTTGAAGACATAAAATAGGCGGGAGTTAATAATAATTGTAGAGTGTAGTACAACAGTTCAGCACAAAGGACAGATTGTGCGATCACACTATCGCTATAATGGGGTCTCAAAATGTGTGATATTGCCTGATCTTATCTTTACTTCTTCGCCATGTTAAGAGGTCATTACCGGTTGGGGAGTTGTTATACCCTTAATTCTTACTGGCCGAGTTGAGGTTGTTTTCGGTTTTTTTCTTCGACTCCAAGTTTGTGCAGGTATTGCGTGAGCAGTGTTATGTTGCAACTGCATATATTGCTTCCCCGTACCACATCCCTGAGTGAAGATCACACAATTCAATTGACAGATGTTTGATTATTTATACAGCTGGTATTTTATTGCATCTGCTTGTAGATTACTGTTTAGTCAGGCGCATATGAATTAAGCTTCGCTCGCATCTACTCAAATCGGCTCCCATACAATACAAAATACTCCCGACGCAAAATAACAAAGAATATGCACTTTGAGTGATTAACCGATAAAGACGGAAAGGCTTCCCTTTGCCGTACTACGAATGTACAACAAAATATCACTAAAAAATTTTTCTTCAACTAATAGAGAAAACGGGTTGGGATGTTGGCCCCTTGATCACTGAAATCTTTGTGTAAGACAATCAGTTCTATAAATCGATAAGGAGGAATAGTAATAGTAACGGCCATAATAATATTTAATATTGAAATAATGATAACTTATATTTTTTTATGCATATAGCATTCCGATTCAGTATTACCACTTACGTTATCAACTATCGAAAAACTATATCCATTCCCTCTCACCCTTCTCTCGAAAATCAACTCCCATCCAACATGTCCGTCCAAAGAACCAAACCGTTTTCAATAGCACTGAATGAAGCTCACATCAAATGGGTCAAGGAAACGGCAACTCAATTCGACGACTGGCAACCAAATAGAAGAAAGTATCAGAAAAACGTTTTATTAGAGTTTGAGAAGAATTTCCAGTTGTCTGGACAGCAGGAGGCAAGGCAATTATACAGTTTGGCAATACAGCATGTGTTGAGCGATCCGATTATCGCAAAGGATGAGAGCACGATGGCCAAATTAACAAACAGGAAGCTGGCATTACAAAAAGTAAGGACTTTGTTGAAGAAGCAGCCAAGCAATTTATTGGTAGAGAAACTGTCTACCTTGGGTCGGATATTTTCATGTCCAACTCTTACTCAACCAACGCTTCACTTCTTGCTTTATATCGTCGACAGTCAGAAACAAGAACAAATGAATGGAGGCAATACTGGAAACAGCCTAAAGCACATGAAGACCTCCAGGTAAATAAATACAAGTTTAACATGCTAGGTCTTGTTTCATTGTTTGTGAGATCGTCCATTACCATTGTTTGCATTGTCATCCAACACAATGATGGGATACACAATATGTGATTCTTGTGGAGTATAACGGCCTAAACGGGTGGGATGACGGGTATAAAGAAAATCTTAAATAAGGGAACTGCTAGATAGTATGAAAGCGTAATCTAAAAATCGAAAACTCCAAAGATAGATCGTTTGAATCAATCCATGATTGTCCCTCGTCTCAACAGACTCTTGATATCCGGGATCACTTCAACTAATTTCTCTATTTTTCTTTTTTTCTTCTTTTTTTTCTATTATCCACCTCTCTTGCAAACCACGTCTGAAAACCTTCTAGCTCCAATTTCACCATCCGTCACTCCCAGATTACTCTCCATTTCATGTCGAGCCATACTTTCTGTCCGGCTTTCCCCCGTCTCCAGATGATCAGCTAATAACACCTTCCCCAGGTCCCTGCGACCTCTGCGACCTCTGCGACCTCTGCGACCCCTGCGATCCCTACGATCCCTGCGATCCCTGCGATCCCCGCGATCCCTGCGATGACGATGCCCTACATAAACCCTTATTCAAACTCGTCCTCTTTGCCTTGCTCCTGCTTACTATTCGTTTGTTCGAAACAACATTCACACTTCTCATCCTCCGCCCATTTCGCACGATAACATCATTTATTTCCCGCTTTGCGCCCGTCTACATGGCAGCGATTTTTTCAGTGTGCCTCGCCCTCGTAGCATTAGAACATTTAATACTAATATCGCTCTTATCTATACTGGTAACAGTAAGAGCAGTAAAGGACTTCACAAATTGGGTGTCGGGGGTGGATTATCGGAGCATCAACGGAAAACGGCTTTTACTAAGAGGAATGCTGGGTTGTGTTGGTTTGGGTATTGTACAGTTGGAACTGATTAAGATGCACCCAATGGATTGTTATTTTTTCGTTGTATTTTTTGTACAATTAATCGGTGATTGTATGTAGAATGTATTTTCTCCCTGTAAATAGAAAGAAAAAAGGAAAAGAAAAAGAGAGCCGAAAGGCCGTGGAAGTAGAACAGAATCTTAGATAAAGTATTGCTTAAAAGAGATAAAGAGATATTCTTTAGATATTCTTATTTACTGTAAATAAAAATGTACAAGAAATTTTGTCAATCACAATTTGAAATTGGAATCAAAATTTTTGCTTCAGTGTGTGAACGATGGAATTCTTCTAGTTTCGATACTGAATTGTCCAGTCATTCATTTATGAATTTGGCCCTTCTATATGGTAAGAAACTGTAATTTATTGACAGCGACCTTCCACGTGCTGTAAATTATATACAGCCTTCCGTTACACAATTGCTGATACATCAATGGAGAAATTAATATTAGAAGAACCTTTTCCAGGGAATTTTAAAGTAATGATAAGGCGCGCTCTAGCAGAAAGATGGGATAATAAAGTACAATCTTGAGATTTGGTATGTAAATACCATATTGATAGGTTTCACCTTTTTGTTTGAGGAAATGGCCAAGAGTTCTTTCGCCTAGTTAATTAAAATAAATAAGAAACACTATCATTTTTTTATGTCTTTTATCACTTCGTTCCAGAATTTCGCCATCGGTGCGATTCTAAAGTCTGCAACGATGCTAAATGCTTAATATTAGAAATGTCGAGGAGGTGCAAAAAGTCTGGAAGCGTTCATGTCTGCTTGTTCTGACCTACATCCTGCGGTTCACTACCTTATAATTTTGATAGTGATAGGAAGGCTACTTCAAATTTCAAGGAGCATCAAAGTGTGGCGATGCCTTACTATGGAATGCTCCCCAGCATCGGGCCGACGCGTTAAACCTTCTGCATCATAGGCTGATTTTCATCATCCTTATTGTTGAGACAATCATATTAAAGATGTGAATCAGGAAACCTATACAGATATCAATTGTAAAGTAGACAGTTGTGATTACAAGTGTGAATAATATATTCAACTAGTACGACACTTTGCTATTACTGTATGAAACAATTGGCACAGGTGCCATTACAACCTACCATGTCAATATGCATTGGTATTTGGTATTTCTTCCTTAGCAATAATCATTTATGATTTAATAAGTCCCCCATACATTCATTGTACACCCTAAGCAAAGTAATTGTCGCTCATCGTGAGAATTTGCCTCAAACGTACCTATCTGATATCGTTTTAACCGTCAGAATATACAAGTCTATTATGTTGGGATCTTGTGTTCGTCCACACTTATACAAGCGCTTCTCCGGATCGACAGGACACTTGGCAATAAGAGCTTTTCTCGGACGGTATCACTCGTGGCATGAAAGTGCTGCAAGTACACTTTCTAATGTTGACACGAATACAGAGGAGTTTAAAGTAATATTGGCTGCTACCTCTTGTGAAATTACATGGCAATAGAGAGACTAAAAATTTTCGTGAAATTATAGGAAAATGCCAGTAGAATGGATGAACTTGTCGACGATTTAGAGAAACTCGTTTCCAGAATAAAATTGGGTACAGTTTATGAAATCGAAGTAACTCGTTTAGACCATAGCTTACGACCCTCAACCGAATCTATCTTGACAAATTATATATTTTGGTTGATGATAAGGCGGCGGAGAGGAGGCTAGGAAACGACATTTAAGCCGCAATAAACTTCTTCCGCGTGATCGGTAATTGGTATAAGCAAATACAGATATCTCTAAATTATACTCAACTTTGCACTCGAGATTTATACCATGTTCTTGTTCTCCCAGCATCAACAGACTTCTGGACAATGGGTATGTACAAAGCTCTGACTTTCTTCTATTAATTCCTTAAAAGTTATGCCCGAACACTTATCAAAATGTCTGAAATGAATTTTATTTTTTTACGCGCATTAAATAGTTCACCGTTTCTGGAATTATCACAATTAGCCGGATATAAAGTATACGACGAGGAAGTTCCTGCTGGGGGAATTATTACCGGTATTGGGCGTGTCGAAGGGTACGGTTTTTGTCAGGAGAGTGAAGTATGTCGCATATAAAAAGCGTAAAAGAATGGTTCTGATTGTAAGACTGTTATTTTTTTGCTTGATTTCCATGTATAGAGTGGAATGTATGATCATTGCGAATGATCCTACGGTCAAGGGAGGAACGTATTACCCAATAACAGGTACGATGGGACAAGTAAATGCTCGGTGTTTCGTGGAATGACAATGTTTGAATGAAGACTATGTGACTGTACACAGTAAAGAAGCATCTACGTGCACAGGAAATTGGACGCGAGAACAGACTGCCTTGTATATATTTAGGTAATTGCTGCTCGACTCTGCTATATCTTTCTTAGGTGCGAGATTAACAGATTCATTGGAATTACATCAGTTGACTCTGGCGGAGCTAATTTACCTCGCCAAGCAGAAGTCTTTCCTGATCGTGATCATTTCGGACGTATATTTTTCAACCAGGTAAGATACGTCTCACTCAACACCGTTCATCCGTTCATTTTTTTTATGTCACCTACTCAACGTTCTTATTGCCCTGGAAGGCTTCAATGTCGTCAGAAAATATTCCCCAAATTGCTGTTGTTATGGGTTCATGCACCGCGGGTGGTGCTTACGTCCCAGCTATGGCAGACCAGAGTATAATTGTTAAAAATCAGGGAACAATATTCTTAGCTGGTCCGCCCCTAGTCAAAGCAGCAACGGGAGAAGTTGTTTCGGCCGAAGAGTTGGGCGGGGCAGATTTACACTGTGAGTTTGAAATTTGGAGACGAGTCGACAGTAAAAAAGTATATCAATTGAGGTGAGGCGGTATTCTACAACATTCTTATCGCTTAGGTCGAACCTCCGGGGTCACCGATTACTACGCTTCCAACGACGAACATGCGCTAGTACTTGCACGACGAGCCGTTGCATTCTTAAATTGGACGAAACGCCCAGAGGTATTTCGATTTTAATCCTCAACTCGTTAAGGTCACATTGAATGTCAACAGATTTTATTATTAATTCGTACCATTTCTTTGCTTCGATCTCTATCTCTATCGATACTTTTTAAAATCGCGTCAAAGATCGATGTAAAGAAACCAGAAGAGCCTTTGTATCCATCCTCAGAATTGGGAGGGATAGTTGGAGATAATCTCCGAAAATCTTTTGATGTGAAGAATGTGATCGCACGAATAGTCGATGGAAGTCAGTTTGACGAATTTAAGGCGCTGTATGGAACGACATTAGTTACTGGTTGGAGTTTTTTTTCTTCTTCATTCATATGTCTTTGAACCCAATAAGTTAGTTGCTTTATTACCGTGTTGTTTACTTGTTCGTTTTATAAAATCTTACCCGCACAATCGCGTTCTACCGTTAGGGTTTGCACGCATATACGGTTACCCAGTAGGCATAATAGCAAATAACGGCATTCTTTTCTCCGAATCAGCCCTAAAAGGCGCACACTTCATCCAACTCTGTTCCCAACGCAACATTCCTTTAATATTCCTTCAGAATATCACTGGTTTCATGGTCGGATCATCGGCAGAGGCAGGAGGTATAGCAAAGAACGGTGCCAAAATGGTAACTGCTGTGTCTTGCGCCAAAGTGCCAAAGTTTACCGTGATTATAGGTGGCAGTTTTGGCGCGGGAAACTATGGCATGTGTGGGAGAGCGTACGGACCAAGGTTTTTATGGATGTGGCCGGTAAGGAACTGCGAGGATAGCAAGGGGATAAATAGATGGGGGTAGAAGTTGATTGAAAGGGATATTAAGAAGTTTACGTGAAGTTGGCATTAGAGTAAGTGACAGTGACTAGGCTTTTTTTGGGGGGTGTCATTAGAACGCAAGAATCTCTGTCATGGGTGGCGAACAAGCAGCTAGTGTATTAGCACAAGTTGTGAAATCCAAGGATGAGAAGGTAGGCCAATCGTTTCCAATGTTTCTACCTGTTTTTCATTCATCATGACCATCTCTCCCTTTTATGGATATAGTGGACACCTGAAAAAGAAGAATCTGTAAAGGCACCAATTAGAGCTCGGTACGAGCATGAAGGACATCCTTACTTTTCATCGGCTCGTCTCTGGGACGATGGGGTTATCAACCCTGCCGATACGCGAAAAGTGTTGGGATTGTCACTGAGTGCTGCATTGAATGGGCCAATTGAAAAGTCAAGGTTTGGCGTGTTTAGAATGTAGAAGATAGGATGGGACAAGGCGAAGTGACTAGAACGTCACGTAAGATAGGCGGCATAAAAACACTGTTTAACAATTTAGTGGGGATGTTAAGGAATCTGTTCTTTAATCAAAGTTTCAAAGCCTGGGATTGTTTCTGTGTTGGGCTGATTAATTGATTAATACCACGTTCATATGTCAAGCAAATGGTTATGTCGTGGTCTTTTTTCTTCTTCTTTTTTTTACACCCGTCGTTTCTTTGACTGGACTAAATTAATTAGAACACGATTTAGAATATTAATTATTCCATTCTTCTGTCATAAACTGCCCTAATTCGATGGGGGGTTTTTTGCATACGCTTTTCCATGTTTTTTTTTTTTAATAACGTTCTAGTCAGGACTATTGGATATTTTCTGCAAGAAATGCCCCAACATAGGAATAATGTTTGCTTCTCATCATTGGACTGTTGTCCTACCAAATACTATATAACTTGTCAAATATGTGCTACTATGATCGATTCATCATGTGATTTGGCTAAATAGATCACAGCTATAATATCCAAAATAGCTCATGAAGAAGTTTTATAACCAAGTTTACCATGTACAATTTTCACCATCTGAAACATGGCTTTGCCTTACGAGATTCTTGCGATAATTTTTGAAGAGCATGCAAACGATCTCTCGACACTTCACTCTTGCATTTTAGTAAACAGAAATTGGTGTGTGGTGGCTCTTCAATACTTGTGGGCCAAACCTTTCACCTTGTTGAGTCGAAGGATCAACTACGGAAAGTCAGATAACCTTACGATCACATTTATTGAATGTTTTACTGACACCGATATTGACTCCCTCCTGGAGGCACGACTGTGCAAAAAATATAGTAAAAAGTTTCCGTTTGATTATAGTGTTTACTTAAAGGAGATTCGTTTTAGAGAGATCGAAATTTTGACGGAAAAATGCACCGGATTCAATTTGAATCATTTATATTATATACGAGTCGGAATCATCCATTTAGCAATGAAATATTGCCCAAATCTCAACACCCTTTCTTTTACAACGGAAGACTCGGCTTACACTGATCAGAGTCGATTTCTATTTTCTATTAACAGCCTCTCCTGTGTGGAAAATTTAAGTTGGTATTTGGATTTAGATGATAACTTATTCAACACGCTTTCTAGAGCTGCACATAATTTGAAATCGATTTCAGTCAAAGTTCGCAGGGACTGTTACTATATACCAGTATTGAGGCATCATGGATTGCAAAAACTCATACAGTCTCAACACCAACTAAAGACATTTACTCTAAGATATGTGGCTGTCAATATGAGATCAGTGTTTAAATTATTAGAGTCACAATCAAATTCTCTGGAATCAATTGTTTTGAAAGACGTTGACGTTGATCCAGATGATTTAAACGTCAAACCAATTAAGTTTCACCAATTGAGAAGCATCTGCATAAAAGACTGTTGGATAAAAGAGGGAGGACTAAACTCAATCTTCGAGGCTGACTTACCAAAGCTACAACAACTTAAGTTCGAAAATAATTTCTGGAGACACAAAAGTGAGTGGATTCTGTTACGAGACAAGTACCTAAACCAAATGGGAATGTGTCCCGTTTCCGAATTTGACCCACTTCAGAATTGTTGTCAACATACACATAATGTGCAACAATAATATCAATAACACCGAACAAGCGAATTTATTTATTAATAGCAAATATTAATATGAATAACATAATACCAATAAAACGCAGTCGGTATTTGCTGAATACACGTTGTTTGTTCAATCTACGATATGAGCGTCTAATATTCCTGAATTATGATAATTGCGATGTTGGCACGAGAGACAAAGTTAAAATAATTACTTATGCTAGACATATTTGTGTAGTATGTAAATTTCGACAATGCTAAACGAAAAGAGTTGGGACTATTAAAACATTGTCAATACCTATGTATTGTTTGCTTTTATCATACCTTATTTCTTTTTGAAGGCGACTCCCTTTTTTTGTTAAAGCCTAGTTTATTTGTGATTGCCCTAACATCATATGATTATCTAAATAGCTAAAAACCTGAAGATCATAAGGCAAGTTGAGCGATTTATGCTTTCAAAAAGAAATAGGGTGGAAACATAATAAAACCAACGAATGCCATGTCAAACAGTGACATGAATTCATAAATAGAGAAATATCAACACATTGCAATTCGTTCTCTGAATTTTTATTATAAATAAGTTTCAATTTAGCATTGTGTGTTAGACTCTACGCATCAAGATTTACGGTCGGGGCTTCGAGACACTACTCGAACAACACACTGGCTGCAAAAAGACCTTTGAACAACTCAAACACCATTACAGTTACATTTGCACACATTGACGCAAACATTGCAATTACCATAATTCAGGAATATTAACATGTATTTAGCAAATACCGACTGTTATTATGTTATTCATATTTGCTATTAATAAATAAATTTGCTTGTTCGGTGTTATTGATATTATTGGGGACCGATGAAATGGGTCAGTACAACTAAGTGACATACTAATACCATAGTCATATTACGTTTTATTTTTATTATAACCTTGGATAATTTGAAATCGATTGGAATGTTTTTGTAAATTTACGTGTCCCGTCTTAATATTTGGATGTTTTATTTCCACATTTAATGAACGACTCTTTTTCATAAATCTGTACGGTTACGTGTTGTAAAAAACCACTATTTTATTCAGAAAGTCTCGTACTTAAATCTTATAGAACTATTACAGTATTTGCTGCTTGCAATCTAACAATTTTACTATATGGCTATAAATATAAAGGACTATTGCACAGTGAAACTCACTTCACAAAGTCTTAATTGAATGAAGATGGCTCATTTTTCTGGAACCAGTTTGCCCTAACAAAAATAAACAAAGATGCATGTATAAAGTGCTATATAGTGGTGAACAAAGCATTTAACCAAGCGATTCGCTTGTCGTATAACGACGCTCATAATGATATAGTGAAGTTCGTTGAACTATGAGGAACTTCGTTATTGTCGAGCGAGAGAGCGTTCAGTAATTGTTCTTGGGATTTAGCTCTTTCAATCGAGGCCCTCTACTCCTGCTTAAATTGCTAATACAGTTAGCGACCGTATTTCTGGTTTTAATTATACTCACGGTAACCGATCGGTATAACGCGGATCCTGACTACCAAGTACAATCTATAAATTGGTGGAATTAATTTCCGATAGTACGTGTATACGTGTTTTCTGTAAGATATAAATAGCTACGATCTTCATTAAGCACGCACGTAATCAACAATGAATGTCACGAGGTCTTAGAAAGTCAATTGATCACCACTTCTTGGTGCCTTTAATTTGGCGACTTTCCTATTAATGTATTCATCATCCCTAGAACCTTTCCCTTCACATGGTTTGGTGCACATATCGTTGTATAGGAATGTAAAGAATGCGAAAGAATTGCGCAAACGACTTCTTTCTCGTGATACAGAATTATGTTATGCCTTCATTGACGCAAGAGTAGTAAGCAATGGTTTAGACATCCATCCTTTAAATTCCCGATAATGAGTTCTTCTAATCTTGATCGTACGAATAGATTCTCGACAAGTTCCAGGTTCTCGTAGCGTCTAACATTGCGATATACAACGAAACACATAACAAACTTATAACACACAATGTCCACTCGGAGGTTGTGTACAGTCTTTCTCCAAGCACGAATGTATGGTCGATCGATCATAACTGCTTTTTTCCCATCTACTTTATATATATACTTTTTCACTTATTTGCTCGTATCTGCAATTCGCTTGATCCTTCTTGAAAGATTCGAGAATCGTTGAAAAACCACGGATTGTCAGACGATTCTACTGACGTTATCATAGTCAAAATAGGAGACTCTGCGGAAACTGTGCAAGCGCACTTGGCAAGAATTATCAAAGGAGAGGAAAGAGATGTGAAGGAGATAACTAGTTGTGTTGACCTGGCAAGAGTGAAGAAGGTGAGTGACCGACTTTGCTTTTTTAGCATTGAATTAGAGATGTTACGACTGTCATGTACTAATGTTATATTATTCAAGTGCTACAAAATAGTAGATGGCATATCTGATCGAGAAGAATTACTGAAAGCCGTCATTGGCTCCATTGCTATTAAAAATCTCAGTTGATAGTAAATATACGCTTGCAACATTTATTAATCTTGACAAAACATACGTTCAGTAATTTAGTTACATATACTGTATTCGTTTTTTTTATCGGTTTCTCATGCTTGGAATCATTTTTGAGCAGTTAAAGTTAGTCTTATTTATCTATTGTTTGACTCACTATATGAGCGAATTATCAATAGACATTGGTGCATCCTCAGGATCTTTGTCGTGAGAAAGCCGAATCTTCTGCTCTCGCAAAAACTGCACAAGTTCATTCATGATTTCTACATAATCGCTAGTATCTCCGGCTCTCAGAAAATCGTCACTTCCTTCGCCACTTTCGATTTCTTCTGCTTCGCGCACGCCTTCACTTTCGATTTTCTTTTCGTCTATTTGCTCTTCCTCATCATCCTCTTCCTCATCATCCTCTTCATCACTCTTCTTTTTCTTCTCCAACTCACACATATGTATTATATTTTTCCAAACACTTGTCTTTTCGATTTCTACTATATTGTCCTTCACATAGACCATGACTTCACTTCTGATATCTTCGTAACTTCTGACTTTTTTAAGCAAAATTTCCATTACATTATAAGGCGTGAGATTCTCAATTAGTTGCATCTTTGCTATATCACGGAGGGAAGTGACCAGGTATTTGTCAGATATGAGAAGCATGTCGTATGGAGTGGTAGGAGTTGAGTCGTCTTCGGCAAAGTGGATAGTGTTTGTATAGAGAAATTGGAGGAAAGCATAAAAAGTTGTTGGATGGAAGTCTGGGACATGAATAGTATATTTTGTTAAGTGGTCTTTATCATCGGTAGTAGTAGTGCTGCTGGTATTGATGCCGTTATTTGTTTCAGGGTCATCATTCATGCCCTGTTTTACGCTTTCGTCCTCATCCTTCTTATTGTCATTTTTACGTGTAGTCTCAATCCACCGTCCTCGAAACAATCCTCTGAAATATTCTGATCTCTCTTCCAAAATCCAGCTATGTGCAAAAATATCTCTATCTTCGACAACAAATTTGACATCTGCTACTTCCTGTAAATTGCTCTCTTTATTACATCTGCTCTGCTGTGTAATCTCCAACTGTCTTCCCCATGCAAGAGCAAGTTCCTCTGGGTACGGTTCCGGAGGAAGGGGATTATTGTGAAACGTGGACTGCAGTGATGTGCGATTGAAATGGACGCCGATTGTTATTTTTTCAGGAAGCGTATCGGCGCGACATATTCGTTTTGTACCTTAAATAGGGAAATGATTATTGTGTTTGAAATGTAATTGCGATGACGACACTATTATTAAGCCATAATAATATTTTTACCTTGCCCTTTCCAACGTAACGAGAATCGGTCGGTACGCGGACAAAACCAGCCGAGATGAGTATTATTTTCAGTATCTTTAATAGAAATCGCGGCAGTATAATCTCTTCTTCTAATCCAGTTTGCGTACGTCTTCTTCTCCTCTGGCGTTGGAATGGCATAAAGGAAGAGAGCAGAATAGTCTGGATTTTGAGGGAATGTCTGATTTGTAATGATGGTTAGAACATTGTTTGTAGAACACGATTTCTTGTCGGAATTGACAATATACGCACCTTGGTGAATTTCAACTGCCAGAATAAGTCATAATCAGTTGCGAATGGCGGAGTGAATACGGGATCTTTCAGCGTATCCACATTATCGATCGTGAACTCAAAGTGGCTCTCTGCGTTGATTGTCGTCATATATCAGTAGTTATGCAGTCAAACGAGACCTGAACGTGGGGAGGTGACAGAGCAGTTGAATTTATAATCACTGCGCAGTTAGCTGCGGACTGCGTATAATTAATCTACTGGTTGTTAATGCTTCGATCATATGATTCTGTTTTATTGCTGGGCTGCGGAAACGGTACAACAAATCACGTGATTCAACTTGCTTAAATGCTATACAAAAAATGTATTCAGTAAATCTGGGGAGAGCAACATGCGGCACTTGAGAATTAGTTCGTATTCAAACTTTCCCTCCAACTAATTCTCTCATGCCTGTTGTGAACGGCGAATATTTGGGGATAGAGTAGTAGTAGTAGTAGTAGTAGTAGTAGTAGTAGTAGTACAAATTGAGAATATTAATAATATTACGAACGAAAATTAGTTAGAATAGTACAAATTGGGAATATTAATATTACGAAGCTTGACGCACGAAAATTAGTTAGAAAGAACCAGAGAACTCTCTTATTACAAAAGTATTCACCAGAACATAATGATATCGACTGGAACAATTTATTTATTAATATTACTAATATTTCATAATTAAACGCGTCTACTTTTTAACAACTTTGATACGCGTTTGTTCCCAACAACCAGAGCAAACCATTTTATACACAACCAGAAGAAAAAAGAAAATGAGTTGTTTCAGCAATCTGATACCAAAATTTGTATCATATTAAATGCTATTAAGAAACTTGCGTTGGCACCTAATTGTCCTCACTCGATCGTACAGAAAGTTATTAAGATTTGTGAGTATAGACTTATATACAGTATGTAACAAAAACCCCTGGATATTTATTTTCAGCAAGAGGAAAAACAAGTATATTTTATTTTCGACGGATAAATTTTATGTTGAAATCCTTCAAAAGCATACCCTGGATGCTAACAGAATTCAACAAGACGGTGATCCAAACATACTGCCAAGAAGTTCTTGGGGAAAGAATGCTCCAGAAATTATGGACTAACCTCTGCTTGCAATAAAGTTTTTTGCTTGTGGAAGTCTTGGTTTTGGTAAGGGCATTGTATAACAAAAATATTAACGGGCTAGCTCTAAATTGTTAAAAAAGTTGCAAATAAGGTATGGCCTTTTGAAACATACGCAATTAATATTATGCATGGACTTTTTTTAGAACGTTACCAAATGCTTTTCAAGCAACCATTTGCTTTGCCAAAGTCACTGCCATTATTTCTGTATATTGGTAGGAATTCACTTCACGTATTATTAATACAAGCAGCTGCTGTTAACATTAGATCCGCCTCCTTTTTATCAGAACACGATATGTCGGTTAACATCGAATAGACTCTTTCACCATTTATACGTATGGGTCGTGTAGGATTTTACTGACGGTAAGTTTTCCTTCTATAAGTTTAAATTAGATAACCACAAACCATCGACACTGAAGTAATAATGCTTAGTTGTGTGTATCCTACTTATGTATTAATTTATTGTATATGTGCTAAATGCATACGCTACCCTTTACTAGTGAGCAGAAACTCCTGAGCGTTCAACGGCTGACTAGTGAAGAACGCTGAACTCCTGTTGAAGGCTAGGTAAGAATTTGTTAATCTTCTCCCAAGTAACATTCCAAAGTTCACGTTTCATTGCAATCATGTTTTTGTTCATGGGCTCTTCTTCCTTCTCGTTAGTCTCACGTTGGAGCACGCCTGACGTTGACATAACCAACAACATATTCTTAAGAGATTCGGGGATGGCTTCACTCTAAATAACAGTATTGACACGTTAATATATACAATTGTTTAAGTCGCTCAAGTTGGAAGCTTATCAACAAATCTTACCAACGAATCATTGTCTCCAATTGCCATGTATCGTTCCATCACGTCTAGTATCTGCGACCATAGGGTAATCAACCCTCTCCACTCGACGAGTCTGTTCAAATAGTGCAGAAAAATCTTGCATAGAAGGGCGGATGCTCGCATTCGCGTCTCATCCATCCCTACTGGATCTATATTGAAGATTTCCGGCTCCAGCAGTTGATCCAACAGAGGGAAGAGAACGACATCGAAAATAACAACCCATTCAGTAAGATTGTATGATGCCAAATCTGGATTAAGTAAAGCGCGTTGGAGATATGTCATTGCGGTTTGTCGAACCTCGCGACATGAGTTGTAACATTGCTGGCTTAATCCCGTTAGAATAGGTAGCCAATATGTCGACCAAACTATTAAATCGACTAACGTTAGTTATTGTCTTTTGATAGAATTTGCATAGTAAATTGACATCACCTTCTTCTATTGGGGTTTGTGACACGCTCAGGAGGCGTGGTATCTCTGTATACAGTTGATAGAGAAGCTCCACAGACTTTTGTGCCCTTTCTAAAATATCTGCTTGACTTGGGAGACAAAAAAACAGTCAATAATAATTAATATACAAACGCACAAACATATACAGTCTGATAAGCAACTCACGTCGTCGAAAGGTAAGTCTTCGCATTCTTCTCAGGTGACCTTTCCTTTTCAACCAAAACCCTGGCAGCAGACGCGAACTCTGTCAGCAACTCTACACTTTCGTTGAAGTTGTCACTGTTCACGTTCTTGCTCTCGTTGATCAGGACGAGTGTGTCAAATGAATATTTAGATGCCTGAGGATGAGTCGAAGTTGCGCGAAGTAGACCGAATAAAGTCTCCCATGAAGCTTGGCCCCTATGTGATTTCGTATAATTACTAATAGCAACGGCAAAGTGGCCCTTTTATGAACATGTAATATATTTACCTTATATAAGATGAGTCAGCTTTAATTAGATTATATACTCCAGCCATCATTTGCTCACCGACCGAATGCATTATGTCAGTTGGCAAGGCCTTTAACAACTCGAAAGATCGGAGAACGTCGGATACCATTTCCTCCTAAAAAAAACTTGATATATTTAACATTGACTTCTCATTCAAACTTGCGCATAAATCTTGCTATACAATACCTTATGCGTTAGCCGAATGGATAACCTTAGCAAAGCGACTACTGTACGCTCTACTAATAGAATACTACGATTCGTAGAATCTTTTAGTATATCCGCAATATGTTCGAACAGTATTGGCCTACAAATGACCGTTTCGGTGAGTACGATTAGTCTAACGTAATACGTCGAAACACTAAAAAATGACGTGTGGCTTTACCATAAGGACTGCACTCGATCTCGATTTTGTAGAGTAACATTTATCATGAGCTCAAGGAAAAAGACGGCAGCGGGGTCATACGGCTTGGATGGGGCGCTACCCTGCATATTTTGGTTGGACAATTCTTGCGATACGGAACTTCGTGAATTCAAAGAATCGGAGGGAGAGTTACCATCTGCAATGAATTTGAGTGCCTCCATCAGATATTCGAGCGACTCCTGTTGCAATAACCTAAAATGAAGTATCGAGAGTTAGTGCACAAATATATAACAATCTCTATAAAGAAACACAATTACCTAATGTCCGCAAAGAGCTCTTCGAGACGACACACCGCGACACAATCAGCAGTACACATGGTGCATTCAATTTCTTCCTCGGTTGGTTCGCTTCGGGAAGGCTCCAAAATTCCAGCGTTTGCAAGCAAGTAGAACAAGAGTGATGAATTCCCACGGGTTCGATCATCTCTTATTGGTAAGCTTTTGGGTTTTAGAGGTATAGTGGTCGTACCCTCTAAGAAATCTTCGACTTGTGACATGGAGCTTGGCAACAAGGAATTAACAAAGAGATTCTTAATTATCTCAAGAATCTGTGATATTGACCAAAGTACAAACACAGACGCTTAGAAATTAGTGTGTGCTCGACCTTATTTAACGAATCAACTGGTGCCATTTTACATACGAATTTCCAACCGTCTTTTAACACGTTTCCATGTTCATTGGCGATAGCAAACAAGACTACAGACGCAAGCTGCCCCTTATAATTTCTTCCAAACTCAATGGATAAATCACTAATTGTGACATCAGTATCGTTAACTTTTACGACAGGGTTGCTGGCTGTTTCATTTGAATAACGCTGGCCAAGTAAGCCAGTCATCTTGGCAAGTGTCATAATTATATAATCGAATACGTCATAGAGTTGATAGTTTGCCGAAAGGAGAGCACATTGATGGAATCCGGTAATAGCTTTCTGCAGGGTCATATCGTCAGGAGCGGAAGTAAACGCTATACATCCATCGATAACATTTGAATGTTTATGAACGCAAAAAATTAATGCGGCATCGAAAAGCGACTTATCTGAGGCTCTTACCGTAAGAAATAGCTGTCACTATCGGTTTCCATGTGGTTATAAACATGTCTTTATCATATAATGGGACATCGCATATTATAAGGGGACCTAACAAATTTACAAGTTAATTCCAAGTGGCCTTCGAAGTAACGACCTCCAAAAAAAAAAGAATGATAATGAATAATTACCAGCTGTCTCTGTACGATGAATCAGTTCTTTCCATGCGTAATTAAATCCGAGTTGTCCTTCATGCTCTTCTGGCATGACAATTTCTCGTTTTCGAATAGCATCATAAATAGCTCGCTACAAGTATGTGTCAATACATGTCCTTTATATGGTAATAATGATGAAAAAACCGACTTACCAGGTATTCGTGGTCAAAATCTTGTCCATTGTTGACATTTCGAAGATTTCTCATATAATCATCGATACTCATACGGCGCTGACAATGCAATTATATAACGTTGAATTTTTTTTAGAAGACCAACCAATTTGTTATTACCCCTCACTTACTCGAACTTGTGGATTATGTAAATCGGTATTTAACATTATGACAGAATATGATAACACAAACGTAGCATCTTGAGTAGCTATTTCCGCTGCAATATACATACAATATGCAAATAATCAGTAAACTTCAAGATAACCGCATATTGATAAACAATAAACCATCGAACGTACGTGGGCCAGAAGCAAAATAAGTTGTTGCAAAAGTCTCCATTATTCTCTCAATCTGCTGAGCTTCTCCCGGCAGCCGAAAAGATTCTAACAATTCTCTCATAGCTTCATCGATTCTTTTCTAGACTCAGAACAAGCTTAGTTTATGAAGAGGAAAAAGGGCATGATGGTCGTCTAGACTTACCCCCTTGAAATCGAAAAGTCTCACAAAAGCCTTTAACACTTCGATGTTTGAAGGTTTAGAGAGAAAGTCACCCAATATTGTCTTGTTTAATCGTGGCGTAGATTTCAAGAAACCAGCGAGACTTGTTTCCCTATTGACAGACGGGTCGTCGTAAATGACACCATTCGCTATTGGGGTAAAGTCGATGTGTAAGAGTTAGACTATTGTAACAAAAGACAAATTGAAATTACTAACCTTCCAAGAACTCGAGACCTGCTTTGGTGGTTTCGTTAAATTTCGCCGCTCCCTCCAACAATATTTGTTTCCATTTTCTCCTTTCCAATAGCTCAACAGGCGAAGGATACACCTGGTAGCAGTTGCAAATTCAAGAAAACAAACCCCTAATTAGCACAAGCATGAGGCTCACACAAATCCAAATAAAAAATACTACAAGTACCGATGGCCGCAGTCCAAGACTGTAATCAGATGCAGATAGTTCTTTCCAAGAGAATCCTGAGTTTGGTGTGGCTGTGTGATTTTTCTAAAGTAGAACATAACGTTTTCTAATATAGATAACCAAATATTATCACACAAACATTCTGCGTGCATTAACATACCTCCGCTTGTAGTCGATCAACCATATGGTTCACATACATTAAGAGAGCATCTATACATAATAAATGTGAATTGCTTGCAGAGTAGAGAGTTGGATTCGGGAATGAATTCTATCCAACATGAAAAAGATATGATGAGCAGTCAATTGAGTGATTGTCTATCAAAAATATCAGTTATAGAACGTACTCTGCTTAAAAACGCGACAACGTCTTCGAATAGATTACTACAATCAACATTGCAGTCATAGTTAACCCAAAGATCAACCATGAAAGTCGGCTCCCTGGCGAGCTGTCCCAACGATTCGAGGAGTAGCTCGCGCACTTCTCCAGTAGCAACTGTAGCATCACTACTTCCACGAATAGATTTATCGCGTAGCGTATTGAGCGGCGTTGAGGACCCTGACGCATGAGGAGAATCGTTACTATCGAGGATGAGAGGTATGTCTGTACTAAAGGCAGCACTAGGTAATGCGCTGGCGGGAGTTAATCTTTCGATTAAAAAGGATAGATAGAGTTCTTGTTGAAGCTTCAAATGTGGTCGAAGTGTATCAAATACAGTTGATATTGTGCGGAGGGTGAGAGTAAGTAAAGCAATGTTCTCTCTGCGAGCCAGCTAGTGAAATGTCGATGGGAAAGTAACGATTAATTTGACGTAAAGATGACTATATTATTAAACAAGTTCTTCACCTGAAATAAGGATTTACACAGATCGTCGACGACGAGGTTTCTCAGACTTTCGAATCGACCCATTGTTCGACCACCAACTTCAAAAGCAACATTGAGAATACTCAAGGCCATAAGACGCATTGTATCTGTATGCTGATGGTCATGCGGATTCAATAGAGATATTAGAACTCGCAACAGCTCTCTTATCGATGGTAAACCAAATGGTCGAGGTTCTAAATGAAGTTCATCTTTAGTATATTCGTGTTATATGAAAGTAAAACGTTCGCCTATGTGAGCATGTAACCATATCATCGTTTATTTACCATTATCTTCTTCCTCATCGGTTAGATCGGGAAGGGCAGCTATTATACGAATTGATTGATATGTAACTCATCGGTATCGAGTGAACAACTTAGTAACAACGAAACGATCAGTTTACCGTCTTGTGTTTGGTCACCAACGTCGTTCGTTGTAACCGGTGCGCTTACGTGTTCAACCTCTTCAGTATTCTCTTGAGTCTGCAAATGTTCATTATCTTTGACTTCCTCCGTCGCCGATACAGACAAGTTATTAAAATTACCCATAAGATTTGGTATGTCACTCTCATTGGTTGAAGAAAGAGGAAGATGAGGCGATTTAGGATCAGGTGGCGCCATTCGCACTTGAGAATCTAAAGACGGCGTATTGCTATTCCCTTCGTCTTCATTGGGAGGTGAAGTTTCCGAATCTTCATTCAAATGTTTAAGCCTGGTTGTTGAGACGTGAATAAGACAAGCGTTTTTATTCCAAGACGTTTTTACGATTTACGTTCTTCAGAGGCTTGTTTCAAAACATACCTCTGGAACATTGTTTGAATCATAACAACCATTGTATGCTCCGCTGAACGTCTAAGCATTTCTGAAAATGATATTGAAATGAGCGAAATTTGCAATCGATTTATTAATCACACAATCATATACAGAATTATTTGTATCAAGTAAAGCATTACCACTAAGGCGCATTTGACAACACATGCTCAACCCAGTCTCCATCATCTCGCACAAAGATTCGTCGCCTAAAACCTGCCCAACTTCACTAGTTAATGCAAGACGTAACACTTGCAAAATCTTAAGTAATACAAATTCATCCGAGACAGAGTCGCTCGCTTCAAATTTGCAATGGGTTGCGGCAGAAGAAAGCATCAGCATAGCATTTGGGAGGTTGGGCGAGTTCTTGTTTATAATCGCATAGGTCAACAGTTTCTCTACACTGCTTAAAGCTGTTGAGGTTATGGGTCCATTAGTATCTCCTGAACGTATGACTTCCAAAAACGGTTCCAACAATGATACAGCATCAAGTTCTCGCAGATCTAAACAAAGAAGAAAAAAATTTGTTAAATCAAGGATGAAATTTTACGTGAGGCATTTTGACGACGCGGAACACATATATACCTGACACACTAGCAAGCTGCTTTCTTAAATTCGTAAAACCCGCCATCAGAGGGCTCTCCTAAGAGTGGACACGTTGACGGAGAGCATCAACTTTTCACTTCCCACTGCTGTCTAATTGAAGTAATTTCTGAATTTCTTGAGCCTTTATTACGCGTAAGGTTTTTTCAATGTACCTGATTTATATAGCCAACGTCGTCGGTCATGGGGCTTCTTCCTCTTAAACCCATACTCATTCCTAAACTACCCATATTCAAACTGCTAACGCTCATTCCAGACCACCGCGAATTTTTGCGCATAGTACTGGCTACGGCAATGATTTCTGCGTGTACCAGTTGCGACCAACTCAGCTCGCAGTTTGGTTGAACTAGCTTTTCATCGCTTTGAGCGGTTGTCCGGGACTGAGATATCTGTTGCTGACCTTGTCTCTTTGAGGTGTACTCTATGGGAAGTCTCAGATGTGACATCCTTTCCTAAGACTATATTCTATTTCCTATCCAACAAAATCATTCTCATAATTTAACTTGGTCATTCTGTGTGACAACGGATTGGCCAATATATTTACAATACTAATTGTATTCACAACGTGTCAGGGGAAGAGACTAAACGCTCTCGGTATTGAGAATAACTTATTTGAAGCAGTGAAAGTCGATATAACGGACCATCGATATAACTGACCGTCAATAAAACGGACTTTTTCTCTGGAACGGAATTTGTATACTAAATAATATCTGATATAAAACTCACAAGTCGATATACGTATTACAGCAGGTCCCGAACAGTCCGTTATATCGACTTTCACTGTGTACTATTACGAATGAACGTATTGACAGCCAAAGAGTCAAAATTACATAACAATAATTCAATTTTTAATAAGCACAATTTTAAGATCTTTATTATAAATCCCAAGGCCATTTATGAGTGCATATAAGTATTTATCGTTATCGGCATAACTCTACAATGTGGGAGCATTAATTAAGACTAGAAACTCTAGAAAGTTACGATTAATGAAAGAGCGCCAACGAACAAACAGTATGGAAGAACCTAAGACAATTTACACGACGAAAGAACTGAAATCGGACCCAAAATTTTCATTTAACAAAATGGCGGTTGATACAGCTTCCACAATGAAAATAAAAACTTGATGATAGTGTTAATATTATTAATAATAGTAATAATACAGAAGATTAATGATGATTGTATATCATAGCTATTTACTTTCAGATCCGAAGTCTATTAAGAAACACTGTTTTCTTCATGATTTCATTTTTAATCTGGCATAGTAATAGTTGTATTTAATAAATCCCAGAGACATGAAAAACTTTTTTGGTTACTTGCTAACCCTATGATCTAACCCGTGACTCCAACACATATTATAACCTATGCCTGAAGTAATTCAAAACCATTGTTAACTGCGAGAGTCATTTCGAAGGTTAAAGGAGAACAAAAAAGAGCTCTTTAAAATAATACAGAACTAGCGTATATTAGTATTGGTGCTTCCATCTTTTTTATTTATTGATTACTTTAGCTTATTGGGGCAAGTCATACGTTTTGATGAGTAAAAAAGAATATACCTTTTTCGATGTCCCTTCACAAAGCATATTTACTGTCTTCTTGGAGTTTATAATGACTTTTGACAATATCAACTGTTGAATTTGATTGGATTCGTTGCCAATAGCCATTAATTTGAGAAGTCTCATGCTTGACAGAAACATAATTAGAATTACAGTGGCGCCTCCATAGTGCACGCCGGCATTTGTGTGCGGTGTGCACTTGCAGAATAACGAATAGAAACCAGATATTGTTACACAGCTTAGTAACTAATTTAGTAATAGCATTCTAAATCAAGCTGTGTTAATATTAGTGTTAGTTTGGCGCATTAAATTTGTTCGACAAAATTTTCAATATTCTGTAATAAGAAATATTTCTCCTTTGTTGCATTTATTTCTTTACCTGCCTTCTCTGTTTAATTTCCGAGCAATTATACTATTTTAAGAAACACCTTATGTTATACCAAATTTGTAAGTATACCACATTGCGCTATTGCATATTTATTGATTGAAATCGCGACGATTTAATTTATGGAGGTCCACTGTATACAACATAATTAAAAAAAAACAACATATTTTATATAAATAAAAGAAGAAGGGACAAACGACTTATTGGATAGTATAGTCAGTAAAAATATATAAAGCAAACAATTTACAATTAGACCCAAGTAAAACAGGGACAGCTGAGGAGAATGACTATAATGCCTCAAAGTCTCGAATAACTGGTAAAGAAGAATATTATTATGTATACATTGCCCATGCCTAAGTCACAAAAAGTCATTACCTCTCTCCTCTTCTTTAAGGATTTGCAGTTGCCATTGTTCATAAACTTTTTTCATTATAAGGTCGGACTCGTATCGTTGTTTCAGTCTTGCAAGACGTTCGAAATTGATCGCATATGAATCGCACCTACAAATTTCTAATTATTTTGCCAAAATTATAACACGACACGTGACAAAAGCATTAGAATTGCTGAAAACAAAGAAACAATGGCAATTTTAGACGTCTTCTCGGCACGCTGTTAGTGCTCTCGTTATACTACATAGATCACGCTGATACTATAATGCGTGCTATCGATATCATAGAGATCAGTTTAACTGCGTGGTTTATCGGACTTGCTCCGAAATGTACACTGATACTATTGTTCTTATTTACGGAAACAATCGTGAAAGTCGTAATGATGTGTTACACTAGGCAATATATCGATATCCGTTTTGCTTTACTATTGGTCGACAGTCGCAGACTCTCACGCTCCTTATTGCATAGATAATGACATTTATACTTATAAGGTTGCGTACGACGGCAATTGATAGTATTAAGTAGTACCAATGTATGTCATCTAGAATAATAATGCGATAAAAGAAGTAGGCCCCACCGACGCGTTTTTTTTTTCCCTTTAAAGACGAGTTCCGTAAGCAAGAGGAAGGTAGTTTGAAGACGAAGTAAGAATTCTTACTGGGTATCTGTTGAGTGGTTTGTGCCCTAAGTACGCTGCCACTAGGTTAAAAATCGGATTACGCGAAAGCGCATCAGGCCACACCTGTATATCGTTTATCTTTCGGGCAATTACTTAGTATGTGTATCTGAAGGTACGCTACCACTAGGTGTAAATCAGAGGTTTAAAAGCACATAGGGTGTAAATTAATTAAAACCCGTTACCGAAAAAAAAAACTGCTACTTCAGCTTTGTGGTGAATAGGATACACTCAAAAATACTTTGTGGTTCAGGAATGATTTACTTGCTATGAACGTTCGGTAATCCGTTCCGAAACGCCGACTGTAGCTTATCACGCTCGGGCTGTGGTGAATAGGATACAGGGGCCACTGAATTGAAAGCGCATCGTGGCCACAGTCTGCGAAGTTTACCCGTTAGGACCCCGGCCTTGACATCGGTGGTTTTGTAATCGTTTATGAAAGAAATAAATCCATTGTTTAACATCTTTGTTAGAGGTTTACCTTCGGCATTAGACATTCATATTAATGATAGTGAAATTGATGACAGCACAGAACTGCCAATAGTCAATGCCAATGATGCTGTAAAGAGTTTAGAATTAGTTCGTCCCTTTTTGCAACAGCAAGAAGATTCTAAAGAGTTACTTAAACATGTTAATGCTCTTGATTACTACATTGGTTTAAAATTGATGAGTGCAAAGAACCAAACAACCATAGACAGTTTTTTTAATCGAAAATAGTAAACAGGTATTTTAATTTTGTTTCATTATTATGAATAAATAAATATATATATATATATATATCACGTGCAACTAATAAAATGCTGACTCTCCATATATGCACAGCTCATTCCCGAGGGTGTGCATATATGAAGGGTCGACTGTATACGTTGGCACTTAATTAGCGACAGCGCGATAAATCCAAATGCAATTTGTGATATTGTTATTGGATGTTAGCGCGTTAGTATTAGGCGTAAAGGAATACACGACTTTTATGGCGCATGACTCCTATCGCTATATGAAATATTCAAGTTCAAAGTAAAATTACCCTAATACTATAACTACTAATTATAATAATAAACTCTTTGATTTTCCAGCCACATAGCATTCACTATGTCACATGATAAAATGTTCACTTTGTCTGGTTTTGTTGTAGTCTGCCCACAGTATTAATTATAATAGTAATAGAGTTTGCGGTACAATTAAAACCGTTTTCTGATTTATAATACTATGGGAATGAATTAACAATGTTCCAGTCTTGAATAGGGAAAAGGACAAAATATTAATTATTGTGATCACCATTATATTATGTCTTAGATAGCATTCCGTTTATTTGGGAAGTCGTTATTTGAAATATAATACATGGTTTAGAGGACCTTTCTTTTGCCAATAATTAATAATGGTTTAAAAGAAGAAGAATAATAATAATATTTGCCATCCAAACGAAAATTCATTATTATTATTATTATTGCGTAAACACGTGATCATTCATAAAGTCAATGTAGCACACATATCGCTTTTTTAAGGTTTGAGCATACTACCATTCTTCAGCAAGTACTTTCACAATTGGCAGACACATATAGACACACATATTAAGTCTTGGTATGCCTCGTGGGAATAAGCGAGTGAGTGCTATAAACTCATCACCAAGAGGAGGTCGACCTCGTGGAAGAGGTGGCCGTGGTAGAGGTCGTGGAAGAGGAGCATGGAGTGCTTCTCCAGTCTACGACAACAAGTCGATAGGAAGACCGGTTAATGTTGACGAGGAGGAGGAAGAGAAACGTAAGAGGCGAGCCGAAAGGTATGTTGGAAGCTATGGTACAGGGCTTATTTGAGCATGCGAAGTAAGTTGTAGTTGTAAGGTTCTTCTCGCCTTTGATGCAATTTACAAATTTCGAATAAGATGGTTGTAGATGTCGTAAATGTAGATTATGGACAGAAAGCTAGTATGACGAACATTAAACTATGTTTTCTACGCAGGTTTAAAGAAGACCGTTGGCGAACCCCGGTCGGATCGGGTCCACCGGCTTTCGCCATGTCGTCAAATAGAAGACAGGTCTCTAAGTATCCGAATGCAGAACGATTTTTAAGAGACTACCTCATAAGACAAGCAGTAAGCATTTTCGACAAATAAATATCAACTGATCGCCTTCCTTTCCTCTATCATTATGATCTTACGCATACCAATCACGTAATTTTACGTAGACGAACAGAAGAGACGTCGCAAAAATTAGGACACTGCCGAGATATATAAACATACCAAAGTCCGGGCCGCGACATCGAGCTCACGACTTCTTTATCAACCTTCCCTACCTACAACGACTATCAGATTATGGCAACGCGGAATTTATAATGAAGGCAGAACTGCAAGCACAAAAAGCAGAATTATCAGAGATAATGAAGTTCAAGGGACCCCAAGGCCCACAAGGACCACAACTCGAAATTTCTGCAGAAGGGTCGCCTATACCCGTTCATGCAAGGATTGCTCGGCCATTGCTAATTAGGACTGACTCAGACATTGAAATGGCAGAAGCTGGGCCGCTTTCAGAATCTCCGACAACAGTATCAGCTTCAGCCATCTTTCCCCAAATTTCTTTGAAGAAAGCGAATGCGTATGGTATGGTCGATGGAATAAGAGAGGACCTGTCTCCTATGGACGTTGATGAGGATTATCTTGGGAGGTAAGACACATGACTGTCATGTCGCCTACTGATATCATGCTAAGCACTAGATATGATACTCATTATGTTGTTATGTTTATATGTCAATACTACAGTCTTTTGAGAGCTTCAGCGCGAGCAAGAAGAACATCTTTAAATGCAAATACGAATACGAGAAGACCATCGAGAAGGTACAAAAGCTTATGCATACGAATCGCAGCAAGTTGAAAAGTGAAGTGTGGCGCATATCCAAGTCAGAACGTGACCTTATATATGCTGCGTCCCTGGTAAATCTTGAGTAGGTTGCCAGCAATTACCACAAACCGAAAAATGCAATGCTGTATTTTTACTTTTTGACCCGTGAAAAAAACAAATTACTTTTATGAATAAATTAGCAGGGCAGGTGTACATAAGAGCGTGCTAACTCAATTGGTCTATTTTGATATGGTCATCGTAGGGTGAGCTTCACCGGCACTCAGGAACTTATTGATTTTAGAACAGGCAGAAGTAAGGAAACAATGGAGTCGCCATCGTCAAATCAGCAATTCGAGGCGACGGTCATTACAGAAGAACCAGAAGATATCGAGGACAACGAAGCAGTTCCGGGCACTCCGGGTGTTAATAGTAGCCGCACTCTTTCCTTAGATGATAAACACGGAAGTTCAAAAGCTGCGTCACCGAAACTGAAGCGAGCAACAATACCAGACAGGTAATGTCTTTGAACCAATTACTTGGTGTCACTTTTCTTATTAAATTATTTACATGTTAATTTGCTGTCCAAATTATAGCCTAAATCCAATGGTCTTCAATATGCGCACGCGGACATATGCGGGCTGGGCGACAAACTCTTGTGCTCTTTCGGATTGCCCGTTCCATGCCCACAAGCAGCCAAAATGGGTTCATGACATGCTTGTCAATCCCCCCAATTTTTACTTCTAATATCCGATTCTGAGATTCAGCCGGCTTAATATGTGAATTACGTAGGAGAGATTATACCAAGTGGAGCACATCCGAGATGTTCGCGCCACGTTATACTCATTCAGCAAGGGCGGTGCCTGCAACTGAACAAAATTAATAACAAATTCTCAGGAACATTGACAGTACAACAGGAGGCTGATAACCTACCTCAAATCAATGGCAGCTATATGGGAACCAAGGCATGAGAGGAAATTGTATAAATAGCAGTCGATCGAGTGTGTATATTAGTTAATATTGTAGTTATTATTAACCTTGTCAATGGGTAATCTGTGTGCGATCGACTCGGCACGTTTTAATTTAAAGTAATGTTTATGGCTGTTGCTGCGGGTACCATTAGCTTGGCAACATTTAAAGTCAATGTTATTCCGAACACAGAATTGTAAATCTGTATACAGTCAAGAGGATTTGTATCGGGATCAATGCTATAAATAGTTGCGAACAATGAATGTACATGTTGATAGATTGCCAACAGGACTTGCCTTAAAAGGAGTTGTTTTAAAAGAAGTTATATTTTTTTTGTTACAGTATTGGGTAAAATAATGTGGTAAAATATTGAAATTTGAGGGAAGAGAGACAATTCAGGGACAGTTGCGGTGGAGGGAGGATGCAATGTCGGTCAATAGAAGTGCTATTGTAGTTGTAGAGTTTACGCGCATGAAACGCGTAGGAGCCGCTGGAGTAAAGGTCAGACACAAAGAATTTGTATTCGAAGATAATAAAATTTTACATTTGTATTGCCAAATTGAGCGTTAAATGGGAAGATGTGTAGTTATCTGGCTTGCTTTACAGTGGCAAAAAAAAAAAAAATCTTAAAACTATGATAATGACCGGGCGGTACCACACAACTCTGCGTTCTTTAATTTCCCATCCGTACGAGTTACTCATGATAGACTCTCACAAGTTTTAGAGACTCTTTTTGAAAGAGGTACTAGTTTTCGAATTCCGGAAGAGAATCATAATCTATACCGAGGACTTGCTTTAATTGCGATATAATCAAATAGTCATCGTTACGGTTCCAACTTTACTCCTGGACTATCGATGCCGTGAGTGAGCTAGAGTACAAATAAAAAAATGTTACGGTTATTTTTTCCATATGCGATTATTTCGGTTTGTATCAATACTCACCCATACTCCACAGTGGGACGACAAAGCCGCCACCAGTAGTTTGTAATTCGACTTTTCTCACTTGCCAATGCCGTGGTTTCCATTTTTTAGAAGTTGGATTGTTTTTTGATGAGGTTGTATGACTTGATTCTCGAGATTGGCCTATTTATGGAGAGAATACCAATGAATTACCGTAAATGCAAGAACCTCTGCACATATGGTTTAATGCGCTATGTTCAACCCAAGAGCCCAATAAACGTGCCTTGTCCTTTCCGTGTTCGGTAATTGTCGGGATCACTTGGATCTGCTTGATCTAACGACTCGGATATCACAGACTCATCTTCCTCACCAATATAGTCTGGCGAGTCAATGTATCTAAATTGAAAAGGCGCAAGATTATTCTTCCATGCTAAACAATAAGCAGTATTCTGTTCTAGTGACAAACAACAGTTCTTATGCTGGCAGTCTGTAGAATGAAGAGCGTATTGCATGTATACGTATATAATGTTATTGCCTAATTTTGATGTTTCTCTCGCTTAATATAACCGCGTATTGCCTCCCAAAACGACAAATACCTACTCGTGTTCTTCAGGTTTGTACACCTTAAATTTCAATTTGATTGATTCATTTCTTCGCTTTGTATTTCCATTGCCGCTTCTTCTTGTACTCTTGCTCCCACTCTCGTATTCGCCGTCATTCTTCTTTCGTCGTCCACGTTTCTCTGATTTCAGAGCATCGTCATTTGCATCTGCTGATTGATTTATCACTGACGGAGTAGTTTGAGGGTTGGAAGAGCGTTTGCGTTTTATTACCATGATTATAATTATGATAATTAAGCACAATAATCGGGCATAAATGGATTTGATCGACCAATGAAATTCCGAGTTTGCTGATATTCACGTTAGAATATCAACAAACTAATCTATGTGAATAACGTGGAAAAATATATGACAATCTTGAAACTGGTCGTAGCATTCATAGAATATAATTTCAGATATTCAAGATATTTTCCTGCCACTTGTAATTGTGCCTTTTTTCCAAAAGCTAATAATAAGTTACGATGTGAGGTTGAAGGGCACAAAATGCAAATCCGCGGAACTTTTATGCTTGTGCAAATCACCAAAGTAATGACTGATTTTGTTATAAATTCGCGTGAGAAATATTAATATTGTCTAAATAAGGCAAGGACTACGGTCAACTCACCGCGTTTTCCCTGCTTTTCATAATGAAATTCCAAGGATTGATATAATATCTTTATATCCAGAAGTTTAAAACCGACAAAACCATGCCCATTAAAAATGCTCTCTCTAGATTGCAAATTCCAGATTGCCTTATTAATCTCTTCTCATCATAAAGATTTTGTTTCAACTTTCCCCGTAAACTGAATTCCATTCTTATTGGCAGCTCACTCTTAAAATTACTGATCCCAATCTCCATATGCGCTCAATATTGCTAAACTCTGCACTCTTCAACACGTCATCTGAAAGTATTTGCACTTAGCACCGATATCGCAAACTTTACACTATACGTGACCTTTTCCTCAAATAGTCTGCACAATGGTTGTTTTACTTGTTTCTGAGCGAAAGTTTTCTCTTCATTGAGTATGAGCGCAAATGGTGAGTGCATATTAATATTAGTATTAGTTATTGATTAATAAATCTATCAATTATAAGCTTGCATTAGCTAATAAACATAAAATTTAAAATTGACACAGTAATGTATCTCTAATATTTGTTATATATTAAAAAACTAGGTTTATTCAATTTATTCCATGTAATTCTATATTAATATAACAATTTGTTGTAGTGTTCCTGTTCATCCAATAGAGATTTTAAAAGATTTTGATAATTGCATAATATCATCTCGTTGCATTCCAATATCATTTGCTTTTGCAATTAATCGTTCAAAAACATCCTTCAATACTACAAACATGAATAACAAATATTAGATTGTGTTGAATGTCACTAATAAGCATGCCGCTATCATGTACCATCCTACCTTTGCTGTCGTCGGGCTTTAGCAGCGATGCTGCGATCGAAAGCCTATCGGTTTTACTCAGCCAATACAGAACATCATATATATCCTTTGCATCATCATATCTATCGAACATTTATCATCTTGTGAGCTTCAAAGTCATGATCAGATATAAAACGAATTAAATGCTTTACTTACTTATCCCTTAGTATGCGTGCTATACTAGCAAGGTATTCGGTCTCGAGGAATACACCAAGAATTTTAGAAAGTTTTTGTGGTGGAATGGCCTTTTGTTAAATAAAAATGGTAAGACAATAACTATGTATAACACATCCCCTACCCCGCGCGATATCTAATACCTTTATGTACTTGTACAAATCATCATCAGATTGAGAATATTGTGACCAATCATGTTGAAACTCGAGTATTGTTTTCGGAATGCGAAAGTCATTTCGTCGTTGCGGCTTTTTTGCCATGTCTACTTTCGTCTCGGTAAGAGTTACTTTGTGCATCTGATCAACGTCGTCGCTTTTGGACGCCTTTGAGTCTGTGACTTTGGCGTCTTTCTTTTCCACTAATGCTTCTACAACCCCCTTGGTATCATCATTTGCTTTGCCATCAACAAGAGGGTCATCACCAAAGTCGTCAGTCTCAACTTCTTCAATGTCTAATCGTTTTCTCCGAGGAACTGGCGCAGCTTTTGATTTTAGATCTGATTCAACGAGCGGAACCGCTGATGGTTGCTATTGGTGGCAAGAGGTAACACGGTTTAATATTCGTACATGAGTGAGAAAATATAAACTATACGTGCCAAAGTTATACCTGAGTCTGTTTCAAAGCGTCAATGACTTTGGCCAACTCTTCTTTTATTGAATTCTCGTTTGGTTCTAGATCGAGGGCGTGCTGAAGATCTGCAAATCAGGGAAACGTTGGAGAAACGGAATTTGTATACAAATTACGCATCTTTTAAAAATTTGACAACGATATAATCCTTGCTAATTATACCTTGCTTGGCTTCACCAAGTTTCCCTTGTTCTCTCCTTGCTACGCCCCGTCGCCAAAACGCTTTCGCATTGTTAGGATGCAATTTCAATCCGATTGTACAATCACGTTCTACTTCGGCATATCTAATAGAAAAATAAAAAATGTTAAAACCGAGAAGAGTGAGCGTAATGCCCCCTCCCTATCCCCGCCAAAAGATATATTGGTATCAAATCAATTGACCATTGGATCGATTTACTTTTTGAGCTTGAGATGAGCCATTGCACGGTTTATAGGAAACGTATGCTCTTTTGGGTCAAGTTCCATAGCTTTCGTGTAATATTCAATTGCCTTTGCATAGTTTCCTTTCATGAAGAATTCGTTTCCCTGTAATTAAGACCAGTTGCTCAACAATTTCTTTCCTTTTCACAAAACTTGATACGTTAAACTCTCCGTCATACCTACTCTCTTACGTTATATCAATTTTCATCAATATTACCTTCTCTTTCTCCCTCAAGGCAGTCTCCATTCTGTCAGTCTTCTTTCCTTTAATGTCATAAGACGTCCTCGACTGAAACTTTGGCCTCCCGGTCGACATTCTATCAAATTCGCCAAGTTTTTTGATCGATTTTTCCGCTCTATATTAATATTTACGATGACGTACGCCTTTTTGTGGCACAGTCAATATTTCAGGGGGCTAATTCCACTGACCCCCTACATTTCGCTCGAGAAAAAGAATGCTTGGTCAAAATCTAAGCGGGCAAGTAAAGAATACAATGCTTTCTCCTTTCTTAGTTGCGTTTATCTTACAACTGTTGCTAGAATGCCACAAGTATTCAGATTCACAAGCCATGTTTAATTTCCAAGCTTACTCCACGTTCCCAATTGCTTGCTTGTTGGCGGAGACTTTCTTTGTTGCACCGGAAATAATCTCCGATTAACCGAATGCTGTACGAGAAATATTTTATCTCTATTTGTTAATCTTGTTGTTATTTGTTCGACGAGCTTCTACCAAAAGAGTCGTTAACAATTAATACCAATTTTCTTTCACGCGTGACCGCGCTTCAACTATAATAGCGTAAATGCAGGGCATAGTGATACACGGCTTTTTAGCCAAGATTTATTGCGCACAGCCTCGTGCCATGCTGGGGTTATTTCCTTGTTAGTCTATCAACGTTTGCCGCAAGACTTACGCAAGTATGAAAATTAACACAAAAATTACAAACGTCCAGTGGTGTATTAGTACTATCAACAGCAAATGAGCAAATTAACATACTGTCGTATTTACGTCAAGATTTATCGTTATGCTTGCCTTTAAGTAAAGCATCAGAAATGAATAACAACAAGAATAAGTTTATTGGCTAGAGTGTTCGCAACTATTATATCGTCCATTACTTGTGCTTATCATCATCTTGCTCACTCTCTTATGAGAATATATATAAATCTCGCATAATATTATTCCTCGCAAACATGATTAATTATGTTGCGAGACATTTTAAGTTGTAGTATGAATATTTCGAGTTTTTAATCTAAAGAGGAAAAGAGTTTTAAAGAAACTATTATGTGCAGTTATTTAACAATTATTGTTTATGAGATCATCGGGAAGCCGTCAATTTGTAAACCGACATATGAGGTTTTCGATTGCCATCTTCTCCTTACTGGTGATAAAAAAACTGTTTGTTGCAGGTCGAAGTAGAAAAAAAAACGAGATTGTAATTTATCTTTACCTTGACAATGACGGCCATACGACCTCTCTGTCATATATTTGTGCACATCTCTCAACAAATGATGGATCCCGAGCACGTTTGCTAATATAGTTGTGATAATGATTCTTGCATGTGTTTGGCGGACGTCCAGTGTTGAGTGCTTTTGCAATATGTGCCCATCCAACTCTCTTCACCAAATGCAGATAGCAGATAATGGCGGTTTCTTTGGCCGTAAAGGGTCCTTTGTTAACCGCTGATTAGCGAAATTCGATAGTAGAATATAGATTAGACTATATATAAAAAGCGCCAAAACGCAATAACATATCAATGCGTGGTGGTTTTCGCCTTATTGTGATAACATCAACCTCCGTTCTTTGCATAAGATAGCCATCGTTCTCTCATTTGTTTGCCGTTTCGAGTTGAATGGTAAACGGCCAATTTCTCCCAATTTTTTGGACCAAACAGTTCGACCAGTTCATGGAGTTGTTCATCTTCCTTTTGTGTATTGAGGATGGAATTATTGAGAAAACGATTGTTTTTGTTTTTCAGCATATAGCATGTCTATTGTTTTTTCTTCTTTACCTCTGGCACCCAGTGGCCGTATTTCAAGACTTTTGCAGGAACAATGCCTATTGGAAATAACTTGTCTCGAAAACGATCCGCGGGCATTTTGATAGACGATGGAGAAAGGTTCTCTGGGTTGATGTTTTGAAAAAGGTGGCAGTCTAGGACGGTTTGACAGTCGAGTGAAAACAGATTACTGTTTACTTCGAGCGGCGTGCTTTATAAATAGAATAATTGCTATTAGTCTTTTTTTGCATGGAAATAATAAGTCTTTTGTCACTATTCAGTCATTGTGGTACTGCCAAATCTTTTGTCCGCAAATGTAGATGTTCGGAATAGAATGTGTGTGTATGGAACAGTGCTGTATATGGTAAAAAAGGGTTTATCTATTACCCAGCTGTAAGACTAGCGAATTTCTGGTAGATATGCATAATAAGACTAGTTTTCGATACTCATAATTCGAATTGTCTGTATTATATAAACTGTATAAATATAAATATAAATACAAACATATGCATATAACATATACATATAACATATACATATAACATATACATATAAATAAATATAATATCCGATTACTTAATGCTTTGGGCTGACAGGGGAGGGGGTTGTCGGGGTTGTCTACAAAACCAAACGTAAAAATGAGTAAGCAGATAAGTATATTTGTTACACGCAGCTAGTGCTACGGATCAAATTGGTAATTATCCAATCATTTGTTGTCTAATCAATTTCCATAGCGAAACTTTCCCGCAGCTTGACTGACATCCGTACAGGACAATAATATTTATCAATAATAAGGGTGATTATCAGCCCACAAAAGTCATTGTTTCGTCAATGGAATTTTCCTCACACGAGACAATTTGATTGGCCGGTCCATGTATGATAATTTTTTTTAATATATCTCTTTTGGTTGTTTCTACGCTCGATAAGTGCATGAAAAAATTTTTCGGATTCAAAAAGTAGTAACGGGTTGCCATTGTTGAAAACGCCACAAGAAAACGACTATGATGTTGTGTTCGCGTACAATGTAGTATAGTGTAACCAATGTTGGCGCGTTACGGAATTAAACAGTGATAGGATAATATCATGTGGCCAATCAGAACGGCAGAATCTTAATCCCGACTATGCAATAGTGAATGGAAAAGGCGTCTACAAATTCCATTGCTATTTTTATCCAGGCCATACTGAGGCAAATTGCCTATTTTGCTCAACCGATTGGTAAAAAACGTACAGTATTTCCATTCAACATGCCAAGTGAAATACGATTATCGTACAATGCGGGTTCTAATCTTGGCGCAACATGGGATAAAAAGTCGAGTTTAATTTCTTTGAGCAAACTTTATTCAAGCAAGATTGTTACGCCAAGCAGGTGGCGAATTGCCTGAATGCTGTAACAAAGTTAGTGCTTTACTTTCTTAATTTAATTGATCTTGTTATCTAAAGTGAGCATCGTACTAAATATATAATGAAAAGTATTGTGTTTAATCAATACAAAACAAACATATTCGCTACAAACCATAACTTGTAACATGTTTTGTTTGTTTACAACATACTGTAAAATATAACGTATAAACTCGGAAACAAGTTTATGGGAAGGGGCTTTTTTCTGTGTACAGGTAGAAATTTATCAATACATTAAAGCTTGACATCTAGAAACGAACGGACAACTAATAAATCTCTATGCTCCTTATTTTAGTGTTTGTGTTTACATCGGCAACCGTATGATAAGTGTTTTCGGTTATTGCGTTAATCAATACATTTTATTTTTTCGACAATATGTTGCGCTTATTTACCCAAACATAAAAATAAGATGAGGTATCAACGGTTGATAATGTCGACTTTACGAATTATCGGAAAGTAGACCGGACACCCAATCTAATTACTGCTTAGCAGTTAGTTTATTGACAATTAAACTTTTCCAAACCATGAATTTATACCGTGATACTATATTAAATGCTATATCCGTTCTTTGGCGGTTGCTCGAATTATATTACTTTTTGTTATTCAAAAAGGTTTAGATAAAGTAGTAATAGCATACGTTTTGTGGTTTGAGAAAATAGGCCACGACAAAAGTACAGCAATGTACAAAAAACAGTTCTACTATTGTTTATTACTTTATACGTTATCTTCTCGTTCTTGTTCGTGCAATCATCTATATATGGGAGGTTTTAATACTCACAAAGAAGTTACTCGTAATTACTATTGTTTATTGCATGCAATTTGGTAAATAATCTCAACTATACTAATATTGAAATTATTAAACAAGCTTCTTTTTTTTTTCAAAGAACGGATTCGACAATACAGGCGTAATGAGTTAGAAAAATCATAAAAGCAGGTAATATATCCGGCTCCTTCGCTTCCTTGTTGGTCAATAATTTGTTACAAAATAAAAAGGTACTGTACCTACAATTTATTCCATCCTCGGATATATCCCGGCTTTGGGGCTGGACGGATTTCCTCTTATTATATCGCAGTGTATCCCAATCGATATATCCCTATCCCAAATTCACAAAGCCCGATTTCCTATATTAATACCCTATAGAAATATAATTTACCATATATATATTAATCGTGTTACATAAATATAATGCTATTTCTATATATGGTCAAACTATCCCTTGTTGGTTAGTATGCAATACATTATCATTACATGTGATCGAAAAGTGGCATGATCTTTCAATCTGACATAATAATAATAATGCTCAATTCAGCAAGTAGTAACTAAACAAACAGTCATGCCACTTTACGGTTAGGCCATATAACACACCATTTCGTTGTAAACAAAGACGTCTCCATTGAGAGCGTGTTTCTGCTTAACGTTTACGAAATTAAGAACAAAGGGAATTTACGATAGGAGATACATGCGTGATATAATTCGTCGTTTAGATGGGTCGGTAGGAAAGTTAAAGCGCCAAACTTCATTAACAGAGATATTAGCCAATAAAATTTCTTGTAAACATTTTATCATGTGAACTCAAAATGGCTGGTGTGCACTATATAGTATATTAATATAGGTGATAGTGTTTTACTTGGATGGCACAGTTGTGACTCATGCCCAAGTCCATGATCTGATTTTAGTTGCATTTTTAACTATGTTATGGTAAAATGTAACATTCAAATTGGTTAATATGAAGCCAACACAGAATTTATAATATAGGATAATGCCTATATTAATATGGGGCATGCTGCAACAAAACCAAAAGTGAACATTCTATTATGAAGCTGAAAGTTAATGGATCTGGCTAATGACATTTTTGATTACTCACAGCTGTAACTTATTATTATATACAAATTACAGGTTTAAATTAATATTATGCCAAAATATATTTTTTATTGAGTAAACTTCTACCTGAATTACAATATGCTTAACATAGGAATATAAAAATAAAATATATATAATTAAATTATATTAAATCTACTACCTAAAAACTATAGTAATAACATAATTAGAAGTATTTTAAAGAAAAAAGAGTCATGATTTGAATATAAGGTGTTAATTGGTGCCATAACTTGCGAAACGCATCATATTTTAACACTTTCAACGTGCTATTGTTTTCAAGACCAGCAATAAAATCACGATAGACTGACGTATAACTCGTTTCAGGTGGCAAAAGTGTAAGCGATTGAGTAATGCGATTGACATTTCTACCGGGACTTGGTAATCCATGAATTTCAGTATGATTCTCGAGAAAATTCTTCACGACTATAGCAACGTCTTTATTTATGGTTATTTTGGCACTCTTTTTACATTACCATGAACACGTGGTATTATACCATTCGTCGCCAAATGATTTCTGACGTTTTCGAAGTGAGTGCGGCCAATTCCTAACATATTTTCTGATAAAGCGGCATATTGCGATCTCAATAATAAAAAGTTCTTTTATTAGTACGCGTTTTCTTTTTTAAACGTCGGCTGGCAGTTATTTCTCCACCATTCATTGCTTTCAACCGTAATATGTATTGTTCGGATCTAGAGAGGGCTTGAAACGCTTCACGTAATTCAGCAAACTTTTCTCTCGGAATATTTTTTGAGCAACCGCAATTGCAACCTATTTCCAAAAAACGTATTGCCTTGTCATATTCGGTAAAACAGTTATAATTAGAATTTTTCATATACGGGTAATCCTATATATAATTTTATCACTTTCATAATAGTAATCTGCATGTATGTTCAATCAAGACATTAATTTCGACAATCGAGTTGATCTGAGATTCTAAACTATTTTACTGTAGTTTATTGTAATTGATTCCAAGTATTCTATCATATCACTTGTTTGTATACATGCAGTATCCTACATAAATGGTGATAGCACAAACAGTTTGATAGAAATTATATTGGAACAGAGTGAAAATTTAATAATGAATCCTATATCTTAATTTTCATAACGTACTGCGGTAGTTCTCGTATCCATCGAGGAACATTCTGTGCAGTTTTTCCATCTACTGTACAGTAACTTTGTTTACCGAATTTTTCAAATATCGATTCAGGAACAACAAAATACAGCACAAACTTCCTATGCCCAGCAATCTTTTCCATTCTTTGAGCACAGCCATCTTGGCACCATGATGTAAAGATATTGTAATTTGGAATAATCCAACTGTGGGTATTAAGGAGTCAAATGTTGGAAAATTTCTTGCTATCAGTCGCCAGTAGTCGTCAATTTTGGGGTCAATAATGGAAAGAGTTGTCATACTATCACCATCGCTGGCTACTAGAAAATGACAAGGGATTCATGTTGTTGTAGAGCAAACCACATAGCAATTTCTTGAGCAATATAGTAATATATATGGATTAATCTATTGGATCTGCTGATTGTATTTGATGTCTTCTTAGAAGATGTTCCACCAGCTAGTATGAGAGACAATATTAACTGCTTCAAAAAGGATCTTATGTTATGGATGGTAATAATTTTGGCTTGTAACATGCTATGGCTAAAGCATGTGTAACCCAGATTTTTAATTTTTTAAAAGCAGTTGTTAAGATGATTAATAACAGGAATGCAACTATTTTTATAATTTTTTCACCCTCATTTGCTATTAAAGAAATACTTGCAGTAGTAGTTGCCTTTGATATTAACCTGCCTTTTTTTCGATTACTCACTTGTTTTTGCATTTTGAAAAATGTAGAGACAATTCCAATAAATAGTTTAATTAAAATTTGAGGCATTTCATTAACATAGAAAGTTAATGAATCTGGTGCTTCCAAAACATCTTTCTTGATGTTTATAACATTACATGAGTTCCAAATGTTTTTGGCAAGGTTTTCCCCAAATTGAAATGAAGTCTCAGGTGTTATTGTAGTATTAATATTATTATTATAATTAAGACTTTCTGGAGACATTCCATGGTTTTTTAAGATTGTCCTAATTACAAATGGACTTGGTATTGGGGCTCTATCAGATGTCTCTGGTTCACTTTCTTGTAAATCCTGCAACATTTGTACTGCATATCTTAAAGCTCTCCTTTAATGGGCTGTCACCTTTCTTGGCCACATGTAATGCCATGTTTCCAAGTAATTCCAGTGATGTTGTTGTATCTTCCGCATGTCGTTAGTGCAGGCTTTGTCACTCCATTCTCCTAGCCGTTGCAAACGCCCGCCTTGTAATTCGTAACACATGTAACAAATGCATTGTGATCGTTGAGAACTGCCTTCTGTCATTTTCTGGACGATACATGGAACACTTTCAATCGCTGGGCAATTGTGTTGACCTATACATGGAGCTTGTGTCTTTTTCCCCAAAAATAACCAACAATGTTCTTCCCATGGTAGTATACACGATAATATTTTTTACAGAATACACAACGATGACTGGCAATAGTAGCCTTTTCATGGCTTTTGCTTTGCTTCAATCCAGGCGGGTAAAGATCGGAAATCAAACATAAAATGAGTATAACATACTCCAAGCCGTTCTACTTGTTTATTTGCTTCATCCACAAACTACCAGGAGTGCCTGTAATGGTAAATCGGTGGTATAGTCCAGATTGGACGGGTGACTGTATATTGGCTATAAGATCACTATATACTTGTCGAATGATGAGTTTTTATGGGTAGTGTGGGTTGCCTAGAAAGTAGATGTCCGGTGGAAGACAAAGAATTTTGTTGCTGATAGATGATTTGGCTATGCAATTCCAGAACTTGGCGAGATCCGGGAATGTGGTCTCATCTAGTTCGAATTTCCGCTTCAACGGGACAACTGCAGACATATACATGAATGGAGAGATATAATAGTAATACAAACAAAGGTCAGCTATGGCTGTGGTAACCTCACAACAACTCATAATATTAGAGAATCATATTTCTATGTCCCAACGCCCGAGTCACAAAGTCGTTACCTGTCTATGGAGTGACTGTGGCAAAGGAATCGAGCAGGCTAGTGCTTCTTCTGTAATAAGGCCATTATTCCGTGCCTTGCTTAGTTCTTTGAGTCTGTCAAAGAGAAACCCATTCTTAAAAGTAGACGTCCCTACTATAAATTACGCAAAAGTTTCGTTTTTTGATATCCGTTTTTGATAGATCGGCAAGTACCCCAAATTTATGGATATATCCGCAGTAAAGTCACGTTTCACTGATACCCAGCACTTTTTGATAGTCATCTGTTCGAATAAAAACAATATTATTTTGACATTGTAAAATTTCGTAGAATTTGACTTTACCGTGTCTCGTATTACGAATTAGTGACAATATAGTGATAGTCTTCGTACGCGTCTTCCCTCTGAAGACTTTTCGTTCGATTGAAGATTAATTCGTTTAAATTTTGACTTTACTTTCAATACCAATTCAAAATCCACATATCTGGCAGAAACTGCCATATTCTGCAGAGAAGATTGAAGAAGCTCGCAATTAGCTAATAATAACGCAACGGATAAACCTCAGGGCATTATCATTTTTACCATTGCTATTATTAATAAAATTATCGCTATCATCTATTTCGTCATCTTCATGGTTTACATTTTCCTTTTCTTCATCGATCCAACGTTGGATTGCTTTAACGGTCTTTTCCCGCGGAGTTGTTCTTTGAAGATAAAAATTTCTTATTGTTAATGCAGCGATGGCCTTTTGTTTATTGAGTAACTTATAAATTTCAACTGCCATTTTGTTAAATGAAAATTTCGGAACCAGCCCTGCCTTTTTGTCAAATAAGTTCTTCAGCAGTTTTTCGACGTCTGGCAAGTAACTTCGTTTGCCGAGTGGTTTACTTGATTATTATTATGCTTTTTTTAGGCTCGACTAAATTGATAATTTTATCAATCTTTTGATTTATGTCGTGAAGTTTATTTTGATGGAGTGTATAATAAAGCATGAAGCCGAGGAGAACTTCGACCAGTAATACAAATTCACTGGAGAAAATGAGCATTTTCAATTTGTTTGAGTCAAAAGTGATAAGGTGGCTTTTACGATTGATTTTGCGAATTGATGATTGTTAGGTATGAAGAAAAGGGATTCTACCGTCTTGTTTTATATATTAATATAATACTTTCATGCGCTTATAAAAGGTAGACAAAAACCGTTTGGAGCAAAGATTATTTTATACGCATAAAGCACATCTTGAGCGTTTTTGTTGTTCTTTATGGTAGTATAACAATCGCTAATCAGTATTGTTAGAATTTATATTGTGGGACAATTTAGAGACAACGTTCTATCAACCAAAGAATGTAGGTATTCGTACTAGTAGTACGACGAAATACTAAACCTAATCAAATGAAGTAACTAATTTAGCAAATGTGTTGAGTGACACATACGTAATAAGATATGCACATCAATCACAGGGAGCAATCTGATTTGATGCTTGCAGCAAGATATAAATGCGCAAGCTACGCGTTCTTTTCTTCTCATAACCTGATAACATGGATCAACAGGAATTAAAAGAATACCGCAAGTTTTCTCGTCAATACGAGAAGGAGCATCCCGAAATTGATATAGATGCTGATGAAGACCAACAAGGTAAGCAAGCAATGAATACACGTTTATTGGGAGGATAGTTAGACAGTTATCAATGCATTGCAAGAGAGGCAGTTGGAGTGTTATTAGCTGGGCAGAGTTGGATCGTAGCAGAGCTAGGTTTATGCGTAAACTCGTTTGAAAGGCAAATAAGCAAGATCCAATAAGTTGGGTAGTAGTAATGGAGAGAGAATAGTTCGAACGCTGTTAGAATAGGTATATGTTTTCACATTGCTTTTTTCTGTTGTACTTTGCTTACTGTCGCGTTATTTCTCTTTTATCATTATGTTGCTACCATTTTACCCTTCAACCTATCAAACCATTGTGCCACTTTCGCTAATAACTTTCAGCCGCTCCTCAAGGTATGCTTTGAAGCCAGTTGATGTATTATCGTCAACAATGTCAACCTTTCTGCTTATTAATATTCATATCGCTGACTACTTCTTCTTTTCTGTCATCTGAAGCATATATTGGCCCCAATGTCAGTAGGCTCTAATAGGACTATCGAAAACGTCTTTCAAGAATTTCTACAAAGCGAAGAAGGAAAGTTCTTGGGTCAATATATTCATAATAAAGATCAACTGCTTCTCTTTAAACCGCGGAGTGGCATCTCTCTCAATGGAGATATTTCGACAACATCCGAAGGACGCCCTTCCCTCTTGCTGTATAATCTTGGTAATTTACCGATGATATTCTCAAAATGGCGTTACACAACAGGATGCTGGTCTTACTTGGCACTTCCGGATGTGGAAAGACGAGGACATGTTTTGAGATTCTCTGTCGCTATTGGAGCATTTATTTGGTTGGTATTTGTGAACGCGATGGGCTATTCCTGTTCTTCTCAGCATCGCTTCATGATGGGCTTGTGTGATTAACGAATATTCCCGATACTCTTTACGTATTCCTTCTAAGATACAGGGAAGCTTAACCCAACGAGCGTAGTATATCAATCTATCATCTACACTTCGACGTTTTCAATCAAAACTACCCCGACCACCACCAGCTCTATAGTCCGAAGTAGCCTGCTGCCCATGCAGTGGAAATTAGGCGAAAAGATGCAACCACTACAACTGGCACAATTGGCACGAGTGCCAACAATACTACCATATGTTGCGCCAGTTGTAACCGACGTTTACCGCGCTACATCCCTCTATCAGCGAGCACTTTGTCGCTTTTTTTTTTCCCGGAGGTAAGAAACAGTTGTTGTTTTTTTCTTTATTTTGTGAGATATTATATATTAGATCTTCCATTTAGAATGGCGAGTTCTGTTGAAAGAGGGATAACTTTTGAAGATGGAATTAATGCACTTCTAAGGAGAGTGGGGTATATTACAAATAGGAGGTAAGAATTCTTACTGAGTATTGTTTAATGGTTATATCTCGCTTGGTGTCGAGTGTTAACTTAATCGCAACGGAATATAAGTAAACTCATAGAAAACGTAACATTGTCATAGGCCCCTAAATGATATCGGAGCTAGCTTCCGGTTCAGTGAATTATCCAGCAATAATAATTGTGACGGCTGATGCTGAGGAGAATATTATTTATGAAGTTCCCGACAACGACCATGCACTTCAAGGATACTGATCAAGCAATTACGGATGTAGACGACATAGATGATAGTGAGGAAAGTCCCGTTATTAGCACTAGCACAGCAATCGCCAGCTTGGAAATAGTACATGCCTTTCTTTTTACAACAGGATAATATATACCTCTTTACAAAATATTGAAAAGTTTGTTGAAGTCAGGAAAACAAGCTCAATGCGTCAAACTAACATTGACACATATTTTTCTTAAAGTGTAGTCTGACTTTGATGTGATAGTATAATTTTACTAAAGAGAAAGTACTAGTCACTATTATGTGTAACAGTTTTCTGGTTTTCTATTCGTTGTTCTATAAGTGCACACCTCCCTAAGCGCAAGTCCCAAGAGCGTGCACTTATAGAGGTGTCACTGTAGTCATTTATTGAATATATAATATACGCGTACCTACACATAAAGCAGTTGGTTTACTACGCGGTAGTCTTATTTTCTCCCACGGTCCATTCTCTGGTATGTTATACACGTATATATATTTTTTGATCGAACAGAATTATTTCTCTCATACTCTAAGGTGCTAATATTTTTTTAGCTCTTTAAAATTGTTCTCAATGAAAAAAAGGATAAATGCTTGCCTTTTAATGTACTGTTGAGAGAATGGACATCGTTGGAGTGTAATCTAAATAAAGATAAATGTTGTGAATTTCACCTTTCCCAAACTCTGGCTTGACTTCCACAATGGAAAGGATTGCTTCTTCTCACTTGATCGTCAGCACAATGACTGGGAACCAGAGATTTTGTTACCACTGAAACTGTAATCTTGTAGGTTCTCAAGATATCGATAAATGCTTCCTTTTTCTCTCATGCTCGTATTTGAACTTTGACATCTGTTTAGCAATATCGATTGCGCATTCTGCTGATTGCGCCTGAATCCACAAGCGAGAGAAAGTCAGAAAATATGGGTGTGATGAATAAGGATGGGCACTCCGCGGGCGTCATAAGGACGATGCACGGTGTATCTCGCCTTGTAAAGAATTCCAACCATCGTCCGCGAACGACGAGGGTGTGATTTTCCTGATACGTTTCGCGATCTCTATTAAACTTTTAAGATTATAAACTTTCTAGACCTTTTCAAAATGTACTGATGCTTACGAAATTGAATCTTTTTGTATCAAAATAGCGAAATGCGAATCAAAACTCAACGGATGCGCTCAAACAATCTTTATCGATCCAAACCTTGGGAGACTATAGTGAACTGTTTCAGAATCCGTAACCCTAACATATTTATAACCAGTAAGGATAATCACCTGATGTGCTTATTGTAAAAATAACACGACTCGCACTTATATTTCATAGAAAAATCAAATTATAAATCAAATAGCAAATCATTCAAAAATGCTTTCCTGTTGATCAGTACTTTTCTCTACTATAAAATAAAAACTCACAATTATTTCCTTGATAACTCTAACTCTCGTTCAAGCGATAAAATCAAAGACAATTGAATTGAAATACCAGCCGCTTATTAAGCGAAAATACTCATCACATTTATTAATAAGTCTAAACCTAATCCACACGGATAAAGACGGCATAAAAATATGTTCATCAACCAATCAAAGATAATTGTTTGTTGATTGTAATAGCAGCTATCCTTAAGCAAACGGTGAAGATAAATGAACTCTTTAAATCCAAAATAAATAATTTTATTCGTTGATTATCATCACAAGCGTATCTTTGATGTGGAGAAAAACACTCTTAAAATATAGAGATTACATAACAACAGCAATTACGATAGCGATATAATAATCACGTATACGTAATTTTTATTACAAGACATTGCAACATGGATAAGGTGAATAACGAAATTAAAACGCAAACGGAAGATTAATTAGTTTATCAAATCCGCGATAATTATAGTGAGTCAGGAAAAACAGGCCAAAATTACGTAATTTACGTCGTAGGAAAGGTCAAAACGCCACTTAAAAAGTGTTGAACTAGACAATGTGGAATGTAGTGTTTTCTATTAAGGCTTTTATTGAGACGATAGAAATATTTCTTTTAGGAATACAAAATAAACGTGATGGCTGCCGTGGTCTTAGTAGCAGCAACAATGCATAGACGGGCTCGGCCATATGTACACTGATAATAAACAGCACTTCGATAGTCTAACTGTTGCAATAAACTGTATAGTTTACGTGACGCAATATGGTTTGTTGGGTTTGCGAGAACAGTTATGACTGCAGAGTGGCTGTGATTGCAATTATTAAGCGAGGCTTGATACGAGAAGACCTCATTATCATCTGGTGTTTATACTCGTCGTCGCCCTGATATTAGTAATAGTGTTAGAAACATTTTTTATTAAATAGACGCTGGCCAGGCGTCGGTTTTACAATAGCGAATATAATATTTGCAATCCCCGTCCGTAAATGTTATAATATAAAGGTAACAATTTTGAGGGAATTCAGGATGGAAAACGGAAGAAAATTTTTGAGGAAATGTCTTGTGTATAACTTGTATCTTATCAAACGGGTAAGTTGACATTTGAATTAATGAACTGATGTTACGACTATACGTGTATTAATGAGTTCGATAGAAAAAATAAAGAGAAGCAGAAGAAAGGCCATATTGCTTCATAAACTACGTTGTATTTCTCAGGTAATTGTTACGTTATTACTATTTCAAACTATTAATTAAAATAAAACTTTCGATGTCTTCGTTGCAATATTGAGCGTATGGTGCATGATATTCGCAAACGTTATTTCGTAAGTTATGCAAATACGTCACATTTTAAAGGAAAGTACCTTCCGTTAAACTACATTTTGTAACGATAAAAGCGGCGGATAATACCGGAGCTTCAATAAAGCCTACACCCATAAAAAATTTATCGGCACTGATATTGTGAATGTCATATGATAAACATTTATTTAGATTGCCAAATTTATTTGAATATTTGAGAACCTGGCCTAAAGAAATAGTACCGATGGACAGATAGTAAGGCATGATAATGTAGCGAAATATATTCGGCAAAGAAATTTGTCACGAATGAAAGATGCATGCGTAATCTTAAAAGACAAAAATAAGCGGGAAGAATTTATCCATGTCATTCGTAACTAACTCGGATGAAAGATGCATGCGTAATCTTAAAAGGCAAAGATAAGTGGAAGAATTTATCCATGTCATTCGTAACTAACTCGACATATTCGGCAAAGAATGATGCATGCGTAATCTTGAAAGACTCGTAATGTGCAAAGTTATTGAAAAGAAGAAACAAAGATAAGCAGAAGATTTATCCATGTCATTCGTAACTAACTTGCTATGTAATTACTAGCCGTTTAGCGTTAATCCTTCGGTTAAATATAAACGGGTTGTGTATCACTGCAGTAATAGTCACACACATAATAATTTCCAACCAATGAAATTAATTACAATTTTTTGGGATCCGCGCTGATGCCACAAATTTTGCTGTAATTAATATTTATATGATGAAATGTCCATATCTGGACAATTGAGTAAATGAATTTTATCTACATATATTGCAGCTTACTATTACAATTGTGTCCGCCAAATCACATATAAAAGCGTAAATTGTTCCAATCTGCACCAAGACATTATATTCATCATGCCTAGTAAAAACTTTACTTTTGACAACATTCCTGATCTTAGTGGCAAAGTAAGTAATGCATCATCAAAAGAAACCGCAACTATTATTACCCAAGATACAAGTTTGAACAATGATTGTCTTCCAATATTACCTGTAGGTCGCATTAGTAACAGGCGCAAATGCAGGGATAGGATACATAACCGCTCGAGAATTAGCACGCAAAAAAGCACACGTTTTCGTATGTGCACGCAATATTGAAAAAGGCCAGTCCGTCGTGGCAACTATAAAAGCGGAAACAGGAAACGAGCTGATCGAGTTTTTGCAGTTGGATCTATTGAGTTTGAAGAATATTAAAGAGGCCGCCGACAAATTTATGGCCAGAGGGCTTGGATTGCACATGTTGTAAGTTAGGGAAGAGAGATATAGCCAAGAGTGTTGGTAATTGACGATTGATATTTACTGTTCGATTTTTTATTATTATCACGTTTTGTAGAATCAATAATGCTGGAATAATGGCAACGTACGTAAATATTTTGACTAGATTATTTAATTTGCTTTGAATCGATTATTCAGCTCTCAGTTAATCAGCACATGTTTTTACGTTACATAGCCCATTTAGTTTGTCAGCAGATGGTATTGAAGCCCAATTTGCCACTAACCACATAGGTCACTTTGTAAGTATAATGATAATAATAATTTTTACCTTGTTCGATCTCCTCCCGATTCTATTGTTAATATCTATTTTCTCAATTCTCAGTACTTGACTCAGCTCCTCTTACCTGCCCTCGAAAAGTCTGCACCTTCGCGCATCGTTGTTGTCAGCAGGTACGTGAAAGAAAGAGGACTTTATTTTCGTTGGCTTTGCATTATATCAGGCTAACCTGACATTCAATCTGCATCATAGTCTAGCCCATCGGGCGCTTGCTCCTGGAAAGGGAATAGATTTCGAGAACATTAACACAAATAAACTCAGTATATGGGCTCGATATGGACAGTCGAAACTGGCAAATGTATTATTCGCAAACGAACTTGATCGAAGAGTGAAAGACAAGAATATTTACGTAAATTCTCTTCATCCTGGTATGTACGGAATACTTCAGAATCACGTCTTTGCTCTTCTTCACCGCCACGAAACTATAATTCTTATTCTCATGACACCACGTTTTTAACAATGTATAAAAAGGTGTAGTAAAATCCAACCTCATGCAAGGTCCAAAGCTCTCCTGGGGTAGATGGATGGCAGTGTACACTGCTATTCAAAATTTCTTTTCTTTAAGCACCGAAGATGGGGCCTTGACGCAGCTCTACGTTGCCACAAGTCCTGACATTGAAAATGATAATCTCCGCGGACAACACTTTATGCCGATTGGCAAGTTGGGAACAATGAGTGCTAAGGCAATGGACAAAATTTTGGCTAAAGAATTGTGGGATTATTCAGAAAGAATTATTAAAGAGAAGGTCGGGGAGTGATTAAGTTTTCATGGATAGATCTAATATATTATTGATTAATACTCATATTCACATTCAAAAACTGTTACTTGAAAAAATTAGTGTCTAGTTGTATAATAGAAAACGGAAAATAATAAATTATTTGTTTCAAAAACTTAAAATTCTTTTGTCAATTTAAAAGGGTCATGCATGGTTATATCTGTTTGGTGTACGATATCAAGGTTTGTAACATTCTGTACCAGTCATACGACCGCGGTCTGAATCCAAATGATGAGGGTATACGATTGTGTATTGTTTGAAAGCGGACGAGTGGTAACTGCATTGAATTAGTATTAGAATATACAAACAAATAAACCATGTTAATAAAAACGTGCAGCGTTGCACTTGCACCAACCAATGTAGTATTTACGTGTCGAGTCTCTACCAAGTTCTTATGATGTACTGTGTCATAGTTTATTTGGCAGAAAAACATTGCATTAATAAGCCAAGGAGATATTGAGTTTTGTTATTGGTTAAGATTGTGTATCTGTCTAGACTAAGACCCGCAAACACAAAGTAATCGTATTATTGGTATTCATACTAATGCAAGTTGATTCTATTAATAGCACTTCTTTGTAACAGCTGTGACTCACGAGATTGATTTCATGAATAATTCTACGAATTTGTCTATTTCAATTTATTATACAAATTACCAACTGCTTCAAAGAACAATGTTGGTCAGCATTAATACGTTACTGTTTAAATTTGCGCAGTCTCTTGTCATTAGCGACATAGTATCAGTGGCATAAATCTTCACTATGTTGTGACTGGTAAAGCTTATAGTAGTATAATAATAAATGACTCAAACGTTATTTTTACTGACAAATCTATTACTGCTGAACGATTTATTATTATATGAAATACACTGGTACTAAGTTGTTTAACATAGCAAATGTCATACTGTTCAATTATGTAGTAACCTCTTGATTCGGTTATAATTTATTAAAGCATTCGAAAAACGAAGAAACAAAAAGGAAACAAGGAATTCTTCACTATAGCGCGAAAATTCACTGTATCGAGACTTTACAGTTCCGAAAATAAACACCATTATTTCGGAAAAGATTGTAGTAACATCAAATACCATAATTATTCCGCATGCCAACCTAGCATACTTGCCTTTCTAGTGCAAGAGCACCTTTAGCGTTCAATCGTATGTACTACTAATATAGGAACGCAAAACTCCAACCTGCCTTCCGTAAGCACATTTGGGTTGACACGGTACCCATAACTTCAGATCGGGAGGCAATCATTTCATCGACAATTATTTCGCCGACAATCATTTCACCGACAAATATTTACCAACATTATTTCGAATTTATCCTTTTTTAGTAGTTAATTGTCGGTGAAATGATTGTCGGCGAAATAATACGGACCCCTTCAGATCAGGTGAACCTCGCCTTGGGGTGCTTATTTCGGGGGTGCTTATTTTGTTATTTTTATTTTGGATATGATTTACAAGATTTGCGAGAAAAGATCGACTCGCAAATATTCCTTGGAGAAAGAAAAACTTTTTGTGAGAAAATGTCTCGACCAGAACACCAAGCACCGCCAGAAATCGTACGCATGAATCCTCAACTGATATTTAGTCAACTTGCTAATCTCCAACAACTGGTTACAGTTTGCTAAAATCTTGACTTGTTTACAAATTACGTGTAGTATTATAACGAAAATGAAGCTAAAAAATACACATCAAAGTAAGGCAGCAATCCATTTGGAATATAATTGAAAATAGACATGGTTCTGAAGATAGTCGTTAATAAGAATTCATTGACTACTTCAGTTCGCGGATATTGGAAATACAAAGCGACATGGTAAGCAACATTCACAACGTTGCTCGTATTTATCATTGCCATTGAGCCGTTCATTTCTACTTCTCACAGGCAAGGAGAGCGCTCGAGTTACTAAATTTACCGCCAAATACATCCTGTTACTTGCTGGACATTGGCTGTGGATCTGGTCTAAGTGGTGAGATACTAGAAGCAGAAGAACACGTATGGGTTGGACTCGATATAGCGCCAGCAATGCTTCGTAAGTCTCTGATGATTTAAACATGCAAGTGAAGAAGTCGCTTATTTTACTGAACACTATACACTGAATACATTCTAGAGGTTGCTCTTGAAAGAGAAGTTGAAGGAGATTTATTTTTGCAAGATGTGGGTCAAGGCTTGGGTTTTCGACCGGGGGTATTTGATGGAGCAATAAGGTAAACCACCAAACACTTTCAACCGAGTTGTGATGTCTGTTCGACTCATCAACTCATTCTCTCAGCATATCGGCGCTCCAATGGCTCTGCAACGCGGACAAGCAATCGCACAATCCTCGAGCCCGCCTGCACCGATTCTTTTCAACACTTTATTCTTGTCTACGGAGAGGAGCGCGCGCGGTCTTTCAATTTTATCCAGAAAATGACGACCAGTGCGAATTAATCATGAACACTGCGATGCGATGCGGTTTTGAAGGTGGTATGGTAATTGATTATCCAAATAGTAAGAAAGCGAAAAAGTATTTTCTTTGTTTGTTTGCTGGTCAAGCTCTCGATGGAGAGAGACAACAGTTACCTAAAGGACTTGGTGAAAGCGAAACGGAGGAATCCACCACTGTAGCTTATTCACGTGAGAGGTATGGATGCATCGAATATTGTATGTGTTGCATGCTATGTGACATTGGGCTAAGTATATGTGTCTTGGGGGATTTATCGTATATAGGATTCAAGGTCATGCGAATAATAGAAATAAACAAAGAAGAGCAGTTAAAGACAAGGATTGGGTCCTACATAAGAAAGAACTTGCGCGGAAGCGGGGCAAGCCTGACGTGCCACGTGACTCTCAATTTACGGGAAGGAACCGGAAACCCAGATTCTGAAGCAAAAATATACAAGATTGCAATATAGCCAATCAATTTTTAGGTTGAATTCTTTGTAGCTCATTTTATTTCTGAGAAACATAATCTAATTTATTAATCATTTCTATAATCGGTCTCCTCGAGACTCTGGTTTTATTCCTACGATGAATCGTGCTCGTCTTTATCAGATGCATCGCTTTCGGTTTTTTGTTTCTTCTCACGTTCATGCTTCTTCTGTTTCCGTTTTTGTCTTTTTGCTCGTTTCTTTGCTGTCTTTTCCTCCTCGAGTTCTTTTAGCTGTAACATTCTGGTCTCAAACCCTTGTCTTTCTTCTTCCTATTTTTATATAACGCTTTGGGTAATTTGAAAAAGACAAGGTAACAAAGGAAAAATTGTTAGACCGTTATCAATTAATTACCTTCTTCGAGTCTTCTTCCATTATCTTTAGTCTAGTATATTCCCGTCGCCGATGTGCTCGGTAAACGTGGAATTCGCCACTTCCGGCGCCAGCACTCGATCCTAAATAAATGTAAATAACGACTTGTTAAATTATAAACCCATGTTATGAACCGAAATCGATCTGTTAAACGACATTGCATAGTCTTTCAGTTCTATTAACTCACCTTGCACATTGCGTACAATGTCTTTCGGGGCCTTTAGTTTCGGTTTATCCTGAATTTCCGGAATTACTATCGGTTTGTCACCACGCTGAAGCAACCTTTCCAACTGTCTTCGTTGTACCTCTGCAGGCGAGGGATTGTGTATATGTTTTGGTCTCTTATTATCTGAATCTGATATCGATTCTGTATCGCTTTTTATTTTTGTGGATGACATTTTTGATTATAATCGCCTTTGTGAGGCAAGAACTAGGATAATAAACTCAGTTATACGTCATTCGTCCTTGTTACCAGGTCACGTCTTTGTTTATTTTCTGTGCACCAAATTGTGCCACTCAATTCTCGACTATCCGAGGTGTGTATCGAATACTAACTAATACGTTTGGCCAGAAGTTTTGGTGTTCTACTGACAAAAGGTAGCTTACTAATTCCTTACGACGCGGGCCTCGAGATTTTGGTTCTCATATATTTCGATATTATTAAGTTCCAGCAGCGAAGAATAACGATATTTAATTATGGTTGAAGACGACTTACCCATGGATAACGATTCTGTCGGATCCGAACCCTTTGAACCCCTCGACCCGACACTACAAAATGTGCTCGATCAGACTTCACTGCATTGGATCTTTGTTGGAGGGAAGGGTGGTGTCGGTATGTTTGATTTGTATTATTAATTTCTGAAGGAATGGTGTCCCCAAAGATAACTTGCAACATTCCAATCTTTACTTAACTCTTGTCTCTACTCTGAAAAGGTAAAACCACAACATCGTGTTCACTTGCCGTACAATTGGCCAAATCGCGAGAGTCGGTGCTACTCATTTCAACTGACCCTGCCCACAATTTGAGCGATGCTTTCGGGCAGAAATTCAGTAAAGAAGCTACTCTAGTAGAGGGATTTACTAATCTCTCTGCTATGGTAAATATGCTTGGGTTGGGAGAATGCTAGTTTAGCAAAAACTGTGACATCGTTAGCAGAATTAACTTTTGAATCCGTTATTGGTTTTACTAAATGTGTCTTTTCATTCCAGGAAATCGACCCAACTTCGTCTATTCAGGAAATGCTTGCTCAGTGTATGAATATTATTTATCTAAAACAACATTTACAAATTACGAATCTTTGAAATATTACTGACTATTTCTATATATATTTATAAAGCTGACCAGTCTGGTGCCATGGGATCAATGATGCAAGATCTTGCGTTTGCAATCCCAGGTGTAGATGAAGCCATGGGGTTTGCTGAAGTTATGAAGTAACCAACCATTTACATTATCTTTGATTGTCCCGCGCGCATTTATCTCTCCCTGACATTCGATTGTATTTGCCATTGTTAGACAAGTACAAACTATGGAATACTCTGTGATCATATTTGATACGGCTCCAACCGGCCATACGTTACGATTCTTGAGTTTTCCAAATGTTTTGGAGAAGGCTTTGGATAAATTGTCAACTTTGAGCGGACGGTTCGGTCCCATGTTCCAGCAAGTAAGGAAAGATGGAGAACTGAGTAGGGAGAGACACACACACACAAGTTGATGGCCAAATGGGGTTGGGATTACTGAACATGACAAATTTAATTAGGTCTCTGGGATGATGGGATTAAATGCCAATCAAGAAGATCTTACCGTAAAACTTCAAGGCATGAGAGCGATTATCACAGAAGTTAACAAGCAATTTAAGGATCCGGTAAGTTGGTTCAATGACAATAAGTGATAGCAACGTGCCTATTGACGTCCCCTTAACTATATACGATTTTTCTTATAATATTGAATATCTTTAGGATAAGACTACATTCATTTGTGTTTGCATATCAGAGTTCTTGTCTCTCTACGAAACGGAGCGCATGATTCAAGAGTTGACTTCTTACGAGATCGATACACACAACATCGTGGTGAACCAATTACTCTTTCCACGAATAGGTTTGTAATAATTTATGTTTGCATTAGTCGATTCTTATTTCGTCAGTTACTAATTGGTGTTTGTTGTTATCCAGGCTCCAACTGCGAACAATGTTTAGTTCGACATAAAATGCAACAGAAATATCTAGAGCAAATCTATGAGCTTTATGATGACTTCCATATTGTGTTAATGCCATTGCTTACGAAAGAAATACGAGGCACACGGGATATTAAAGAATTTTCCGAGATGCTTGTTAAGCCATTTGTGCCGCCTGACTATCGATCGGAAGATGAAAAAAAATCGGAGAAAGAAGAGTGAAATCTTAAGATGGAATGAGATAGATTTGGAACAAACAGATGAGTTAGATAGCATTTTTGATAATTTATCTTTATTTTAGGATATTAGCATCTAAACTGTAATACAAATCAAGATAGCATCATGCATTTCAATTGACAACGTGACAGTTGCGACAAAAAAGTACTCATACCGATATAAATAATGCGTCGATGTTAATGTTTTATTTGCTTGCTGATTTATCACGTAGATAGCGCAGATGAAATTATTTAATCATTCACTTTGACTACTTCGCCGAGTTCAAGGAACACTACACTATGGAGTAATGGAAGTATATTTATTTAATATCCGCAGGTAAAAAATAATATGTAAACGTGAAAGGATATCATAAATGAATCGCCACTCACGAATGTGAATACTAAGCGTCTCTTCCAAACAACCGTTCGCTGACATGGACAATAAAAATAAAACGCTTATTATGTGGTCGCGCGTTACCCGGAATGAATATGATTTTTAATATGTTCTTTTAATCCGGTCAAGAATAAGGCGCTAATAATTTAAATTAACCGGGGATAATGATAATGAGCAGACGTGGGTGGTTCAGAAAGTTCTTGCCGGCTGGCTTTATTTCGAAAAGTTACATAATAATTTCAAACCCGGCTAAACTATTCCTTTATACATTTTTGTAATTTTTTCCAAAAGACTTGTGACATTCCTTTTTGTGAGATACTATCAACAACTGCCTGAAGGGCCCCAACAGATTTTCAATCCTGCTATACTTCTTTCTTTGGCGTGCTTTCGTATAAAAGAAAAAAGTTACATGGACGAAATTTAGGCTTAGGATAGACGTGACAATAATTTGATTCGTTCTTGCTACTAACTTTTAGATGAGGCACAGCATTGTCATGGTGTAGTATCACACTGCGAGCGGTTACTCTTTCCTTGTATCTTCGATAAAATAAGGTAGAATTTGATTAACCTAAAGCTGACTTGCTTTTATTATTTTTTTATAAGGGTCTTTCTTAAGCATATTGCGGATATTTTTCCAAACTTGCTTCGCGCAAAGGCTTTCTGGATCAAGGGTCATCTTCCAAACAGTCTCTACCATTATTGAAAGTTTCAAACTGTGCGTAATGTTAATGCTTTATGTCTACAAAATTTCATTAATTTTGCATTAATTTTACTAACATCTGCCACGTCTTGGGTATTGTTCACGTGAAATTCAAGCCAGTGGTTTTCGATGAACGAACTTTGAACAAAGATATCTCAACAACCATCTATTTAAAACAAGATCAGAACTTGAGCTTTTATTTGGTTGTATTATGTTGTCATAGGTTATCAGCACGTAAAACGAGAAGCATGCGGCAAGAACTTTTTGAACTGACGCTGGATTATAGCAATTATATGGTAAAATCTGGCATCAATCGAACCATTTGATCAAGTCGATTCAAAAATTGTCACGAACGAAGACCAAAAAGGGAAGAGACCAAATTTTGCTGTCAACTTGTTATTTTTTATTAAAAGTAAAATAGGCTTCTTGAACCAAGATTCGGATTCGCAAGCAACGTGAGTCACGCTACGGAGACTTGTTGTAAGTTTGTGTCTTCCCCAATACTACTTACGATTGAGCTTTAATCTAATCTCACATGTCTTTTCAGTCAAGAGTTCAAAGAACAATGAAGTTGGTACACTAGACTTAGAGAGGGTTGGATTGGTAAACCGCAAAGCAGTAAAAACCAATTCCTCCGACATTCACGACATCTCACAAACCTCAAAAGAAGCCACGTAGGAAATAAACTTGTCAAATCAAAATTATAGGCGTCATTCTGAGAGACCTCATTTCATCAATTTGTCCCATTATGTTTGAAACTTTAAGAATTAACTATGGTTATAAGTTTTTTCACTGCTTACATAGATATTAATCCACGTTCTGATTTAATTAATAATAATGAAAAGAACATCGTCTCGTTAGTCAACTACAATAAGTCAATATTTAGCTATATATGTATGACTTAAAACTTACCATTCTAAGAATGTAGGAACTTCCAAGAGGCTTATTATCACACAGTTTATTTAGTATCTATTCCAATTATTATTATCGTAAAATATGAAATATTTTATATTTTTGCTCACACAATTTAACTATGTATGTATGACTTAAAACTTACCATTATAAGAAACTTCCAAGAGGCTTATTGTCACAGTTTATTTATCTGTTTAAAGTTTTTTATATTTTTGCTCACACAATTTATTTAGCTATATATGTATGACTTAAAACTTACCATTATAAGACTGCTACATCGACAACATAGTAGCTGTTTATTGTCTAAATTAAAGGCAACATGAGAGCTGGAGGAATAATGTGATCACACATATATATGTACTACGAAGTCTTCTTCCTCGAAAACGGTTGCGGTAATAAACGAAGTGGTGATAATTAAAAAGTCATTTGTGAATAGAACTCTATTAATATTAGTATAGCTATGCCAGCACGTAATTGCAACGTGTCTTGTGTATAATACTATTATATTTTGCTGGGTGAAACTTTGTCAACAGATTCTTTTAAAACGACTTGTCCGTTGACGACTTGATCAGAATAACTTGGCTCCAAAAGGCAATATGAACTTTTAGGGAAAGTACTCCAACTAAGCGACTTATGTTGAGCCTTATGTCCATAAAGAATTAAAGGATATCCAAACACTTTTTCCATGGAAATACAGTAATGGGTGATACAGAAATGGGTTATTTCCGTTGGAAACTGGATCTATTTCCATGGAAATACAGCAACGATATGGTAGATGTCATATCGTATGCGCATATGACACGTACAGCGATATCCGTATTATCTTTAATCGCCGATTGCTTAACTAATTACTATTACATGGCTTGCGCTCATATTTTGAATCATATCTGTCGTTCATCACGAACGGAATATTAAACGCATTCACGTTAGATATTAATAAATGGCTATTTAATAAATACTGTTTCAAACAATCAATATTAATAATTGGGTCAGAAATCATACTTTACACTCTTCCACCAATCTCACAGTGTTTCCCTCCCTGTTGCCCGCGAAACTCTCACGATTCTATCGACGCACTATCCCGAACGACTTGCTCGTGCATATTTGGTAACGCGCCGTTCCTTTTACGGTGCTTCCTCAAGTTACTTTCTCCATTTATGGACGAAGTTACTAGAAACAAAATTGTATTTGTCGATAACGTTCCTACAGAGGCAAATACGCAAGACAGTGCAGAAACCAAAAAGGTTAAAAGCAAGATTAACCCGTTATTATTGGAATGGATTGGGGATTGCACTTATGGGGGTTGTATTTATGGAGGTGTTACTGTATTTACTACATAGAACGAGTCTGTTGTAGTCGTCAGAAGTTAATAAACATAGAAATTTTGTGGTCAAGCATTTTACCCACAATGCACGTGAGTGGCTGTCAACTTAACAAGGCTTATACATTATGTCTTAATATAAGGCAGAAGGTTGTGGGAATAGGTCTTCGTTTTGTTAAACTTTTAGCTTATAATGGCAACTTTAATATTACTCTTGAATAAGAAATCAATTACATGGTCCAAACTCATTTTGCGTACGTAATTATAAATGCAAAGTTTTATTTTTGCAATAGCTCGACTTTATAACTAAATGATGAAAAACTTACATGAATATGACTAACTCTTGGGTCACAAATCTTCATATCTTATATTAAAAGTTTCCTGCCAATATAATTAAATTATCGCGAAACGATTGACAATCATCAATCGCGTTATGTCCTATTAAGCAGACGCGGAAATCCTGCGATAAAAATGGAGTTTACCTGTGTCACTATGACTGCCTTAGAAATATTACTTTGTATTTAACCACGAAGTACGAAAGCTGGGATAATAAATATTGTAAGTTAAGCATAAGTCGAACGTGACTATGGAAAGCTTTCTTTTAAAAAACGTACGTAAAGTTATAATAAAACAATTTCCTTCTTTATTTTCGTTTTACGAATTGTTAATTCGTTGTCATTTTGTCTTATAAAGAACTTATCAATTGTAAACGTCTTTATACGATTAACGCTTATAAGAAAGGTATTAATATGTCCATGTAGTGCATGTAATAGACAGGTTGATAATTTTAAGGGTTAGGGTTATACTTTTGAGAAAGTGGGTAACAAGCGCGCTGATAAGTTTACAAAGCAAGTTACTAAAATTAAAACTTTGTTTAAAAGTGGGGAGGAACAATAATAATAAAAACAAAACTTTAGGGGTAATTTATTAGAATTAATTTTGTGTCCTTTATTGAGCGCAACTAAGGTGGACCTCTAAAGCTGCTTGATTTAAATTAGAATGGAAGAAGAAAAAGAAGAATAGAATATTTACACGAATATTTTGAGACTCATGGTATCACAATGAATAGTTGTCAACGGAGATTTGGCTACATAAGCCTCCACGAAAGTATTATAAAATGTATAAAGTGACATATATGAAATGTGTAACGTATTTCATTATATGCTACCGAACTATTTATAGTCAATCTGGTGACTACTGAACTATTTATAGTCCCTTTTCTTTGTTTTTTGAACATCCCTTACTAGGTTCGTAGCCGCTAAATACCATTCAAGGCACTGGATTGAATACCATCAATGTATTTCAATGACCCAATAATGCTTCTGCATTAAATAAGGAGAATTGTATTGTTACGTTCTGTGTCATTAAATAGACAGAATTGTGTGGTAACAACTTTGCTGCGACGTAAAACTTACCCAGTCCCTGCAATTTCGACGGTCCATGTCCGCTGAATATTTCGCTCACATCCTAACGATGCTGGAACGGAATATCCAGTGGACAGGAAACGTTCTGATTGGGTTTGCAACTGTCTTACGATTATTTGGCCAAAAGTTTGTAAACTTGTCACGCCTTTGTTTTTATTATTATTCGTTAGTTTCTAGTCGAATGTTATCATAGTGTTACATTAAGTAACTATAAAATTCGAAATGAACTGATGCATACTCATATGAGTAATGGCGTGCATCTTCGCTCAGGTTAATGAAACCTGTTTCAGGGCTACGCAATTAGCATCATCGCTTCCCAATTTAATTGTCGGACTTATACCAGATAATAGTTTAGATTCAGATATTGGTGCTCCTTGGCTAACAGGCATATGGCAGGCAATTTTGACAGGAATCGTTCCACGTTCTTGGGGCAATTTGATGCAATGCGGATTGAGAAGTTACAACGGCATTGCCGTGAGGTTGATGGGCATGAGAGTTTCAAGCAGCCTGTTGATTGCTGCTAAAACCATTGCAAATACTGGTGTGCAAGGGTGGTTGGATAAGGACTTGGCCGAATTGAAGGCAGGAAGAAATTTTTTGACGATATTTGAGGCGGAGGAGTTGCTCACCAAAGAAGAGCATTTCCTGGATGCACACTCGCGCTATGGGATGGCATGTTTTAGTATTGGGTTAATTAATCACGATTCACGTCACCATGACGAAAAAAAATTATCATGGAGAATTAGGAATTGGGCAGTTGTTAACGAAATTCCTACCTATACCATTGGAAATGGTGGACGTGCTAGCTTACCATTAACGTGTGAAAGATTAAAGAAATTAATTAGTGCAGACTTATATGGGGCAAGAAATCTTGTATCTCGAGAAATAATATACGTTCTCTTTATAATCGCTGATGTAACTGTGGTTATAATATCATGGGTTGCATTGTGGGGAAAATTTAGTGATGTAGCTGTGCAGACTCAAAAGATAATAACTGTAGTTACCATGATTCTTGCTGAAATGTTTGGTTCCATTCTTCTTGTTGGAGCAGCTGTATTGGTTGACTACCAACTGAAAACACGTGAAGAGGATGAAGACAGGATGTTACCATGCAGTGGAGGTGATCCAATAACTTTCGTTGACCGTTGGTATGATGATACTAAAAACCCAGAGCATACATTTATCAAAACATTAGTTGATGGTATGGGGAATGTGGCTGGCCAGGCAGCAGCAACAGCAGCAACAGCAGCAACAACATCAACAGCGGCAACAACATCGACTACAACAGCAGCAACAACATCAACAGCAGCAACAACATCAACAGCAGCATCAACATCAACAGCAACAACATCAACAGCAGAAAGTGAATTACTAAATCTAGCTTTACAGTGGAGCACCTTTTTGTGTAATCAAAAATATTATATTAAAAGAGGAAAATATACGTATATTATTAATATTAATACGGCTTTGGAATGTGTCCAGCGATTTCTGAAAAATGAACACCATTTAAACCACCAATTTCGGAAGATAATTAAAGATTTTGTTATTAAAGTTGATGGGAAGGAGGTATTCAAGTTACCAGAATTACAAAGACCTAATACTAATAACGGTAGAGAATGTCCATGCCGCATCCTTATGAGATCAATACTGCGAGCACTTGAGATGCGTTCAGACCGTTTTCAGTTTGATGGTAAAGGTAAACAGAAACCACAAAACAATGAAAATGATCCAGCTGTCAACTCGTGTTTTAAAGCACTGGACAATCCTCTTCACAATGATGGTAACCCTCCATTGCTGGGCCGTCGTAGTGGGGTTAATAAATTGGTTCACAATCATTCTGGGAATGGCTTAGAAATCCCTATTGTTGCTTGGTGCACTTTCTGGAAATGTAGAGAAACAAATGCTACGTGTGGGCTTCCAGCAGTGGGTGTTATTTTTGGCATAATTGGGATTCTTACTGGGCTTTTCTTACAATTGTTTACTGGTATATATGGAATGTGGGTGGGTGCTGCATTTAGTGCATTAGGTTTGTTATTAGCTCCATTGCGCACAGTAGCTCTTACCATGAAACAACCACGATTTCAATTAAAGGAACAAGGTAATAGTAATAGTAATAGTAATAGTAATAGTAATAGGGATCAAACTCGTGTACATATTTCATCATAGTGTTCTATTTCACTCGCGATTTATGTCATTGTGTTCTATTTACATAGTCAATTATTTAGTCTATCTATAGAACCTTTACTAAATGAAATAAAAATTTTATTTGACAAACTCATTTTTTACCAAGGACCTGAATCATAATAGTTATGTACAGTAGGATTCAAAAGTATTCCACAAGTAAATGCTATGACATTTCTCTACATATATTTAGATCACAAACCCTGTAAAGTTTCAACTTGATCGAATGTCTCCAGAAAAAATCCAATATTTTCCTCTTAAACGTATAAACATATAAAAAAAGCATGTTTGCATGTTTCAAACATGAACTTTAAATATCCATATCTCCACATTGTGTCTAATCGATTTGCATAATTTCTTGATTCTCAGATTTTTTTTACACGTACTCCTTAGTATTAGACGTGTTGTGTCGAATTAGAAATAAACTCGTTATTATACCTGACGATAAACGCGCAGAATATCATGGTATTATTGTGTCTATTATTTGGGATAAATGATGTGGTTAACCAATAATAATAAATTGAATGTTTTAGGAATGAATAACAATGCATACTAATACGAGGATTATATTGATTATTGATTACCATTTCCCAAAACAGAAAAAAAAAGTTGGCCAACGTCTTTCCTTGCCGTTATGGCTACTTCTTATCCAGTTCTCAACGAACTCTTTATATTCTTGAATGACACCTTGACCCAGGCATCTATACATTACTCCAAGATTCCTGGTTCGACGATCGTATTGAAATATGTGAAAAATTCTTATCAGAACGACCCATTTCGATCCTTGTTAGAACTATTTTTGGTGTTTTTTGCCCTAAAGTATTTGTTCTCCAAGACATACCGCACAGACAATTTTGTTGAACTGACTGAGCAGGTAACATGAGAACTTGATGCAATAATTGTCGTTGGAGGACTGCAATTTAATCGTCCATTTCAAACGCTCGCTGCAGGAAGTAGAAGAATTGGTGGATGAATGGCGACCGGAACCACTTGTTTCTCCATTGACTGAGTATCAGAAATGGGACTTGGATCAGACACCAACGATAATTGGGTATACAATAATATTGCTTATAAACCGTTTTTGATGCCAAATCGTTTCAAGATTAACACGACGACGTTCCAAGTTCACAAGGTCCAAAACCAAAGTTGGCAAACGGTAAGACACTGATTAATCTCGCTAGCTTTGACTTTTTGGGTTTCTCGACGAATGAGCATATCAAGGTAAGAATGAGTTAAGGTGGTGGATAGTCAAATAATGCATATTTAACAATGCATCAATAATTAACTATTCTATTGGTGCGTCGTAATAGGAAAAGGCAATACAGACACTACGTTCTTATGGTGTTGGATCATGTGGCCCACCCGGTTTCTATGGCACTCTTGGTAATTAGCCTACAATCGCTTGCTGGTTCACAAGAGTACGTCTCTTATTTGTATATTCATCGTAATCCTAGACGTTCATATGAAATTTGAAAGGGACATATCTGAATTCCTTGGAACGGAGGATGCAATTATCTATTCTCAAAGCTTTTCGACTATTTCGTCGGCCATTCCTTCATTTTGTAAGAGGGGCGATATAATCGTCGCGCAAGTATTCTTATGTCCTGGGTTATCTATCGGATTACTTACTGTTTTATGATGAATATAACATCCGACAACTTCATTCACAATTAATAGTGATAAAGGATGTAATCTTGCGATTCAGAAAGGGGTTCAGATTTCTCGCTCTACTGTCAAATGGTACAACCATAATGATATGGAAGACCTCGAGAGAGTTCTCAAAGAAATACAGGATAATGTTAATGTAAGTATTCACTATATAGATCGAGTCTAAGATAAAGATTAAAGAAGCTGATGATTACTTTGATTTTGAATACAGTCTAGCAGACGGTTGACTCGAAGGTTTATAATAGCTGAGGGAATATCAGAGTATTTCGGTGACATAGCACCACTCCATAAACTTGTGAGCATTGGCTTATCTAAACGCATTATGTATGAGACTTAGTATATTCGGTACGATAAAATTTACGTGTTACATATTCAGATTGAATTGAAGAAGAAATACAAATACCGCTTGATTCTAGACGAGAGCCTATCAATCGGAACAATAGGTCGTCGAGGCGCAGGGCTGACCGACTATTTTAATATTAATGTAAGTATAGAGACAATTGAGAGGCGCCATAAAATGATTTGCTAACAAATCTCTTTCTGTTGATGTTAGTCGAAAGAAATTGATATGATTGTAGGTTCGATGTGTAATGCTCTCTCTGCTGCCGGAGGGTTCTGTGCTGGATCGTATGAGATAACAGAACATCAGGTACATTCAAATGATAAAAATAATCGTCTATGAATGATAGTTACTGTAAACATTTGTTCAACCAACGTCTCGCAATTATCTCTCAGCGTATTTCTGGATTAGCATATTGTTACTCAGCCTCACTTCCAGCAACGCTTGCAGTCAGTGCGTCAGAGTCTCTGTCGATACTCTCACAGAATCCGCAGCTTCTTGTCAATCTCAATGAAAACGTCGGAGCGCTAAAGAATGTCTTAGGGAATGTCAAATATATTACTTTAGATGGGGACAAAGACTCTCCCGTAATCCATATAAGATTAAGACAAGATGTAGCGAATATTGCTGACGTTGAAGAAAAAGAGAGAGCATTGCAGGAAATTGTTGACGAGGTATTACAAGAAATTTGTGGATTACACATACTAATTCATTACGACATTGAGCTCGATTGGACTAATGGAATTTTTCTCTTTTCCAAGGCAATGAGTAACGGTATTCTACTCACTCGCGCCAAATATGTTAGATTACAAGAACTCTTTTACGTCGAACCAAGCATCCGCATTTGTGTTTCCGCTTTCTTTACTAGGAAAGACATTGATAAAGCAGCAGCTGGAATCAAGAGCGCTATTGTTAAAGTTTTTAAAAACAGATCAAAGTAGAATGAGTCGACCTTTACAAAAAAGTTTGAATAGATTTAATATATTTGAATGTAATTTAATTTACGGATTCGGATGATATTATTAGATGAACGTATCTTTCCCAAATAGAGCATCTACAAATACATAGCAAAATGTTATAATGGATTCTCCCTAAATGCACCCTATTTGATATCAGATCATTCAGCAAGACGTTGCTATTAGGATGGTTCTAATAAAAATCCGATTTAAATATAATCATTATTATTTCGTTTATTCCCTGATAAAAGATACTTGCATCGTTTGGAAAACACTTTCCCGTCAGCGGTGAATAGAATTAATTCTTGCCTATTAGTTTAGATAAGATAATTCCCCGATTCGAGACTAATCCCATCAAAGAAATCGCAAATAATCTAGGGGCGGCGTATACGAGACCGATAATATATCGTGAGTGTAAATCCTAGTCTATATTTAGTTTGAAGTAAAGCTTCCGTTGGAAAATAACTAAATCCCAAAACGGCTAGTACACCGCAGGTGTAAGCTAGTCCAACAGAAACAATAAAAGTATACAATTTGATCGAGAACACGTGATCTAACCGAATATGCTAAGTAAAGCACTTACTATTACTGTAGCACGACGTTCTTAACCAATAGAAAGATCACTTTACACGACATGATAGTAATAGAGAGACTTTCCAAGTGCATTTTCAGCTTATTAAACATCAGAAGATGTTTGAAACTACTATCGCGAGGGACTTTTAAAACTTTGCAAATTTTACATTTTCCCATATTAATATTGACGAAGTTTACAAACATAACTTCCTAATTAGGATCACCATCCCCAATTTGGAATAGTAATCACAGCACATCAGTTATAACTCTCAATATCATTGTATAACTGCATCTTCCAATTATGTTAATAAATAGAAGATTTGCTGTAAATTTTATTAACATTGATAGCAAAGATGATTTCTTTGTTTTATTAATTTCTGCACAAAGAACTTTAACGTAAGTTATTTGTAACAAAGCCAACAGTCTTTGTCTAACAAATACACTAACATATCCTATTGTAGAATCTACTTCTACACATATTTAGGACAATTCGGAAATAGTAGACGATAACAATAATCGGGAGAAGCAAGAGGCAGAGGAAGGGCGAAGAAATTTTGAGATAATTGAACGGTATCTTAGAGAAATGCACGACATAGTTGTTGAACAGCGTGATTTAAATGATTTCCGATGGATTAACAATATTAAAAATACTAAAAAGGAATAAGCGAACACACTAAAACTAACTGACTCCTACGCTGCTTTTATATCTTTCGAACTACGATTTGATCTAATTTTAGCAACGTCCAACTACTGCTATGATTATTGGTTTGACGCTTTTTGTCTTTCTCGACAGGCAATACGGAATCCGAATGATGTGTCACTTTTTCGACAGGTATTCCCGCGTTGACCATAAAACGCCGCAAATAACCAATATTTTTCAGCACTACACATTGGGGGGGGTCCTTCACAAATAAAGGGCGATCGGATATCACAACAATGTTACAGATACTGATTGTACAAGAATTACGTTTTCTAAATTGACTATCCGAAAATAAGCACCCCCCTTTAACAATAGTAATAGGCTTGCAGTGTAAATAAACAGTCACATGTATATAGAAACTTTTAGAAGGATTAGTGTATATTTATTGATTATTGTAGATATTGATATGTCCAAGGGGTTGTTGGCCCATCCTAAATTGGGCTAGATATATATTTCGAATTTACCGTATCATTGTGCTTAGTCACGAGCGGATACGAGTATTTACGCACGCTCTTTCTATTTCTAGCTTAATAAACGCAAAATCGGCTAAGCCGCTCCTCTATTTGCAGTCTTCAAACATTTGTTCAATTATGAGAGATCAATCAGAGTCTAATTTGATTCAATTTCAGGGGGAGTTGAAACCCGGTCTCTCGCATGATACTAAGACAAAGTTAACAATAAACAATGAATATCTTTTGTTATGCATGATTACAATAATAATAAGACAGAAACCATCGTATAATTAACTTGTATAATTGTGATTACTATTCCAAATTGGTATGGTGATCCTAATTAGGAAGTTGTGTTTGTAAACTTCGTCAATATGGGAAATGTAAAAATTTTCGTTGGTCAGAATATAGTTGTGTCATAATAACCTGCGAAATAACTGGGCTTTAGCGAGCACCTTGTTGTGAATAAAAGTCCCTCGCGATAGTAGTTGGAAGTTTGCTATAGGAGTGACTAACGCCGGAGCGAGAATTTCATATATAAAACTTGTGATCTGCACGGTAGCATGTCCCATGACTAGCTTACGAATGTTTAGATCTTTTTATCTGCTGATCTTCGCTATTATTATATCGCGTAAAATGTCCAATACACGAAGTGCACTTTCTCCGAAAATAAACGGTTGCATATTAAGTCACTTAACTTTGTGATGACGATATTGCATCGTTAACTGTATATCTGGCTTCCAAAACGCGATTAGTTGTTTCAAAATATGAGGTTGCTTATACATCTAAATAAATAAATATATATATATGTCTATGACAACAATTTGCTTCAAACAATACGTGAATACAAGCTCAGCCCCCCCCAAATGCATATATATAAACAACCGTTTTCTTTCTCTCCCTTTATTCATTCACTTTCTCCTTAGCATCACGTGATAAACCACTATTACTTGATAAACACTATGAATTACCTTATTATTATCGCCATTGCAATCTCGACGCTCCCGCTGGCATCCATTACTTTGTTCTTGACCTCGCCAATTTGGCTCATATTCGCTGGGTACTGTTACTATTTTAATGAATAAAGTCGAATTTATTACAATCAGAATATGCATCACGCTTATCGTTCTAGGGTCGCGAATATTATCATATAATACGAGTAAAAGTCACGAAGACCAAGGTTAGGGAAAGCGGTTACAAGAAATTTATTAGTCATTTTTCTACAAACTCAATGTCTAACATAGTAAATATTATCTAGAGTCCTTCCCCAGACTTTCAGATTCTCTCAGAAAATCTTCCCCGATGCATCTAAAAATCTCATCAAAAAATACGAAAATCAACTCGCCGACGTGGAAGAGCTCGATCCCGTCCTCGTAATAACACCAAACATGGCGTGGATAAACCAACACGGTTGGCTTGCGTATTATGCGGTGATGAATTTATTTGCTACGCATGGCCTTGCCCAAAACCGACGCAGGGACAAAGATTCACGTTGTCTGTTCTACTTTCGAGAACTTTGTGACTTGTTTGAGGTTCGTGATGGGATCAAAAACAACCGCCTGGCACCAGCAGCTTTTAGCGTACAGCCTAGTCTTCATGCAGCCCATCCAAACGGTCAGCTGAAACCGATTGGAAAAGCATAGATCCTAATGAAGATTGGATCCTTATTCAGTGATTGTGGATATGATTGTGGATTTTTTAACGTCTGAAAGTGAATGGGGCAACTCTACCAGTAATGTGAAGACGTTTCTGCAGAGTCATTATATCGAACATATCGAACATATCAATCTTAGATAGTTACTATTACCTTTGTTGGTGATCACCTTCATCAAAGACGAACCGAACCTATCACAATAAATAATAAATTGTTTCATTCATAAATGCATTAATAATATTTTCTCAATTAGTGGTAATATTCCTGTTTATAGCTATGTAACTATGGCATATTCGAACAATTAACTATGTTGATATCGAAGTATCACTGATGGCATTAACAATTTCGATATACCGTATCTGCGAACAATCATCATTTAGAACACTCGCAAGCGGCTATTTGCTGAGTCTAATATAATTTTAACAAGATTTTTTCTTAGATTAACTACAGATTATGTCGAGTTAATTACCACGGGAGAACGATTGGCAATTAACCTTGATATTTGACTTCTCTTAATTGGGTTTTCTATACGCACAACTCTTACGTTCGGTCTTGTATACGCAGAATTAAACAGCAGTGAATAAATGCCTCTACTCCTATCGATGAGATAAATTCGATGGTCTGTAGATATGATTGGCGGAATTTGCAAGGCGATGGAATACTAATTATACTGTATGTTAACCGATGAATATACTTTATTGAGTGCGGAGAGCTACTATAACCGAAGGAGTGTGGATTATATGAATGATCTGATTCCATTGATACGATACTCGATAGCTAGCGAAACTACACCTGCTCATATATGTTATGAACCGTTCTAGTATCGGAATTATTAGAATATCTCTTGCACCAATAAACTACAAAATTTATGTGACTGGTTGACCCATTCTCAGAACGGGTTGTAACATTGTTTCAATAATTTCTAAAATTAGGACTATTGGGTTGAATTTCGCAAAACTAGAAGATTACTTCTCATGGGTACGAATATCGAAACCTACATATAAGTAGCTATTCACTGTCTACATTATACAACTATTTTCGTTTCGCCAATGTAGACATATTCTGATGGTGGATATTTCGTCATTTATTAATGACAATTCAGCAATTTCAATAATTTTTGATCTATTACTCTTGTGCGGTTCGGTTTACCATTTTATACCTAAGTCAAAAATAGAAAGAGATTTCGGTCAGAAATATGAACAAAGCTTATAGCTGCCACAGCTAAACCTGGAATCCCATAAGGAATTAATTGAATTCATTTGTGACCGTCTATCTGGTCCTCTTAGAAAAAGTGAATCTGTGCATTGGTTATAAATATTCAAGCACCATGATTACTAATCCAAGGAAATGACCAGCGTCATCGGGACTCCATTCAATAGGGACATAAGCTTTGTGATTAGGATTTTAAAGGATCATGTGCTTTATTATTATGCCATTCTCCCCCTAATATTAACAAAGTATTTAAGGACGCGATGTCATAATGAATCGTTCATATTGTTCTGAAGTATAATATCTATCAGGATTATGCGAATTTTAATACGTACTCCCTGAATGCACGAAAAGTACCCGTTTTCCTGTCACCGTGACAGGCAAAAGGAATGTAACATCA